CTACCTGTCTAGGCAACTCTCTCCTGACAACTGGAAGCTGGGTATTCCCTTCAACAACATTCCCAAGGTTATCCTGGAAGTCAATTACAAGCTGTGTAATATCCCCTTCCACAATCTCACAAACCACTTCCTTAATATTCAAGTTCCCAGAATTGACAACCTAAGCACAAGCATAACCTTCATCATGGTACCACTTCTGAACCCTATCCCTTATCTTCTGCAACAACCTAGCAGTCACTTTCCCTTGTTCCCTCAACATCTGCAACACTTCTTTATGCACTTGCATTGGCAAAAGACAAGGCCTAGCTCTCTCAATCATCCTCTTATAATCCTTCTCTTGGTTCTTATAATACTCTAATTTCTCCTTATCTGTCATATCAGGGTCCATTTCAATAGGCTTGGATTGAGCCATTAGTTCCACCTTTATACACCAAAACCTATCAGCTGATTGGCAAGTACTTTCTGTAAAAGAAATGGTTAATCCTAAAGTTCCATCCGGGTTAGTTTTTCCTTACATATCAACTTTCTCAAACATACCACAAGTGGCTAAAGTTTCAAGCTCTTTCTGTAACTAGGTTTTTGAGTAGATTCCTCCTGCTCTTAACGAAACCATTTCAAAGAATGAATCTTCAGGTCCTACCATGGTCCATCGCCGCCGGTCAAAGAATAAAATATCTGAAAGCTTGTATTTTTTGAACCCACTTAGCTTATTGAGTTGAACCACTATGTTGGCCGGTAATCTATGAGAATCCCATTCTAGGGTTTGGTTATTATCGTACGCAAATGCCGACGAAGGCGAAAGGAGCTTTTCCCAGAAGTTGCCACGCTTCCATCACCGCCACCATTGGAGAAGCCGCCGTCTCCGCCGAAGTTGTCTCCGCGAAGAAGGTTTATCTGTTATGAGAAAATGGGTTTTATGAGAGTAGCTGAAGTAAAGAGGGTTTATCAGAGTTAGGGATTTAAATTGCTGTAGCGGTCACATTTTCGGTCGTATCATGTTTATCACGGTTGCGGCTGTAACGGAGACCTTCGCGGTCATTACGGCTATCGTGGTCGTAAATTTTTTTAAATTTTGCTCAACTTACTATAAAATATAATAATTTTAATTATTAATCATAAAACCTCTCATTTTATGATTTTTAAAGTAATTTATATCATATCATGTGTTTTATTTATTTAAAAAAATATTTATAATAAAATATTCATATTTAAAAAATTATTTATATGATAATTAAAAAATAACAAGAGATAAATAAACATGTAAAAAATAAATAATCATAACGAATAATATATTTAATTATTTAATTACCGTACTCATCAAATTATTATCGAACTATATTATGCATAAATCAAATAATAAGTGATTAGACATTCATAAATTAAGTAAGAGCATTATTATTTATGAGTTAAGAGAATTTTTTTTTACGAACTTACAATAAATTAAACTTGGCAGCCTTCATGTTGTGGGCAATTTTTAACAATAATAGCCTCAAATCTACTTCCTTTGCCTTTTGACTAAATTGCATAGACCCACACAACTTTTCATCCCTTTACCTTGCATTCAATAATTTTTTTCTCCAAACTTTAATCCTCATCCCCATCTCTCAGTTCTCTTTTTATTTGGTGTGTGGTATTTGCTTGCTTTCGTCAACCTCAAATCTCACTCTCATCTCTTGTCTCTCATTTTAAGTCCCAATAACTCCTGACTCCTTCTACCAATGTCTCATAATCCAATCTAATCCCAAACATACAAAATCACGATAAATTTAGAAATTAATAAAAAAAGTAATTTAAGTATTGAATTAATTGTTTACCTTAAATTGCATGTACTTGATTTTGATTGAAGTTAAATTTGAGAGAATTGATATTTTCAAAAGTTTAAGTTTTGTGAATTTTTTTTTTTGAATTTGTAAATTGATGTTTATTTTTTTTCTTGCTGATTTTATTTTAAGTTTTTAAACAGAAGCAATTTAGCATCCTCGACTTTGTTTCCCATTAGTGTGAAAATGCTACAGGCAGCTCGTCATTCTGTGGCTTAGATGCCAGTGTGTTTCAAATTCTTTTAAGCATTGATTGACCACAGTAATGGAATCTTCAGTGCCTTCATAGTAATCTTCTTATTCTTATTCTAAGCTCTTCCCCGCTCCTTTCCGGCATGTGGATGTTCGTTCACCCGGCTATTCAATAAGCAAGAAGATCAAGGTGCATATTTAATGCCTCGATCATTTCCCGAACTGGAAGTCACATCAAAAGGTAAAAAAAACCTCACCTCCCAGTAGTGAATATTAACGAATTGCCTACACCAGAATGTTAAAGCGATTTTTTTTTGTTTGAATGAAAATAGGAATAGCGGCAATAGCGGACCGCTATTGTCGCTATTCAGCGTTACACCGTAATTCGCGGTCGTGATTCGTTCGTTATAAACGAGATTCAAGTTTCCTTCCGTTTTTTCTCTAATAGCGGTGGCGGATAGTGACGCGACCGCGAAATAACGGCCACTACACCGCTATCCGACCGCAATTTAAATCTCTGATCAGAGTGGACCTAATTGGCCAGAGACCAAAGAGTGTTCATTGTTCAGTTCAAGTAGCCATTACCATCGTGCGAAGTATTATTATTTTTTATCAAAAAAATTCGTTTCATTATTTTATCCTATAAAACAAATCTTAGAAGTTTAAATTTAAATTTAAGATATAAATTTAGATTTCAATATAAATACCCTCATCGTAACAAAATTTTAAATTATTTTAATATGAGATAATAACGTTATAAAATTTTTTGATAAAATTTGACATACCATCAAATCAACACAAAATATATATAAATCATAATATTATTTTAGACGTTGAAATCCTTAAGCACATATCAAAATTTAAGAATGTATAGATAACAAAATCACTCTAGACATTAAAATTTTAGATATAATTCTTATAGTATAATACTTATTCTCATAAAATTTTAGAAGTAACTCTTATGATATAGTATTTAACGGCTTCTAAGCATATACAGATCACAGGATCATTCAAGATATTAAGATTTAAGAGATAACTTTTTCATGTAGTATTTAGTTTTCACAAGATTTTAGAAATAATTTTTACGATGTAATACTTTACTCTCGTTTGATTAATAACTATTTTAATATTATTTATGAAAATTCACATATAATTTAACTTGTGTTCTATTAGTAATTATTTTAATATTATTTATAGAGACTCGCATTTAACCTGTAAAATATTATTTATTTTGATTCGAAGACTCCATTGTAAAAATTTGTGATCAACTATGAGATATATCTATTTTAACCCAAAAATCTGATAATTTTATTTTTAAAAATATCTCATAAGTTTAAATTTAGCTCTTAACATGTAATAGCAGAATCTTAAACTATCGTGGGATTGGGCGTCCCATAACCGTGCTTGAGCCTTCTGATTATTGAGTCATTGGGCGACACCTACCTACTCTGTTACCAGTTTGTCAGGAAATTTACTGGATGGAGCAGGTATTATGAGCTAATGAGAGAGACGTTAATTCATTGTTAAGGTTGTTTGTAATTTGATTGTATTAAGTTAAAATTTTATCAAATAATCAAACAAAAGTGGACGAATTAAAATTTAGATATCTAAATTTTTGTTCCTAATTTGAAAAAAGTATTACTATGAACAAGAAAAAATAAAATAAAATAAAGGAGCCTGGCTACATTACCTGAAAACAAGGCCAAGAAACCTGCACCAGCTAATGCCACCGAAACAGATGCAACCCAGACGACTTCTTCAAAGATTCGAGGACTTTGAGCATTATCTGAAAAAAAAAAATTAACAGAATGAAAGTATAAACATGTTGACCTGCAACAAACCATAACTGCTAAATCCTTCCTCTTTCCTGTTGAAGAATACCTCAAGCCTCTGCACAAAAGGTATAAAAATATTGCAATATAGTAATAAATATTCTGCTTTTTGGTGGGTGGAAAGTTCATATAATCAATTTGGCTAAGCAACTAGGGAAAAAAAACTTGTTTATAACAAAGCATGAACAAATTGATATTCCTGATATAGTGTGTGCTTAATATCAGATTAAAATAGGATAATATTGTTTATTGCTGCATGGAAAAACAAGTCCAAGATAGACAAAGTTTATCTAAATTTGAACTTTGATCAAATTAATTAGAACTAGAGTTTGACAGTGACATATAACTGCATTGGGAAGCATAAATTGTATTGACTTTACTAGCAAAGGGTTCCATGATTTTAATTTGATGAGGCATGGATGAGTCAGGTGAGTTCAATGACTAGAAAATGAAGGAAATATGGGTTTTATCACTTGTAAATCAAAGAAATATAAGAGTTAAGGATCTGCTTCTTGGACTCTTCAATGCCCTTCGAAGGTCCCAATTCTCAAAATAAGCTTTAGGCTCACTTAATATATATAGTGACCTCAATTATCACTTTTAGCGGTTATAAATGACAGTTTTGACTTACAATTGCTGACTTGTTCTGAAAACAAGTGTAGTTTCCTTTTCTAAACCCCAAAATAATGGAAAATTTAAAGTAAAAATATAAACCCACCAAGGGTGGATGAGGAAACTTCCGAGAGTCAATGGCAGGCCAAGTCCACGCCACTGTCAATGTGTAGTAACCTTCGCAGAAAAACAGTCACGCTTGTGGAAATTGCATGTATGTTACTTGCAAACTGTTGCACTTTTTCTATTGGAATTTTGCACAAGTTGAGACCAAAGAAGTGATTATCTAATATCTTCAGTATTAAGCTCTATGTTTGTTTATGTCAACCTCATTTTCAGGTATGCAACTGACAAAACCTTTAGGTTGGATATCTTATCATTGCATAAGCACACGCTGACTTTCTGCACAAAAGAAGTTCAAAAAGTAATTTAAAAATCAGATAATTTCTAGAACAATTAATTAATTTTTTTTAGCCATACAGGGACAAGGCGGATTTTTTTTTTAGGTTCTCTTAGCAGAGGAAGTCCATTCATTCTTTTCACAATGGCTGCTGCTTTTGCTGCATTTCATTTTTGGTTGCTTTCCTGCCTGGCTGTGACTTCCTTGGTCAGGGCTGAAGATCATGACCAATTCATTTTCAATAATGGCTTCCTTAATGCTAATTTGCACCTTGATGGGAACGCCAAGATCCAGTCCAATGGTCTATTGCAGCTCACCAACACTTCAAAAATAGTGGTTGGTCATGCTTTCTACCCATCTCCAATAAACTTCAACACTTCTTCCCCAAGTTCAGCTCGATCTCTTTCATTCTCCACGAATTTTGTAATTGCCCTGGTTCCTGAATGGAATGTTAGTAGTGGCCATGGCATTGCCTTTGTCATCTCACCATCTATGGATTTCAGCCATGCTAGTGGAAGTGAATATCTAGGACTCTTCAGTACTACAAACAATGGAAATTCTTCAAATCATGTCTTCGCAGTTGAGTTTGATACTATCGAGAGTCTTGACATGGAAGATATAGATAACAATCATGTAGGTATTGATGTGAATAGCTTGATATCCATCCGATCCACAACAGCAGCATATTATTCCAATGAAGAAAGGGAGAATAGAAGCTTGGAGCTCATAAGTGGACATCCAATACACGTTTGGGTAGACTACAATGATGGAGAAAAACTACTCAATGTAACCTTGGCACCAACGACGAGCCCAAAACCATACCAGCCTCTCTTGACAACATCAGTAAATCTGTCTGATATTCTAGTTGACACTATGTATGTTGGTTTCTCTGCCGCAACAGGTTCAATTGCGAGTAACCATTATGTTCTGGGATGGAGCTTCAATAGAAGTGGACAAGCACAAAGCCTTGAGATATCAAAGCTTCCAGAACTTCCAACTCCATCAGAGGTTCCAAATCTTCCCAAAGCTGGCAGAAGAAGAAAATTAGATCAATTGTTTATGATCATACTAGCAGTAGTTGTGCTGGTAATGATCACTGGAGCAGCATATTTTCGCTGGAGGAAGAAATATGAAGAAATAATTGAAGACTGGGAAAAGGAGTATGGACCTCAAAGGTTCTTGTACAAGACTCTCTACAAAGCAACCAAAGGTTTTAAAGACAAACAACTTCTTGGAACTGGGGGTTTTGGAAAGGTATACAAAGGTACACTTCCTTTTTCTGATGAACAAATTGCGGTCAAGAAAGTATCCCATGAATCAAATCAAGGGATGAAGGAATTTGTTTCTGAGATTGTTTGCATGGGAAGGCTAAGGCATAGGAACTTGGTGCGGCTTCTTGGCTATTGCAGGCGAAAGAAAGAACTCCTTTTGGTCTATGATTATATGCCAAATGGAAGCCTTGACAAATACCTCTTCAATGATGACAATCCAAACCTTAATTGGTCTCAAAGGTTTCAAATCATCAGAGGGGTGGCATCCGCTCTTCTTTATCTCCATGAAGAATGGGAACAAGTTGTTCTCCATAGAGATATCAAAGCTAGCAATGTTCTTTTAGATTCCAATCTAAATGGACGGCTAGGAGATTTTGGCCTTGCCAGATTGTATGATCATGATAGTGATCCACTAACCACACGCCTGGTAGGCACATTAGGATATCTGGATCCTGAACTTACTCGAACTGGGAAGGCTACTAAAACTGCCGATTTGTTTGCTTTCGGGGCTTTTCTGCTAGAGGTGGCTTGTGGGAGGAAGCCTATAGATCCTAGCTTATCCCCCGAAGAGAGGTTTCTAGTTGGGTTGGTCAGTAGGTGCTGGAAAAGAGGTGTTATTCTCGATGCTAGTGATCCTAGATTACAAGGTAATTATGTGGTGGAGGAGATGGAGAAAGTTTTGAAACTAGGCATGCTTTGCTCCAACTCCAGGCCAGATCTGAGACCTACCATTAAGGAAGTGGTGCAGTATCTTGATGACAATGCCAGTTTGCCTCATACACCACTTGAAAGTGCCGAAAATATAATATCTTCCATCCTTGAAACTTTACCACCTGATCACAGCACTGAAACTAACAGATCCATAGCAAACAACTTGGCATCTGATTGTATAATTCCATTATCCTCGTCAGTTGTGAGAGCTTCTCCAAATTCCATTTCGAGTACAGATACAGTTCTCCATATAGGTCGCTGAAGGATCCATTTTTCTTGTGAAAGCTTTAGACCTGTCAAATTCAGAGTGGAAAGCTGAATGAAGAGTTGGAAATGTTGTACATATATAGCTATAACTTGTTCCTTCTTTTTTGAATTTTTAGAACTGATTTTTCTAAATCTTCCATACTTTTTTCCAGCTTTCTGAAAGGCAATCGATCTGATCTTTCTGGGTTAATAATTGTAATACCTCAGCCTAAATAATAATTGGGTTAGACTAATACTAAAGCACATCAGTTTATTAAGACATTATTTAGTAAAAGAAAAAGGGTTGAAGTATTAGATGAAAGAAAACCTAACTATCGTGAAACAGAAAGGAAATAGAGTTCTTCTTTCTCATCTTCCTTAGGGTTAGAGAATATGAAAAATCAAGTTAGAGATTCACAATCAGAGGTTACAATCAAGTTAATTCCTTAAAGGTGAGTACATGCCCTCTTTTTATTTAAAAAGAAATATCAAGTTGATTGCTATTATTTGAAATTGAAGTTTTGAGAGCAAAACAAAAAAAAAAATCATGAAATCTTTCATTAATTTTGATGATTTATTTGGGTAAATTACTGGGCTTTATTTATTTCATGTTCTTAAGATTTATTGATGATTATTGAATGGAGTTTGTAGGCTGAGTTTTTAAAGATTGAAGGAGAAATTCTATTTTTGGATGAGATGTTGTGATCTATAATAATGAATTAAAATAAAATTTTGTATTAATGGATAAATTATTGCTGTGATTATTATATATCATTGGAAAGCATGTTGAATCTAGTTTCTAATGAAACAAACAAAAGTCAAATATGAGTTTTTTATGAAGAGTTGTCTAATTTTAATTTAAGGATATGCAAGCTGTAAGACAGCAGCATCAAGATTGAATTACGAAATTCTTCTTAATTCGTATACAAGGATGCATACAAGGATTTACAAATTAACCATATATGTTTGGAAAGCTTATTGAGTCTACTTTCTAATGAAATAAGAGGAATTGAATTTAGAGTTTCTTGTGAATAAATATATAATTTTTATTAGAAGGTATACAGTCTGTTTGGCAGTAGTATATGATGTGGATTTCAAAAATTGTTATAACTAATATACAAGAAATTACGAGATGTGTCATATATGATTAGAAAGCTTATCAAGTCTAGTTTCTAATGTATTAAAGAGATCATAATTTCGATTTGGATATATTGAGATATGACTGTTTTAATGAAAAGAGATCAGGCTGTCAATATTAATTAGTTAAGTTAACCCTTGTGTAACTTAGTTGATTTTTGTATAAATGGTCTCAAAAAGGATTGATTAAATTCTGATATGTTGAAATGATCTTGGATAGGCCATTAATTATTTTGGGAGAAAAACTAAGTGGTGAAATCGAATTGGAGGTAAGTAGAATCTCACACACTTTGCTTGTTTTCGAAACTATGTATATATGTATGTTTCTAATTGAATGAATATTTTATTTCATTATTTTCAATGTATGAAAATAAGATCAAGCATATGATTATTTTGTGTTTCTTTATATAAACGATGGTTCATGCTTATAAATGAAATGAGAAAATGATTTATGTTTAAAGAATAATTTTATGATAGCTACGTTTTTACATCCATAGGAAGTGGGATCATCGACACCAGAACTAGTTCTACGATCCTGACTAACGGGTAATAGTAGTTAGCAAAGACATGATCATACGACCCTAGCTAACGGGTAATAGTAGTTAGCGTAAGCCCTGGCTAACGGGTTATAATAGTTAGCAATGATCATGAGAATGAAATTGTCGATACGATCAATGTCATGGGTTATAGCAGTGACTGTAGCTAACGATAAATGAATGATAATGATGATTTATGATAATTTTAATGATTGATCCATGATTTGGTTTGATTATGATATTTAAATGACAACATATTTTGCAATGATTTATAAAGTGACATATTTTGATATTGATTTATGAATTTATGAAATATTTGACAAAATGATGATTTTGAAATGTTTTGATATTATGATTTGATGAATGTTTTGAATGATCTATATGATGTGTAAGAAAACGATGCTTGATCTGGTAAAGTGTGTAAACATATACTTACTGAACTATGGTTTGCTCATTCTCTTTTTACTTTTTCTTTACAGATGACTAAGTGATAAGTTTGAATAGTCTTGTGTGAAGCTAAAAGATGAAATGAAAAATATTACTTAGTCGTCGGAGAATATGTTGGTCAATGAGATCTTAAGAGATAATGTTGTATTTTATATGGTTTGCATTTGGATATATAAAGATATATTATCAGTTGGATTAAAGATATAGATTTTACTTGGTAGATTATTTTATTAAAAATTTTAAAATGTTTAAAAAAAAAGCTTCGTATTACTTTAAGATTTTTTTCAAAATAATACGATCAAGTTACATCTTAATCTCAAGACGTAACAATAATATAACATCAATTTTGTTCCTACATATGTTTTTACCTTGGAAGAACTCCGAAATCATGTCTTATGTAAGCACTTGAAATGAACAGAAAGATTATAGAAAATTGCCTTTTAATTTTTTGTAATCCAAAATCCCTTCAATTATATTAATGAGATTTATTCATCTGTTTCATACAATTTTTTCTCAATATTCAGAGGTAAAAATTTTGAAGACTCGATTTAATGACAGAAATTAAAAAATATATATCAATTTTATTCACTCTCAAACAACAAAATCTTCCTAACTAAAACACTACAACAGTCAACGCTGAGCAGCTGATCCCTTATTTAATTGTAAAGGGTTTACCTCCATTGTTAGGGCTTGACTTAACTTTAAATATTTTACCTCTATTACTTGACATAGTTTACGTGCATATTTTAAATATAGCTTATTTTAACGTGCATAATTTGTTTAGACTTTCATTTTGTACCCATTTGTTGGACTCAGTAGCCTTAAATTCCATAATAAAACTGAGCTTAGAAGGCTCACACAGGATAGTAGCTTAGACAGGATTAAAGAATGGACGTCACTTATCCTCTCAAGAACACCATCTAGACATCACTTGTCCTCCCAAAAATGCCATTTGGACGATTCTTGACACACGCCATATAGCTCATTAGGGATTTAAAATGTGCTTGCAACCGGAACTTCGATCGCATTATATTTATTGATGTTTCAAACATAATGAATAAAATAATAATAATTACTTGCATCCCAATCGTAAATTTTTTAAAATTTCTTATAATTTATCATAAAATAAGTAAAAGAATAATTTAATTATAATAATATTTATTTATAATATTTTAATCTTAACATCCTATTTTAACTACAATTTTTCGGTACATATATTGTTATTTATGTGAATGATAATTTACATTTTTATTGCAATGAATAACGGCAACGAAAGATAATATTACTACTAAAGGTATAGATGATATATTAATACTCGTAAATTACTTGAGTTCGATTCGAAGAAAATTCGAATTCGGTTCGATTATTATCGAGTTGAGCTCGAGCTTGAATAGTTCGACTTATCGATCGAGCTGAATTCGAGTGTTTTTATATCCGATTCGAGTAGCTCACGAGCTTAATCAAGTTTTTATATTTAAATATATTTTTATTATTTTAATTAATAAAATATTTCGAGTCTGAATTTGAGTTTGAGCATGAATAATCGAACTCTTGTCGAGTATACGAATCGAACTTATTTTTATATATTAATCGAGCGAGCTCAAATAGTTTAAATTTGATCACGAATCAAGCTCGAGCTTAAAAAATAAAATTCGATCGAATTTGAACCGAGTATCGAGCCTCGAATTGTGAGTCAAACTCGAACTCAAATTTCTTACTATTCGATTTGACTCGATTCAATTATATTCCTAATTACTACTAAATAATGGTCACTATATCGTATCGTGGACATCACTTAAATTCAGGCAGCTCACGTGTAAAATCTTCAGATAAAAAATTGGAAAAGGGATCATAACCCTTTTTTTCCAGCATTTTCTGCAATTGAGTTATTTTCACCCTTTGTTTATGCTATATTTATTTGAACGTAGAAGCACGCACCGAACATTAACTTTCACCATTTTTTGACCATTTCTTCCTTTTCTTTACAAATCAAATGTACCTTTTTCAAATCACACGTGAATTATGCCTCATCAACTTAAAAAATACGCCAATGCAATAAAAAAAAAAAAGAAAGAAAGAAAGAAAAAAATAGCTTTCATTAATGTCATTTCACTAATAAATGAATTCATTAACAACCTTCTTTGTTTCTTAACTGATGTGAGATTAAACATTAATAATGCCAGTGGACAATAACTTTCAGATTAAAATAATTCATTTCAGCAAGTGAATGATATATATTTACATGTATGTATAATAACTTTTCAGGTCTGATTTAATTGGCTATTTGTTAAACTAATAAGGGTTCCTTCATCAAGGTTTAATAATTCAATAGCTACCAATGTAATTTGAGTTAGTTTGGTAGGTACAAAAGCTATGTTTTTTTTTTCTTTTTTTTTTAAATTTATTTGAAAGCTATGATATTAATCGTAAAAAGCTTATTCTCCAGGAGTTGTTGCCCCGTCATAAGCTTGGTTTATTTATTTTTACCAAAACCTTGGTTTTATGCCACTAATGTTATTTTTTATATTTAAAATTAAGAGTTTAACATTTTATTAATAAATTATACCACTATTAATTATAATTCTAGAATTAAAGTGGTTTTCACTGTTCAAGTTTTAATCTTTTCTCAAATAACATTGGATTGGGTTTGAATCTTGTTAAAATTTCAAGTTGGAAATAACAACTCCCAAGTCCTAACCTGTAGCATTGAGTTACCAAGGACATTAAACAAATTAAATGCTTATTGCCGTTTGAAAACATAGAAGTGATCAATGGCCTCATGTGACAAGCCAAATCAAATCAACGTATTTACTTTGCGTAAGAACAATCAACGATTGAGTAATAATTAGCGGTCATACAATTTGAGATGTTTATTAAAGGACAACAATAAGTTGTTTTATTACACTATAGACAATAGTTATAGACTTAATTCATCAACGAAGATCATCTTGAACAACTATTTCCGTATATTACCAACGTACTGATAGACATAGTATGAAACCTTCTTCTACAACCTGTCAGGATTCTTTAGCATCAACATGGTTGTAACCAGTATCTTGTCTTGATAATAAAAGAAGCGCTTATTTTTCTGGTTGACAGTTATCAGCATTTTTTTAAAATATATTATAATGGCCATTGGCCACCCGGTTAAAGTACTGAGAGTTAGGTGTCGCGTCATTATTACCAAACAGTGAAGAAGTTTCCCTGATTGGAGCAAAAAGTACATATTAATTATGTCATATGTGAGTCCATGGCAAGTTCTTAATTTCTGAAATTAAATTTATGTTGGCGGTCTGAAAAGAAAATTTAAACCTAGTAATAACTTGTCAGGATCTCTTTTCAAACTTCCTTAATTCATTCTTATGGTCCCCATGACTTTGTGAGAAACAGATCATTTTTACTGGTATTTGCAGCCCAAGAACTTGAATACCCAAATCTCTGCTTGTTGTCAATGGCTAGAATGAGTAGATTACTTCGTATTCTAGTTGCTATGGCTGCAGTGTGTTCCATTGCCTTTGCTGAAGGGCAAAACCAGTTTATCTACAATGGTTTTCATGGAGTCGATCTGAATCTTAGTGGAATTGCTAAAGTCCAAAATGGCCTGTTGGAGTTAACAAACATTTCATATCAACAGTTTGGTCGTGCTTTCTTTCCTTTGCCCATCAAGTTCAATTCATCCGATTCTCTGTCGTTTTCTACAAGCTTCGTCTTTGCCATGGTCCCCGAGTTTCCCAAACTCGGCGGCCATGGCCTTGCCTTCATTATCTCACCATCTCCGGAGTTCGTGGGAGCTGTAGCAAGCCAGTATTTTGGTCTTTTCAATGCTACAAGCAATGGCCTCTCAACCAACCATGTGTTTGCAATAGAACTGGATTCTATCAAAAGCCCTGAGTTTGGAGATATTGATGACAACCATGTTGGAATTGATGTCAACAACTTGCGGTCTAATGCATCAGCTCCAGCAAGTTATTATTCAGACAAGGAAGGGGAAAATAAGACCCTGGAGCTCATAAGTGGAAAGCCAATTCAATTGTGGATAGATTATGATGAAGGAGATATGCTACTTCAAGTAAGACTAGCTCCTCTTAAAACCAAGAAACCAAGCCAGCCTCTTTTGTCAGCAAGGCTTGATCTTTCTGAAGTATTCTTGGAATCCATGTATGTCGGTTTCTCTGCATCTACTGGGGCAATGGCAAGTAATCAATACATTCTTGGATGGAGCTTCAATAAAAGTGGACAAGCACAAGGCCTTGACTACTCCAAAATTCCTTCTCCACCCCATCCTAGAGAATCTGGGAAGAAACTAGATTTCAGGATCATGGTTCCATTGGTAATTATGAGTCTTCTGGTTATAATAGTCATTGGAGCCGCTTACAACACATGGAGGAAGAAATATGAAGAAATAAGAGAAGACTGGGAACAGGAATATGGTCCTCAGAGGTTCTCTTATAGGGATCTTTATAAAGCAACTAAAGGTTTCAAAGAAAGAGAACTCCTTGGAGTTGGTGGTTTTGGAGGGGTTTACAAAGGAATATTACCTTCTTCCAAAGAAGAAGTTGCAGTCAAAAGGATCTCCCACAATTCAAAGCAAGGGATGAAGGAATTTGTAGCTGAAATTGCTAGCATGGGAAGGCTAAGTCATAGAAACGTGGTGCAGCTCCTAGGCTATTGCAGGAGGAAGGGAGAGCTTCTCTTGGTCTACGATTTCATGCCCAATGGAAGTCTTGAAAAGTTCTTATTTACCAATGAAAAACTGAACCTTAATTGGGCTCAAAGAGTTCAAATCCTTAAAGGAGTAGCATCAGCACTTCTTTACCTTCATGAAGAATGGGATCAAGTTGTGATTCATAGAGATATAAAGGCTAGCAACATTCTACTAGATGCACATCTTAATGGAAGATTGGGAGATTTTGGGCTAGCTAAATTCTATGACCATGGCACTAATCCTCAAACCACCCTTGTGGTCGGCACTCTGGGATACATTGCACCAGAGCTGGCTAGAACAGGTAAGTCCACAACCAGTTCTGATGTGTTTGCTTTTGGCAACTTAATGCTGGAAATAGCTTGTGGAAGAAAATCTTTAGAACCAGAAAGACTGCCTGAAGAAATAATTTTGGTCGACTGGGTTCTTGAATGCTGGAAAACTGGCATGATTCTTCAGACAAGTGACCCAAGATTGGAAGGTAACTATGTGGAGACAGAAATGGAATTGATATTGAAGCTGGGTTTGTTGTGTGCACACCCTACACCAGCAACAAGGCCTAGCATGAGGAAAGTAGTACAATATTTGGATGGGAATGCCACCTTGCCAGAGGTGCTACTTGATGATGCCAGTAATAGTCTGGTTACAGATACTCATCAAATATCTGTCAATGATATGTCATTTCCTGCATCATTTGACAACATTTCTACCTTTTCCATGTCTAGTGTAACTGATTCCATTCTCAGCTATGGTCACTGAATCATTATTTTTCAAAGCTCAATACATTAAGCTTAAGACTGAGAGGCCTCTAATCGGGCTTAGCTGATGTGAATGTGATCAGGGCGGCAGGGTTGTAGATAGAGACCTCAAGTTCCAACCCTAGTGCTTTCCTCTTGTATCAAAAGATGAAAGAGTGTTGCTTGTGTACGACGTAGGTAGAGAAAATTGAAGGCCAAGATTTATATCCCTTTTGCTACAGGTTATGTACATCCCTGTGTTAACATCACCAGTACCACGTACTTAATCTAGTTAAACTGCATACTGCTAGTCTGTATAATCTAGTTAAACTGCATACTGCTAATCTGTATAATGTTCCTATCAATAATTGTATGGTTTGGTTGCCTCACCTTATATGATCAGTTCAGCCCACAGATTATGAAATGAAATCCCCATTTCCAGATTTCATTTCCATGGTTTTCATATTTCAAGAGTTCTAGAGAATCCTTAAGTCTTCCGTAGCCAACAAGGTCCATGACGACGACGTTAAACCAGTCGTAATAATTTATAATTTATGACAACAATAGGAAAATGCAGATTTAGTGCAAATTGTTCTGGTTGAGACCTTGGCTGGGACCATGTTGAAGCTTTGATAATAGACCACCATAACTTATTTACTATTTGATTGGACGTCATCCAAGTAATTCAGGCGCATTTGTTTTGCATTGGCAAAATAGTCTTTGAAACTTCGAGCACATGGGTTGATTTTGTCATACGAAAGAGTTGAAACTTCAAGAACTTCTAAGACCTGTAGCTTTTTCATCACTTTCATCATCTATTATTTGGAAGAATATCCAATGGTCTAATCTTTAAATTCAACACCTAAGTCTCTCGAATAAAAACTGAATCTGGTGCAGTGCTTAAGCCATAAATTTTCTTCAGTCAAGCTACTTGACAAATAAGAGTTGTTGGCAATGGGGCCATGCAACGAATAGCTCAAGCATGATTCACACAATATCTTAAATATTTAGTTGTATCCTTTTTTGTTGCTTTATTTCCTATAGAAAGAAGAAATCAATACACTGTATGTAACCGCTTCGCATTTGAGCTGATTGATAAATCTTTCTTCGTTGGGTCCCCAGTCCTGGGTTTGTTTATCACACTGTTGAAAAAAGGGAAAGATTTAACGACTGCTCATATTTTTCTACATTCTTACGCGGACACATATGTCGAAATGCTTCGCACATGTTTCGGTCAATGCAAATTTTTCACGTTAACTGGAAAATGCTATGAAAAAAAACAAGTCAGATGTGAACATAGAATCGCAAATTTAACGTTTGCTAGAGCCTGGAATTTAGCTCTGGTTCATGCAACCATGTCATCCAACAAGTCTGAAGTTCAATTTCAACACTTGCACGCAACACATTCTCGTATCTCCAGATTGCAATCCAATTTGTATAAAAAAAAATTAGCACTGGTTTAAGTATCTTTTATGATTTGGTGATTCTTTCTGTAGGCAGGGAGAAGTGCATGTTAACAGAGACGAGTGACTGAGACAATGATGAATCAAATGAACTGATTACCTTGTCCGAATAAGAAAATCATTCTCTGGTGTTTGGGAACTATGTAATGAATCAAAACCTCACCGCTCTGTTTGCACAAACATGACCTAGTTCTTTATCCAATGGCCGCAGATTTTAGAACTATTATATTTGGATAGTTTTCTCGATACTATTGTTTCATTAGTCTTGGCTCAAAATAAAACCAAATTCATCTATAATGGCTTCCATGGAGCCAGCTAAAAGTCCATCTCTGTGGTCTCTTGGAGTTAACTAAAACCTTCAAGCAGCAAGTTGGTCACGCATTCTATCCATTCCCATTACAATTCAATACATCTTCTCAAGTTCAACTCAAATTTATTCATTTCTACAAATTTTGTGTTTTCCATGGCTATAATTAAATGGAAAACCATCTAATGCTGTCCTGAGAAACAACTTCAGAAAACTAAGGGTTGTTTATTCGGTTTTCACTGAAATTATGATGATAGTAGGCACTGCTGAGCTTTCACTTCAAGATATTGGATTCAATTTCTTCCAAGCTCAAACCTTTAGTCTCTGGGACGTAGAGTACTACAAACAAAAGGGATAACAGAGCAATAGCACCAAAAAGGAGGAAGAGATTTTCAGCTCCTAGCAACTCCTGCAGAACCAGCATATATTGATTCATATCACAACCATCAAGTGAAATTCAAAGCGTGAAAAATGATAAGAAAGCAACTTTGCTGTTGAAAATTGAACCAATACCTTCAATGGTGAGAATGCAAAGGTAACAATAGCATTTGAGCCGAAGTTAGTGAGAACTGCAAGACTAATCCCTTTCCCTCTTGTGCGTAGTGGGAAAATTTCAGACACCATTAGCCAACTGATAGGCCCAAATGATATCTGAAACATCATTTACAGGGGAAAAAATGTCAGATTACCTTGGTCTCCCAGACAAGAAAAGCACGTAAATATTATTGGCTCACTTCTGAATCTGCCTTCTTTTTTTCCCCCATAGCATGCGATGGTAGTGTCAATTACCTAACTTTGATTTCCCAACTTTTTTTTTTCTTTTGAAACAGTTTACTTTTCCAATTTATGCGTTGAAGCTTTATAGTTCTTTTGATACGTATAACTTTGGGAGTGAAAAGAAACAAAAATACAATTTCTGATCCTAGAAGGTTTCCCAGTCCCACTCAAGTCAGTGCCACCAATGCCAACAAGCAAATGAAAAAAATACTGGCCTGATAGCAACCAACATAGAGAAGTAGAGCAGCTACAGCAACAAAAGGGAGTTCTCCAAGAAATTTGTAATAAGCGGAAAGCAGAAACAAGGAAAGAGCCTGTAGTGCAACGAATACAGAAAGGCAAATAAAAATCTCCATAATCATCTTTGCGAGCTAACATACCTAAGGCCAAAACAGTTAAACAAAATGAGAGCAGTTTACATACAATCCCACCAACACCACCAATCAGCAAAGGTCTTCTACCAAGATCATCAACTTTTACAACAGCTATCCAAGTCATTAGTAACTGCAGGAAGGTTTATTTGAAACAGTACTTAATCAGTGTAGTAAAGAAGGTAACCTGATTTAAAAGTTAAATAGCAAGATCTATTTAAAGTTACCTTGAACAAACCTACTAGAACAGAAAGGCGGGTAGCGTCAGCAGCCGCAGAGAATCCAGCACTCTTGAGAAACAATTTTACAAAAGCTATTATACAGTTAGGATACTCGACATTATATAATATAATCTATTTCAAAATCACCAGAAAAATGAATTAACGTTCAATTATCAGTACCTGTAGAATTGGACCAGCATAATACAGAACACTCGGTTGGCCAGTTATCTGTCATAATCAGGTTTGTAAATAATCCCTTTAACATAAAACTCTTACTGTTCCCTAGTCATATGTTTATTAGCAAAAAAACATTGGAATAATAACTAATAAATAAATAAACAGTATGGATCAGCAAGGAGGAAGAGGTACCTGTTGAAAAAGGACTAAACCTCCACCAATTATGAAGGCTTTCAAACTTGGCCCCTGAAATGCCTCCAAGATATTTCCTTCAGATTCCTGATCCATATTGGCAGACTTCACTGTGATTAGAGTATCTTCTATTTGCTTCTCAGATGCTTCATCACCAGGAGCCCGACCCCGTAGTTTGCTTAGGGCAAGGATGGCCTTCTCTTTGTATTCTTGTAAAGATCCTTTACCTTGAACCACTCTGAGAAGTAACCACCGTGGTGATGGTGGCAGATTCCACATGCCTAATCCCATAAGTAAGGCAATTGGGGCACTAAAACCATACATGTATCGCCACCCCCCAACGGCATTAATTTGGAAGCTTCCCACAAAATATCCCAACTACAGCAGAATCCCTACTTTAGGACAGCTTGTTTAGAAAGAACTAAAATCGGTAACCATGTAACATCTTTAGAAACTTACCAAAATTCCCAGAACTATTAATAGCTCCTTTAGAGATATTAGTGTACCACGTATCTGAGATGGGCAAGTTTCTGCTATGTAGAGCGGAGCCCCGTGCATTGCCTGTCAAATGGCATATATGCAAGATGTTATAAGTAAGCACATCATAATAAATCTACCAGAAATACCAGCATTTAGTGCTGTGAAGCTCACTAATCCAATACCCAGGCCATAAAGTAGTCGTCCTACTAAGAGAACAATTAGGCCTGGGGCATAAGCAGTCAGCACACCGCCAAGCACATACAGTAGAGCAGCAATGATGAGTTCCCTCCTCCTTCCTTCATGCACAAATCAAAATTTTTTGTTAAGAGAAACTCGTATGTATAAGCACCAAGTATGATGAAGAAGTTTTGAACAAAGGAGTACCAAGGAAATCAGCTATTGGATAGACAAGGAGGGAACCAAGAAGGGCCCCATAAAGGGAGCCACTGACCTGCACTCAAGCCAATATAATTAGAAACAAAAAATACATTATCATTGATTATTGACAGAAAAGACTACAAATATCCACAAATGATGCACGAATTCAAGTACAACCAAGAAATCATACCACTAGACCAAGCTGAACAGCTGAAAGGTTGAACCAAGTAGTGCCACTAAGCTCAGGTGACTGACCTATCAACATAAAACATTAGATACAATAATAGAGTCTTTTACTGTAGTTAATGCTACTCACTAAATATTAAATGGTAAGTTTAATTGGATAAAGCTATAAGAAAAACAGTTGTCAGTTGAAGCACCTGCAAAGAGATTGTAGCACCAGAGGTGGCACCAATGTCATACCCAAATAATAACCCTCCCAGAGCTGGGAACAAAAATCTGTTTGCAAGAATCCAAACAAAGTCAAGTCACTAAATTCAAATTAGGTTAGAGGAGAGTTTTCAAGAAAGAAATCTATGATCTACCCTTTATTATTCCCCTCTTCAAATTTTCCATTATCACCAAATATTCTAAAATGCACCCTTTACCCAACAAGTACGTAAAACACCAACAATTCCACCAACAAACAAGAAAGGAAAAAATACCCATTAAAGGGAAGGTCAAAAAACAGAGGCAAGAGAAGAAAATAAGATAAAAACGTACGGCAAAATGACTGAAGACCAAGAAAATGGCTCTTGGTAAGCTGAGTCAGGTACAAGTGCCTCAGCGTCTTCCCCTGAGGAATAATCACTCTGAGCAGCAACCTACAAAACAAATCAAAACATCCCATGATTTAGAAACAACCCAAAGTGTAAAAGACATCATAGTTGTTGATACTTTACATGGGATCTGGGTTTCCGACTAGAAAACAGTGATGGACTTGAAAAAATGTCAATCTTGGTGTAAGCTTTGGCTTGAGATGAAAAGGGATTTGGAGAAAGTCTTGGCTTAATAGTGAAGGAACAGAAATTGAGAGAGAGTGGTTTCTTTGGTTGATGTGAGTGTGAGAGTTCGAAGTTCAGCAAAGGTTGAGAAGTGGCACTGCAAGCCATTGGAGAAAAGATCAGAGAACAACGAAAAACAAAGAAAAATCTGACGGTTGGTAGGTAATTTTCCCGCTTTTATCTCCTTTCTCTTATATATATATATATATATATATATATATATATATATATATTTTTTTGTTGCGATGTGACAGTGTGATTCTTTTCTTGATATATTGGCCATTGGATTCATTTGCTTATTTTTATTTTGATGTCAGCTATACCCAATTATTGAACTTTGTTCAACGTCAGATGAAAATAAAAGAAAAATATTTTTTGAGTTGAAAATTTTTAATTCATTTTTTAGAACAACAAACCAAAAATTTCTTTCAGCTGACCTTCTGTATATAATCTTAGCCATCTTTTTTTTTTTCCTGTTCAAACTTCATACATCTGTTCTGTTCTTTTTTTAGTTTTTAACCATTCAAAGAGGAGGGCCGAAACTGAAGTTAATTGACTCAATTCAATCAGTAAGGGTTTTTTTTTTCAATGAAATTCTTTACACTCACTTTACAGTTTTGGCTAACAGATCTTGTTTTATGTACCAAAATGACAGCAAATCTTGTTTTAACAATGGTGTGTTTGACTTGGAGAATAAAAAGTTTTGTGAAAAAAATATTGGCCACTAAAAAATAATCCAAACCCTCTGTAATTTTCAGAAATTGACCTTTCCCGTTTGTTCATAACTGTCTTTCAGAAACGTCTTTCCATCACAATCCTTTCCTCCGTTTAACTGAGACCATGTTTCCCGGGTTTCCAAGACAGGGCCTTGATTGACTGACAGACCATTCTCTTCATATCCACCCCCCCACCCTTCTCTCTCTTATTTTTCACCCTTTGTTTTTAATTGCCATGCTCGTGTTTAATCATTGATATTTTGGTTTAGTGAGAGATAGAAAAGATCATTCTCTGGCAAATTTCCAGGGCGGTTCATTTCAAGAATGGAGGATGGTAGGAACATATTTGAGAAACAAGTTATTGGCATGAGCAAAACCAAAGTAGGAAAGCCACCAACTAGGCTACAAAAGCATGCCCCAGCATCTCTTAAGCTTGATCAGATGAAAGCTGCCGCTTCCGGGACCAGCCCTTTTGCGCCGTCTACTGGGACTTCTGAAGCTGCAACTCCGATTCCCCTACTGACACCGCTCGCTTTATCCCCCAATCGATTTATAGAGACTTAAGAATTCGTGTTTCCAACTGATGATAAGAAACCTGCAACACAAACACCAACAGCAACAGTATTTTGCCGGAAACAACAAGCTGGTGCAGGGTATGTGGAGGCTTCGACTTTGTTCACTGTGTTTCAAGACAAATGTGTTCTTGTCAATGATGCTTAGTAATGTGTTCTTCTGCCTCTGCATATCATATCGCTCACTTTGTGTTTTCTCACCTTAAGGTAGATTTGCCAGTTTTGTTCATTAATGATAGTGTCTTGATCGATCGGGATCTTTCCTCCATAGTTGATACCTGTCTTTGATCTTGTATGATGCGTTTCCCCATGATAACAAGCTTCTTGGATGATTTGTTGTTGCCTCTTATTTTGCTTGTAAGAAAGAAGATCATGAGAATTGTCTCCAAGCGTTACCGTTGTTGATATTCCGCTTGTTTTAAGCGTCTCAAATATGGGATTCTCTCAATTCCTCCAAAGGAGCCCTAGGAAATCTAATAATGAGGCAAGAAAAAAATACTAAAAGGACACAACACTCGGTGATTGATACAACTAAACAAACAAGAGAAAGGAGAGTAGGAATGAGGTGTTCGTTTTGAATTTGAAACCTAGAGGAAGAAATACAACTAAAAAAACAATGGGATCCCGAAAAAGCTCTTCCTTTATGTACAATACCACAACCATCCAATCCAAGTCTTAAGGAAGGTATTAACATAAAGCATCCCATGCCCTTCCATCGAGATTTCACTCTAATATTAATTAAAGAAAAATTACGAAACACCCAATAACACCCCCTTGGCTTGCCCTTTTAAAGCAAGAGCACCATCATGGTGAATAGACATAACAAAATCAGAATTCAAATTCGCCTGTTGCCTGCAAAAGATTCAACCAAAAAAAAAAAAAAGGATTAAGGATCAGAGACAAACAAAACTAAAAAAAAACAAAAACAGAAAGTATCAAAGAGTAAACAAATGCCATATATTATTCAGAGACAAGCACACCTTATTAAAGAGAATGTCCTTGTTGTTTATACGCATGATACCATCCTTCAGTGTGCATTTCCATTTGCTCTTGGTACGAGTCACCTACATACAAAAACATATAATGTCATTGTTTATTGTCTACATAGGAGAGAAATGAGACTATCAAAACTTGTATAAATACAAATTATTGAATACATTATAGGCAGCAATAATGCATGCTGCAAAGATAGCAAAATCACCTTGTCAAATTGAGCCAAAACTAGATGCTGTGTGTTCAGCTCCTCTCCCTGGTCCACGTCATCCAAATCATCATCATCATCATCTTCGTTCAATGGCTCATCATCATCATCATCTACTGTATCATTTTGAGCAACAGGAGCAGGAGTGGCAGCCTGAAGGTCTGGCAAGGAAACAAGAAAAGCGGGTCAACAAAAAAACAAGGTGCTGAGAGAGAGAGAGAGAGAGAGAGAGGGATAGCTAATATAATCAAAGTACAATAAGATGCAATCCTCAGTTCATCCATTGATTAAAGTTACCATTTGGAGCTGGTGTGTTCACCACGTTGTAGTCTTCATTGACAACTCCTTGATAATTGTATATCTTCAAGGTGAGAGAAGAAATCATAAGGCAACAGCCCATAAGTTAGTGAACTTTCCAATGATATACACTAGAAACAAAGAGAAAAGGTCCATTCCAAACCACATGCATAAAGTAACACAAAGCCGCAGAATTACACAAAATAAGATTAGGAATCAGCCTAGAAAGCATACGATACTTACATTGGGAGTAGAAAGCATATCATCATATGGATCAGGAATTGGTCCATCCAGTTGAGGAATCTTCGACGATGACCTAGCTAAGTGTGCTAAGATCTTGCTTTTTGCAGCAGTCGCTGAGTCATGTCTACCCAGGAAATGACTACCGTTACTTCCCTGAGAGTTTAGAGCTATATGATTAAAAAAGGTTTATAACACATTTCTAATAAATTCAAATATCCAACAATGATTCTGGAATAAAAGTACCCTTCTGGTTTCAATTAGAATAAAAAAGTTTCCTTATAAATATTCAACAAGCTATATCGCAGAGCTTGAACTAAGTTTGCTTTGCATTTTTATTAAGATAAAAGGTAAGCAAAAAAGAAAAGATTGCAGGGACAGAAAAAAAAAATCAAGGATAAAAGAATTTAGGGTAAGGGGCATAAGGAATCCTTAAAAGAGAAGTTAAGCAATCTCATATTATCACACTGATCTCGAAAACCTGCATACAGCCCTTAGCAAATGATAATGGTCATTGGACATTAGGTCTTAGAATGCATGTAATTAAAGTATTTTCAAGTTTGCTATATCAAATCAATGGCTTATATTACTATGATATTTTCTATTAGGATGCTGCAACACAGATTCAAGAATCCTTTCTCTTACCAAAAGAAAAAAGATTCTAGAACTTTCTGGAGAAGAAAGGCAAATCCATGATCCACATACAAATGGAGATAGAGTAGAGATCTACCATAGCCACATATATCCACAGAAGATCTCTAACCATGATTTGCATTAAAACAACAATGTCAAATGAACATATATATGATAGACTAACAATAAATAAGAGGAAAACTAACCTCTGCCTTTGCAACTTCAGATGAAGCATCTCCAGCACCATCTTGTTGGGGTATATATCCACCATTTTGATATTGTGTGGCAAAATCCTCACGTTTTCTCTTTCCAGAAGACGTCATAAAGAAGTCCTAGAATTTTCTCCAATATTAAAATTAATCATCAACTTAATTAATAACAGTTTGTTTCGACATGGGAACAAGGATTATTGAAGTAAACACTTCCCAAAAGATTCAATTTAAACCTTTTCGATATGAAACCCTTTTGCATGACCCATGAGTTCTCCTCAAACCAGAAAAAAAAAAATCATTGCACAGTTGTAATGTTACTCATAACAGGAGTTACCTGTGTCAGGGGTTGATGAGAGGTTCCTCTGTCCACCTCATCCCGCCCTTCCACATAAGCTACAAAGAACATATCATTTATTATTAACAACCATAGTGGGTTAGAACTGATTGCTCTTTTAACGTCATACTAACCAACATTAACATCAACACTTAATGGGGTCCTTTGATTAGGCCAAGGAGAAGGAGATTGCTGCGGAAAGAAAAACAAAAAGAATATATCACCAATAAGTCTACAACAATCCGACAAAGCTACTTTTTCTTTCTTTGGCAAGTAGAAATTTAAACTATAACACAATGTATACTAACGGAAAGTGGCACTAACAGATCATTGCTTACCATATAAGGGCTTGGCCTTCCACCTTTTACATCAGTATTACCGCCATTATCATTCACTGGAGTAGGATAATCGCTACTTCCAGTAGGGATGTTATACATAGAACCATCTGTACTTCCAGGCAATGGTGTCGGAACAGGTGTTTGCAACGGAGTCTACGCAATTAACCCCCCCCCCCAACATAAAAAATCACCAATCAAAAATATCCGTTGCAATTTAAATTCATAAAAGCACTCAAAACAGAACTCGTTACCGGAGGGAAGAGCATATCAGCTGTAGGGGTTTCGTACTCCTCTGTCCCTTCATAAGGAACATTAAGATCGTGCACTGGAGTAATTGGGCCACCGGGCGTGGGCTGTTTCTTACCCGAAGACCTATCTATCGAACCACATATTACTCCCGCTTGTATCATCTTCATTTCCCAAATCTAAAACCCAATACCCCACAAAATCGATTCAACTAGATCAGTTTCATTTCAATAACATTAATAAAAAAAAACCCTAGTGCTTCAATCAGATCAAACCTAAACCCACAAAGAATCCCAAAAACAAATCTTTTTCTAAAATAACGAAATCAACCCCTAAAATTTTTTTAAAAAAAATCGAATAAAAAGGAAATGAAAGAAGTATTTTTACTCTTTGGAGTTCGCTTAGGACAGTTTCGTCTGGTCCACCGTTGTTGATAAATTCATCGCGAACCTTGCTGATGACGTCTTCGATTACGTGGATGTACACCGCGCTCGTTGCCGACGAGGCCATCTTTTTCTCGAAACTTCTATCTCCCCCTCCCCTGATTCAACTTTTCCCTTTTCCCAAACAAAGAAATAATTCTCGGATTCGTGTTTTTCTCGGGAAAAAATCAGCGGATTGAGGAGAGAAGCATGGGAAGCAGCGTTTGAAGATCGACCGACCGGTGAAACAAGAGACTGGTAGCCTAGGGTTTGGAGAATCGGAGCCGAAGAGAGAGAAAGGACTAGAAAGAGAGGGGCGGACGAGAAAAAGAGAATAAAGAGTGGAATATAAATAGGTTTGCATCCGATTATAAGGAGGGCGCCACGTGGCGTAATCTGAAGAGCTCTTTCATTTTTTTTTTAATGCTTTTCTAAGTTTTTTCCTGGGAAAGGCTGTGAAGAGACAGAGGAGTGAGGAGTTACATTTTGTTTTTTGGGGTTTACTATTATATACAGGCAAGAGGACCGTCGGGTTTGATCTTAGTCCACGTCAGGGTGGTTGATTGTGGGTCCCTTTGGAATTAACGGTGCTGATCCTCCAAATTTAGCATTTGCTGTAACGTTACCTTTTCTCTTAAAAATTTGCAGCCAAGTTGGGAGACAAATACGTGTCGTCTGGTCCTTAATCTTCGTTGATACTTTTTTTTCTTTTCTTTTTTTAAATTTAAAAATATGTTTAACTTTATTACTTTATTAAGATAAATTTTTATATTCCATTATATGTAAATAAATTTTTAATTTTTACTTTACATCCAATTAAATTCCTAAAGTTTAATTTATATTCAAATAAAATTTTTATTTTTTAATTTTTATCAAAATAAACTATTAACATAAATCAATTTTTTATTTTAAAAAAGATGTTCTTGGATACAAATAAAATAAATTATTGAAGCATAATAAAAATACAATAATTTATTTAAATAAAATGATAAAATTCAATAGTTCTTTTAACATTTTAACTTATCTTTTTGAGTGTGTGTTTATATGAGGAAAAAAGAAATATTTATTTTTTTATTATTTTACAATTAGGAAATAACTTGATATATATGTAATAGAAAATTAAGTCCAAAGTTATTAGTGATTCAATTAATGCTTCATAGTAGGAATATTAAATTCAATTTAGCTCATTTACAATCTTATTTGAAAGTTTGAAGTCAAATTCTAAATAATGAAAAAAAAATTAAATTAAAAAATAAAATAATTGTTAATTTTAAATAATCGTAATCATCTTTTTCGCATTAAATAAATTATTGTTTTGAATTATTAGTCTAATTATTTTTTAATAAAAAAAATCATATTTTGGAGATATAAGAAAGAATTATAAATACTAAGATTTTTTTTCACCAATCAAATGAATTTTTATATTAAAAACAATCAAACAATTATAAATATTATGATTTGAATTATTGATTTATTAAATATCACTTTTTAACTATATAAATTAACTGAATTAATTTTTAGATTCATAATTTAATTATCTTTAATATCATATTTATTATCTTTATTAAATGAATCACCAATTAAAAAAATATTTTATTTGATTAATATCCAAAAATAAGGTGGCGACTCGTAAACATAATTTGCCTAAATAGTAGCAAGATTATGCATAATTTTCTTTATATAAATGATGAAACCTTTGTTTTTGGACTAGAGACGGATCTAGAGAGAGGGTAATAGGGTTACTGTTCTCGCTAAAATTCTAAAAATTAATTTAAATTATTATGAAATTATTCAAAATTTTAATAATTTTTGTATTTTGCTCCCATTAAAATATTAAAAAAATAAGAAGAATTATTAGAAAAAATTCCAAAAATTTTAGTTTTTGTTTAGTCTCTTAGACCCCGTTAATTGTAAAAAAATATATATAAATCTTTTATAATATTAAAAGGTATATGAATATATTTTAAAATAAAAAATAATTAAAATAATGAATCATAATGTGAATATAAAATTATTATAACAATATTATTGATAATTAATATAATAAATTTGCCTAATGTAAATCATGAATCCATCCTTGCTTTCGAGTTTTTGTTACTTGTAATGATTAGTGGCCAGTGATAATCAACAAAAATTAACAAATGCTTAGTTATTATCCATTTATAACTAGCGACAAATATTAAATTGTTGATGGAAAATATAATTTATTGATAAATGACATAAATGGATTGTGCTTAAGGTTCCCTTTTTTATAGCCAAAAATTAAAAAAAAAATTTCCTAAATCTAATGATGTCAAACTATAGCACATGTTTTATTATATATTTGGAAAGAGGAGATTCACACAAAATTGGGCCCACATTAACAGACATCCAAGTTAAAGGCCGGCCCAATAAAATTCAAATAAAATCAAAGAAACCTGTTTGACGCAATTGTCAAGTCAATTCTTTCATGGTTATAACGGTCCGATTTCTTTATATATATATATATATATATATATATATTATATAATTTTTAAATTTCGATTTAAATCCAAACTTTTATTTGATTTGATTCAATCCGAACTTTGATCACTGCTAGGTTTTGATTGTATTGCTTGGATTGCATTTGAAAAACATGTTTATTAAATATCTTGGATTTCTTATGCAGATCCCTTTCTCGATCAGTCGGCAGATCATTTTCTAATCCGAGAAGCTATTCAGAGTATGTTCTCTGAATGTACAACCAAGAGCATAAATGCATTCAGATCATTGGGCCAGGACAAAGTTTTGTGTTAACCTCTCTATAGTGATTACATGTTTAATTTATGTGTTTCTGATTCTTTACTGAGTGTTCTGTTAGTGCAAGATTTTTGAGATTTTAGCGTCTGATTTTACATGCAGTGACAAAAAGAAATCTAGGAGTGTATCTAGATCACCTCAACCACGGGGGCTCCCCATTTCCTCTGATAGGATGTATCATTCCCTAAGAAGTCAATCTCTATCTCCTCGGTCATGCTTTCCTGCAAGACGAAGACCGTCTTATTCCAGGCAAAGATCTCGATCTCATTCACTTAGCAGATCACCATCTCCTGTAAGACGTAGATTACGTTCTCCTTATCAGCGCTGGTCACCTACACTCGTTCGTCGTAGATATCTTTCACCCATCTGTCGTCATAGATCACCATTATCAATTCGACGTCGCAGATCATCGTCTCTTGTTCGACGTCATAGATCTCCATCAACTGTGTTTCGTAGATCTAGTTCGCCTGTGCGCCGCAGATCTGCTTCATCTGTATGTCGTAGATCTCCATTACCCATGTGCCGTAGATCTCCATCACCCTTGCGACATAGATCACCTCATATGCAACGCAGATCACCCTCTTCTGTGCGACAGCGTCATCACAGATTGTCATCAACACCACGACATAGGTCGTCGTCTCTTGTGCGACGTAGATCACCGGGTTCCAACCGTAGGTCAATAACTCCTTCCCATGGTAAGTCTCTTTCACTTTATCAATCATGTTCTCTGTCTCCTGTGCAACATAGATCTTCTTCACCGCTTAAGAGGTCTCCAAAGGATTGAAGATCACCTTCGTTTTCTCCTGGAGAAAGACAACGGTATGATGACATCCTGTTCCTACTGATTTTGTCTATTTGAAAATTCTTGGGTATGTGAAACAGTTTAATGAATATCGCAAAATTCTGTGGTGCAGAATGCGTAGAAAGTTGTCTCCTGTGGGACATAGGTCCTCTATTATGAGGTCCCCGCATGGAGATTTTATGGATAAGAGGAATGCAGTCGATAAAGTGCCCGCTTTATCACTGTTCCTGAATCAACCCTTCCTTCTCCAAATCTCCATCACCTTCGAGTAATCGATCTGCCAGTGAAGATAGGAGGTAAATTTTTAAACTTTTCTTTGAGATGTTTTATTTGTATCATAGTCCTTTATTTTTTGTTGAGTGTCCATGCTTATGCTACTAATTTGTTTCACATTGTTGACCCTGCAGGTCGCCAAGTCCGTCTGAGAGTCCTATGAGGCAAAAGAGGGAGCGAATTGCTCGTGATAATAGCTTTAGTCCTGAACAGAAACCGAGAGAAATGAAAAGTCGGCAGGACAGTCAAGGGAATGGGAGAAAAAATGAAGCCAGCAGAAGCAGGTTAGATTCCAAATTAGTAATTTTTCTTACTATTTTAGTGCTTCTGTTGGCTCTTGTTAGATTATGAATGTTCAATTTAGTTTGTTCTAGTTTTTCCCGCAGGCATTCATTGCCAGACAGTAAGCAGAAGGTTTCTCCTAGGAAGGTTTGCACTCCTCAACGATTGGCAGGCAGGTCTACCGAATCTCGGAGTCTGCTTGATAACTTAGAATCGAGAAATAAAGACCTTCAAATGAAGAGGTATTATTTTGTTGCAACCATAACTTTATTCTTGTTTAATTACCAGATGTAGAGGTCTGACTGTTCTAGCTTATTTCTCACAGCAAGAGGTCTTCTGGAAAAGAGGTTCATTTGGGAACACCTGATCGACACAGATCACCAGCTTTATCTGAGGGCTCATTTTAAGGTGAGAAGCAAAGTACATCACGTCTGAGAGAAGGAAAAAGATCTGATGAGAGGAGCCGCTGCCATCAAAATAATATGAAGGACAGTGATGAACGCCACAAAGCAGAAACTTTACCATTGTTGCATGAAAAGGTTGATCATAATAACCGTGGTTTGGATTGAGGTTCTGAAGGAAATGATAAGCGCAGAACTAAGCATAAGGAAAAGAGAGAGCATAAAAGGTCTGAGAGACGTGAAGTTAATTTGGATGATTTTTCTAGTTATGATTCTGAAATTGAGGACAGGAAAGAGGCTAAGAGGAGGCGAAAGAAAGAAAAGAGATTAAGAAAGGAGGAGAAGTGTTGATGTCGTGAGGAGCGGCATTGCAGAAGAGAAGAACGGCGTGCAGAGAAGCTTAAAATGAAAGGTCAAGCAGATGACTCTAATTCGGATGGTGAAAACGCAGCAAGGACTAAGGAGGAAGTCTCATCCAGGTGATGATGAAAAAGGCAGGGGCTGAGCAGAAGCAGCTTGAAATCGAGTTAAGGAAGAAGGCACTTGAATCACTCAAAGCAAAGAAGGACATTAGTCACTGAATCTTTTGTGTTTTGAACACTAATATGTTATTTTATCATTGTTCTTGTTTGGCAGATAAATTTAAATAGGAGTTTTATGTTTCAAATTGGAGTGTCTTTATATTGGTTACTGCTTAATGTACTTTGTTTTTACCGCTGGCAGCTGGAATAGATAAATGAGGATTTCCTGAGCTTTTCTCTTGAGTGCAACTTTATACAGGCTTTGCTGCTAGATTTCTGGTAATAACTGTCACTGTCTTCACTCAATTGGGAATTTGTTTTCCTCATAATTTGTCACATGGGAGTCAACTGTGAAGGCGTGTTGTTGCCTTGATTTTTTTTGCAGTTGTCTTATTTGATGTAATTAATGTGAATGTGAGTTTGACTTATGCCTTTGTGTAGAAATTAAACAGGTGTGTTGGATCTAATAGTTTGTTTATTTAGATAAAACATTACATGAACTCTTTTCTGATGTGCTAATATGACATTTCTAAATCACTTTTGTGGTCAATTGGTAGATGAAGTTATTTTCAAGTAGATGACTTGGTTGAGCAGGCCATGTGCAGATCTCCAATTTGAACTTCAATTCAGGTGAGGAGTTTTCATTCTTTTATGGGCTCCTTGGGAGAAGAAATCAGTTTGGATATGCAACCTCTTGATATATTTATACTGCCTACTTTCTTACTTTGGTTTAACCTCAATGGTTGGCAGCTTGGTAGTTGTTGCTGGGACATTGTTTTCTAAAATTATCATGGTTCTCAGACTTGTTCTGTCCTGATTCTGCACTTACAATGAATTTATTTGCAATGATTAACCCTGAGAATATTTCTTAAAATCTTAAAGGTAGATCTATTGCAATTCTAATCGGGTACTGGTTTGAAATATTTCATTATAACGAATATAAGCCAGTTGTTTCTAGGATGTAAGACATGCTGTGACAAAATAGTGTATATTTGAAATGTGGCAAGAATGATAACATTTTTCATGTATAGGTTGTGTGTTTTATCTGCTATGGTTGCGCTTTATCTGCTTTCTTCGTAGGTTGTGTGTTTTGCGAACCACATATTTCTCTGGTATTGATGATTTCATTCCTGTTAGTGGAGGTCTATCTTCCATACTTCTTCTTCATAATGTCTAAACTGTGTGTTTAAGCATTTTTGAATGCCCTGAGTCAGTATTGGTGGCTTTGGGACAAAGGAATTATGCTGTAGTTGAGCTTGAGCAGGATGTAGCACCTTGAAGGCTTAGTTAATCAAAGTTGATTTATCGTATGCCATGGGCTGTATGGTTTGGCAGTTGGGATAGAGTAACTCATCTCCTGCACAGGAAATTTGTAGTACGGCCTCATTCGGGTGGTTCTATTTCATTCTTACTTTATTGTGAAGGCGGACAATCTTTTCATTTTTAGGAAGGTACTAAAAGAATATCAGGATGTTTTTGTGTACCTTTAAGCTTCTGGGTTTGAAGTAGATTTTTCAGGTGCTGATAATTTTAGTATTGTCATAGTTGGTGATTGATGACAGTTGACACTATTTTTTTTTTTTCCATGTGGTCTCTATTTACCTCCCTTAAGCAATTTTTGTTCAAGGATGGGATCAGTTTTTTCTGACTTCTGAATCAGGCAAAGAAATAAATGCAACTCTCCCCTACCTCCTCTTCTCTTAGTTAGTTCTTTATTTTCATTTTTAGAGAAAAATGGAAATGATCGGACCAGCCTGAAAACCAGGTTGATCCAAACAGCCATCTGGTTATAGGAGCCATCCAAGGGCGTCAATGGATAAGCAAAAGTTTTATTTTGTTTTTCTGTTCACCAGTGTTTTATTGTTGGCTATAGTACTGATTATTTACTATGTTGCAAGCAGTCTCTTTGCCAATGTCGGTAGGTTCTATTTTACTGATTTGCCAATTGTTTATTAGTCGATTATCAGGATATGCATTTCTAGTCATCCGAGTGATAGCCAAAAGCTTAGTTGTCAAGAACTCAAATCCATTTTAAGTCAATAGTAATTCCTTTTTATTTTTTTCTTCTTTAAGGGTGGAATCATAATAATGATATTAGTCATCATAACAACTCAACATATATTTAAAAAGTTTATGTTTATGCTTTTATACTCGGGTCTTATAATTAGATCTTACAATTTAATCCTTCGATTCAAGGTGGGTGAATAAATATTTAATCGAGAACCATCTTAATGGTATCGATCTTAAAAATTTTAGTCAATGAATCACCCATTAAATTTTGGTTCAAACTTCAATGATATTGATCCAGGGCGATCAGTGGTCGACCTGGAACGTTACACATTTTCTTTTATCATAAAGATATTGTTCTTGGCTTCTGGGTGACCAAGCTTATCTGACTGTGAGTCAGTGGATGAAGTTTGAGACAAGTAAACTGCACGACAGATCTGTCATTTTCGGGTGGTTCAACGTATATAATATGTTTTTCTTTTTTTGGACAATTTCCCTTAGTATATATAATCTGACTACGTGGCTGGCTAATTTTCTGGTGGTTCAACATATATAATCTGATGCGCTACTCAACGACTGGCTTGCAATTTCCTTTAGTTGATAATATATTGACTACGTGGCTTAATTCTATTTGCTAGCTTTCCATATCTCCTCTCATCTGGATAAAACGCAATTGCCACGGCCACAGGCATCAAGAACTGTGAACTAAATGGAGCCAGATAATTGTAATATACAAAGAAAATTCGTTGAATTGAGGGAGAGGGTTGCCATTTGACATCGTTTTGTTTCTGTTTTTATACAACCTATCCATGGCTTCAACTCTTACCTCCAATTCATTTCTCATAACCACCACACCCCAGTCTAGGCTAACCCTCAAGAACCCAAAATTCACTGTGTTTGCCAAAAGGTCCGTTCCCTTCTCTCCATTTCAGCTTGGAAAAGCTAAAGATAATCCTGAAGAAGGCCAAGCTGAAGATTCAGGCAATTCTAGTCCTTTCAGTTTCAATTTCGGTAAGGTACTTGATGTGAAAACTTTGGTCCCAGTTGTAAGTAAACCTTCCACGGGTTTATCGTTTGGGAACCTAAGAAGAAAAGATCCAAACACTGTCTTTGTTGCGGGTGCAACCGGGCAGGCAGGCATTCGCATTGCACAGACGTTATTGCGCCAGGGTTTCACTGTTCGGGCTGGTGTGCCTGAGCTTGCTGCTGCCCAGGAGCTAGCTCGTCTTGCTGCCAAATACAAGGTTAGCAATCTTAAACCAAAGCCACAATAATCCTACGCATAGGCTCAGTTTTCTAATATGAAAGATCTCTGATAAGAGTACTGCAGTAGGTTCTAACTTTTCTGATAAGGATCTCCTAGTTTTATATTCTATAAAAATGCATTTCCATGAATCGAATTGTTCATGGAGCAATGAACTTTGAATGCATCACAGACTGATACAACATCTTCTAATACTCCGGAGCTTGTAATCTTAGAAGGTTGCTTTCCTTTTTTTTTCCCCAAAATTGAATTAACAAAGTAAGTAATCTTTTAAAGATCAAATGTCACTTAAACATGATGATATATCCAATTCATATGGGAATTGTATATCTCAATCTACCAAAATGGGAAAAAAAAAAAGGCACTTTATTGATCAAATAACAAGGCTTGAGGATCAACTGGAGACAAATTTCAACACTATTGGCATCACAAGATCAGATGTAATAATTGTTTGTTCAGATGATACCTAAATAAACATTTATGAACCATATGAAGATGTTAATCATTTTTTGCACAACACTAATCTTTTGTGACTACAGATCATATCGAACGAACAATCAAAACGCCTCAATGCAGTAGAATCCACCTTCCAAGATGCAGAATCAATAGCCAAAGCAATTGGCAATGCCAGCAAAGTTGTCGTCACTATAGGCCCTGGTGAAAACGGTCCCACTTCTGAGGTCTCCGCATCAGACGCCTTACAAGTGATTGAAGCTGCTCAACTAGCCGGTGTAAGCCATGTGGCAATAGTCTATGATGGTAACCCAGCTGGTTCTTCAACTTTTAATGTGCTTGATGGGATCACATCATTCTTCACGAACCTCTTCTCTCAATCTCAACCGTTGAGTCTCTGTGAATTCTTACAAAAATAATCGAAACTGGCATTAGCTACACATTCTTAAAGGCAAACCTGACAGAAGATTATTCGGCAGAGAGCTCTTACAATGTGGTGGTGTCAGCCGAAGGAAGCATTGGTGCAAACGACTACAAAGTAATGTAACATAATGTAATGTATGCTGTTTTATCTGTTTCTTTGTAAAAAATTTTCTTCCTTGATCATAATTTTTGTTTATCTTATTGCTCATTATCTTTGAAAATTGTGGTTAGGTTGCAAAATCTCAGATAGCATCTCTGGTGGCAGATGTTTTCTCCAACACAGCAGTGGCAGAAAACAAGGTACATACCATTTACTTTCTCTTGTGCTTCTTAAAACCATCATTTTGAAGAGTTCATTATAGGTTTATTTAGGAGGTAAAAGGATCAATTTAAGATGACATATAAATCCAAATGTGACCATGGATTTTATTCCATGTAAAAATGATGTATATGTAAATACTTGTATCTTGCATGATGCCAGAACTCAAAGTCTGCTTAAAGTTGGATAGCAGTTTATATTTTTCTGTTTTATTTCTTTGGTTTCAAATGATCTTTTTCTGTTCCTCATATATCTTAACGGTTGCTAAATGAGACAGGTTGTGGAAGTTTTTACGAGCCCATCAACTCCATCGAAGGGTGTAGATGAGCTTTTCAGGTAAATAGCTTGGATGGATGTTAGTTATCAATTATATGGTTATAAAAGATTTTAGATTGCTTGGGAAAGATATATGTCCTAATTTTGCTTTTGTTACTTGCTTTTAAGTGCTATTCCCGAGGATGGAAGAAGGAAGGCCTATGCAGAAGCTCTTGCAAAGGCTAAAGCTGAAGAAGAGGCAAAAGTAGCTGCCGAGAAAGTTCGTAAAGCAGCTGATGCAGCAAAAAAGCTGGAAGAGGAAGTGAAAAAGCTTTCAGAGCAAGAAGCCAGGGCTGCTAGTCTAGCTGAAGAAGCCCAAGAGAAAGCAGAGGCCGCAGGGGTGTCGATGGAAGGCCTCTTGAGTCAAGCAAAAGACTTCAGTGCAGGACTTTCTTGGGAAAAATTCAGTTCCCAGATAGCAACTGCAGCTCAAAAGGCTTCCAATATGGAGAAGCCTAAAGTGCAGATTGCCACTGTGAGGGGACGAGCTAAGGCTAGAACGCTACCGTCCAAGAAAGCTGTTGTTAAGCAAGCTCCCATATCTTTTTTTCCAAAGCCAAAGGAGGCACCAAAACCTAAGGCAAAAGAGACAGAGAAGGCAGAAGTGAGAAAGGTTTTTGGCGGCTTCTTTCAGCAAGAAACCATATATGTCGATGATGACTGAGACACAATAATTTGCAGCCAATATCTTTCCCAGTCTTTCGTATGATTTTTATGCAAATGTGGTTTAATATTTGTATAATTATTGTTGGAGGTATTATGAGTCTAAGAAACATTCATTGGCTTAAGGCTATGTTAATTACTTTGTCCAAATGTGAAAAATAATTTTCATATTTTTGGTAAATATTAAGCAATATCTAACCAAAAGATCGCCTGATTACTCATCGTAATTGCCACCAATTGGCTTGAAAGTCGCCCATTATGTTTCATATATATAAATATATATATATATATATATATATTATTTTGGCAGGCTGCAAGCAATAAACATTTCCACGGTTTGAGAGAGGTGATCTCAGGCTGTTGCTGTTTGAATTATCTGTCTTTTCCTTTACTCCTCTGTACAACGAGAACACATTGAAATTAAAGGATCGATCATCGAACATAAATCCTGAATTTTTTTTCCCACCGCAGTAGATGGTAAGTGCAGCTGCAGCAAGAGGTTTCAGTTTCACATCGTACAAGGCTCAGCATATTAGGACTTTAAATGAATCAAACATGAACGAATAAATATATATTTGTGTTTGTTCGTTTATTTTTAAAGATGTTTGTATTCAATTTATATTTGTTAAGAAAATTATTCTATTCGTTCATGTTCAATTCGTATTAATTCAATTAAATTAAACGAGCTTGTTCATAAATATTACATGAACATATTTAAAAACATATATAAATGAACACATTTATAAACTATAAACAAATCATAATCAAACAAATTTAAACAAATAAATCTTAAATAAATATAAACGAACTCAAACAAACATAAACAAACCTTAAAATAAGATTAGGATAAAAGATAAAAATGTAATTTTATTAATATTGTTACAAATGAACAAAAAACGAATAATAAATGAACAACAAACGAACGAATTTTAAAAAATTTTAAATGAATTTATTCATGAACATTAATGAACGAATAAACAGCTGTTCCTATTTCGTTCATTTAATAAACAAACATATAAGTAATTTTCAAGATCGTTTGTTAAACTTAATAAATGAACATAAATGAATAAAAATCGAATATGTTCACAAATAATTCATCAAAAGCTCTGTTTAATTACACTCTTAAGCATATCTGATAACAAATTAGAACCATCGCACTAAATGCTATTATATGGCCTCGATCTGGATGTGCTTTGCACTTACGAAAGATTTCATCACCCAGCTATATATTCAACACTATTACATGCAAATATATACATGTATGGATTCTGAATCTGATAGTTGAGTTCGCACTATGCAATAGTATGCTTTTATCTGTCAGTAATATATTTGCAAAGTCGAGGCATCTCCTACGATCTTTCCATTTGTATGGAGTCAAGACATGCAAGGGATATAGAATAAGATAACATTAAACCTTGAAATCTCAAAGGTTTAAAATTTATGCTCAGAATAGAATTGAAAAAAATTCCAACTGATCAATTCTTCTTGCTTTTGTTTCACAATGCAATTAAGGCATGACTGACTAGTTCCTTAGTAATGGTTCCTGCAAAAGAAAGTGCAAGATATATATACACAGACATACATACATGTATATTTGCAAAAAATTCCAGGGCAAATGATTAAAAAGAGGCTAAAGGCAGGATTTCGGAATTCAGAAAATTAAAGACTCCTTTTAAGTACTTTCAAATAAGCTAAATAACTGAAACTAAGATTTAATCCAGTTAAGTCATGCAATCACCATTAAAAAATGATATATAATAAGTTTAAGATTCAAATTCAAGTATTTATAATTCCTTCTCCTAACCCTAAACTATAATTTTTTTTTTTATAAAAAAATTTTCATAAGCTTATCCTAAAAAAATTTGACCTTACAATATCAGATTCAGAAAATTCAAGTACTTGTATATATACTTTGTTTTCAATATTGCAATGCCCTATCAAAATCTACATAACAAAATAAAAAGATTGTGCTTACATGTATTCCAAGTGATTTGTGAAACGTCAAAAGTTGAAATTCGTTTGATGAAATGCCAGCCAAATCTATAGGAAATGTGCATTTACATGCAGCCTATACTTAGAATTAAATGTTTGTTAATTAATATGTAATGACTTCAAAATAAATTTAAAATTAAACGTAATTGATCATGTAATCACCCTTAAAAGACAGTATTTAATTTTCAATGCCGACAACTTGTTTCTTTATCTTTAACCTGTTACTTCTTTTGTAAAAAAAATTAACGAAATTTAGGCTTTCCCAATGTCAGCCCCTGGCTGAACTTTGTTGTACATAAATAAATTTGATAAAGCCATTAACAATTGGTTCAAAACTTTCACGTTTAGTTATGTAGAAATGAGTTTAGTGAAAACCTGTCGTTAGGACTGTCAGCTTCTTACAACAATCACTTATTTATAGTCTTATGTTTGGATTAATATTGTGGGAAACATTAGACATAGATGGAATTCCTTTGTCATTCCCTTTATCTTCAGTTTCTCATTTGAAGAACCAATGCCAAATCCCTAGAATATCAGATCCTAGAATCTCCGACATATGATTTATCATTTACCTCAAGGTTAATTTGTTACCTTGGAAAGACAACATCAGCACTATATCTGTTTCTAATTACTCTTCTATCTGTAAAATGCTGCCATATAAAACTTAAATCAACCTTTTTTTTCCCTGATAAGTGCTATAAATCAATGTTGTTTGAACCATAATAATCTTGTTTTTATTATCAAGCAACGAAAAGACCATGCAAATATTTGTTATTACACGACAATTTAAAAGACAAACTCTACTTAATTGTGCTCTACCTTGAGAAGCAATGCCGACACCTATACAAATTAGTTTTGACCAATATCCTATATTTTACTGAATCTATTTCTGTTTCTTCACTTTTATTTGAGTAGAAGTAGATATATGGAGACTTAAAACCGGGTTTAATTCAATTATTAGTTAAATCATGTAATTACCTTTAAAAAATAACAGGAAATAGATTTCATAGTAATTTCTACGATTATTTTCAGATTATGATTTTTATATATATATATATTATATATAAAATTTTGTTTTATCTTATAATGGGTACATGAAATATTATTTGTTGTAGATAAATTTTTAAAAAAAATTTCTTCAAAATCTCCAATGTTATTTATTGCACATAAATTTATGTTAGATGCCATAATTTAAATAGTAAAAGATGTCATTGCAAAAAAAACATAATCGTAGATATGAATAAATTTTGATATATTAAATTTGAGCAAGGTAAATTCTAAATACATGAAGAAATTGATAATAAATGCCATCATAAATGTTTGTGACTAAATATTATAGCCCCTCAAAAAAGTTAGAGGGCTAAATAGAGAATATAGTACATATGTTTTTCTTGATAAATTCCACTGTGGATGTAATAATTTTTTCATAATATTAATCATCCAAAAAAAAAAAAAAACAAACAAACAAAGGGAGGGAAAAAAAAAGTACCATGATAATTTTTTCGAATTTAAAAGAACTTTTTGGTAGTCATTGACGGCGATGAATCCTGAGGTTCAGGCCCCAGTCTGAGTTCAAGGTCCAACTCCGACCCTGATGAACCCTGGTTTGATGAGAAGTCTTTTTCAGTGCCCCCTTGAACTTGACTGCTCGGATTTTGATCTGTTATTGATGGTTTTTCATCAAACAAAGGCAGTTGCCTGATTTCTCCAACATGGCAGGTGGTTTTGGTTCTTTTATTATCATCATCGTCGTCGTCGTCCTGAATAACCCAAGGCCACCTTCCAGGGCTGCTTCTGTCTTGAGTAGACCTGGAATCAGCTATAGACTGTATTGTTGTCCAGCTCGGATGGTTCGGAGAATACGAGGGGATAATCTTTGGAATGTCCAAAGATCGTTGAGTAGTTTCACTTGGTAAAGCTTGTTTGAGCTTGGCTTTGTCTCTGCGATGAATATTCATGTGGCCTCCCAGGGCTTGTGCATTGGAGAAACCTCTCTTGCAAAAGGTGCACTTATAGGACCTTGCAGGGTTTGCTTCTTGTTCATCCGAGGATTCCTGGTCTGGCTTTTCTAGTGCAGGCTGATCAGTCTCCATTAATTCAAGCACTTTAAGAGAAAGATCGAGAGAGAGAAGAGAGAGAGACGGACTAAGTCAACTCGAAGATAGCGAAGGTGTTTTCATATAAATGGAGGCCTGCAATCGTCGAGACTACAAATGAAATGATCTGTAACTTTCTGGATTTGGACAATCTCAATTCCACTAAAGGACAAATGTAAAAATTTTTATATATTTGGTAATGAAAGGAAAGACATTGGACGGTGTTTATTTGTCTTTAATAAAATATAATTGCTAGATAAAAAATTTTTTATTATTTCAAGTTATATAACAAAAATTATAAGAGATGAATATTGAGTGCATTAACACTTAAGTTTGAATTCTTTCAGGATTTTTCCTTGATAGGCAATTTTTAAATTAAAAAATTTTGCGAGTGAAAATTTAATAAATTCATAAATTTCAATTGAATTGATGATTTATTTTAATCTTAAAAATAAAATAATTTATTCTGCTTTCAAACTTTTATAGACAAAAATAAATAAATAAATAAATAAATTGGTGGATAAACCGGAGTGATCCTTGCAATGTTTGACTTGTTGGTACATGTTTAGGGTAAAGAATCTATGCTAGATCTCTACAATAAATAAATGTTACCAAAGTTAGACTTAAAAATAAAAAATAAATAAAACATGTATTAATCTCTTAATATTGCATGTATAATTAAAAATTTATATTGATAATGTATCAGATACTAATTTACATGCAAATCAATATATCATTACTACCTCAAAAGAGATAAATGTGAAAAAAAACAAAAAGGAGGTGAAATGAATAGTATTTTAGAAATCATACAAATTTAGCTTTTGGATGCCATTATTAATTCAATAATATTTTTTTTCTTAGTTTTAAGATGGAATTAGTCTTTCAAAAATAATTGTTGAGATTCAAATTAATCTTATTAGCTTTGAAATTTTCTTTGTTATATCATTATTGCTATTAGCTTTTATATTAATAAATAAAAAATATACATTGAAATAGGAACAAACAATATGACAAGATCCCATCACCCCCGAATCAAAACTTCTTAGTTTCTTATAAAGACTTCCATCACTAATAATTCTCCAAATGTCGCACGCATATGTTTGCAGATAAACAACATTAAATCTATGGATAGAAAAATAAAATTAAAAAAAAACAATATTAAACATAAAATATGTGTATTTAAACCTCTTATTATTATTAATTTTTAAATATAACTTTTAAGATATCTATATTCATGATACATGGATCCCATAATTCATAATTTTTTTTTCTTTTATACTTGAAATTATTAAAAATTAAATTTTAATGGCTAAATTTAAAATTTTAACATTTTACCAATAGATAATACAATTATTAACATAATTCATAAATTTTCATTAAGAGTGACAATGTCAAATTATCAAATTGACAAATTCTTATTTCCATATTAATTACTAAATAGGAATTTCCAATGTCAAGTTATCAAATTGACAAATTCCCATTTCCATATTAATTACTAATTAGGAATTTTCAATGTCAAATTATCAAATTGACAAATTCCCATTTCCAAATCGAATTTTCAATGTCAAATTATCAAATTGACAAATTCCCATTTCCAAATTAATTACTTATTAGGAATTTCCAATCCATTATATATACATATATATATATACACACTAATTAGGGCATTGAAAAAGCATTTTAATTTTTCTATTTTCATGGTGGAAAGATGAGGATACTTTCTCTTACATTAAACAAACTTTGTTGGCTACCTGAATTTCAACAATTCTAAACATTAATTTTGCCTACATAAATTTGGCCGCCCATCGTTGCCAATGCCAAGCCAGTCCATACTCCATATGTATGTGCTTAACCTTGTGGGATAGACCATAGAGCAACACAGATGGAAGCTGGCTAGGACTAAGATAACACGTGCCAGCCGCCTTCTCCACCCTTGTAACCCAACCTTTCCCCCTTTGCCACGTGGAAATCTACAAGATTATATATATATATATATATATATATATATTTATATCCAGACTTTTTATCAGTTTTCATAAAAAGTCATATTAAGGCAGGATGATAAATATTTTATAAAATACGTTAATTTTTATATTTTTGTTTCATGACCTATATATATATAAAGAAATTATCACAAACTAGAGTTTTTAGATACTACAAACTGGATCAATAAGATTACGAGTTTTTAGATACTATAATCTGGATTAAAAGGATTACATATATTTTTTAAGACATAATAAAAAAATTAAAAATATAAAAAATATATAATAATTTTTTAATTTCATTTGTAAAATTAAAATTGTTATTATCAATATGTAAAAATTATCAAACATGTAAGTATAGATTACTTAACAAAACAAAAAAAAAAGTTTATAGAGTACAATTGTGGCATTTAAATTGTGGTACGTTTTTTTTTTTTTTTGTAAATACAGAAAAATTGTAAATCCATCCTCTTTTTATTAATTTTAAAAGTTGACATGTATTTATTAATTTTTTTTTGTTGTGTAAGTAATAATTACTTTTACTTCATTCGCCTGAATTGTAATTCTCTACTTTTTTCTTTTTCTTTCTCAAAATCTTCTTTATTTTCTCTTCAATTGTGACATATACTATTAACTATATTAATTAGCTTTTGATAGGGACCTTTGATTTTAATTCTCATCAACAAAACTGCATCTTCCACCCCCAATATATATATATATATATATATTTATATTTCTTTTGGTTCGAGCTGCAAAGAAATTATTCTACAAGTACTGTGTCCTAAGGGGTAACAGCCTCGACCAAGTTCTTCACCGAAATGCAATTGACTATTAACAGTAAAACATTACATTAAATTATGTCAAGAGGCATTTTCCTTATATTATATCTTGATCCCTGTGTGCATCCATTAAGATTTAAGTATTAATAAATGCATGAATACATTTTATGATTCATGAAAACTTTGAAGAGTCTTTCAATTTTTTCTTCTTTGCCATTGTAGCCATTAGAAAAGACATCAACTTAACTCCAATATGCACCTTCTTGGTGTGACAAGAGAGTTTATATTAAGGATAATGGAACTATCTTGTTGACTTTGTAAACTTTATTGAAGAACAGAACAATTTTGTAGATGAAAAAGTCAAATAAAAGGAGAACAATCTAGTTTATTTTGTGGGTATATCACTGTTATGTTAATATTTTTATATGACCAAGGTTTGAAGCAAACAAGAATGGTCTATGCAGCTCCATAGAAAGAAATTGAACTTTATACAGATTTGTGATGGAAATCTTCGTTCTTATGTCGTGACGATTGTTCTTATGCAGATTATTTGTCTTGATGCTCACCAATTTTCCCAATGACAAGAATTTCTAGTTCTTGTAATCCTATGGCTTCTTTGAGAAAGCTGAAGTTTCAATAACTTTGTTAATTGTAGTAAAGCGGTACCATTGACAATTTCTGTTGAAATACCGGTTCTAATCCGAGTTAAGCAAATTGTAGAATGTAATTGAATTTCAAGAAACTGATGAATCTGTCACGAGGAGAAGAAAAAGTTGTGTATAGTTACTATGAAATATAAAAATGGTCATATGATATGAATACACCAAACAAATAACATTACGGATTACAAATATATTAGATTTGTATTTATTGTGTTTTCAAGAGGGGAAGATTGATTTTTTCTTTTTTTTTTTTTTACCAATTTTGATTCTATTGATCAGCAACAAATCATTCAACAATGAAACAAGCTCTGATTTCACCTTCTTCAGATCTCATCAACACCCAAAACCCATTTTCTTCTTCCTTTAAGCCCCGGCTTAACACCCATTTAATCCTCTCTTTGAAACCCAAAACTTCCTTGTCATTTCAATACAAAAGTCGCATTTTGAATCAAACCATGGCGCCGAGTAACATAAACTCTAACAGATGGTCACTCCAAGGCATGACAGCCCTGGTAACTGGCGGCACACGTGGAATTGGGTAAAAATAATAAATTCCCATTTTCATGAACATGAAAAAGCTTTGGCTTTTAGTTTTCATACATTGTAAAGCAGGAATTTTTATGAGTGTTTTTTATATGGGTTTTTTTTTTTTTTGGTTAGACGTGCCATAGTGGAGGAATTGGCGGGACTTGGAGCAAGAGTGCACACATGTTCACGTAATGAAAATGAGCTTGACAAGTGCTTAGTAGATTGGAAAACTCTGGGCTTTGAGGTTTCTGGCTCTATCTGTGATGTCTCTAATGGAGCACAAAGAGAGAGCTTAATGGAAAAGGTTTCATCTGTGTTTGATTGCAAGCTCAACATCCTAGTAAGCTTCTCGTTTTCCTCATTTTAATGTCTCTGTTATGTTTGTTTATTTGCCAATGAGAGTAATAGGGCTGAAGAAGTACCTTTGTTTTCACAGATTAATAATGTTGGGACCAATATCAGGAAACCAATGGTAGAGTTCACAGCTGAAGAAGTTTCAACTCTTTTGGCGACGAATTTCGAATCTGTTTTCAACTTATGTCAACTTGCTTATCCACTTCTCAAAGCATCAGGATCAGGAAGTGTTGTATTCACATCCTCTGTGTCTGGATTTGTTTCACTCAAGTCCATGTCACTTCAAGGAGCAACTAAAGGTAATATACATGTGAGAAGAATTTCATTGAACGATGATATTCCTTCTGTTTACTTGGGTGGTGTTTTGATGTGCAGGAGCTATCAATCAACTCACAAGAAATTTAGCTTGTGAGTGGGCAAAGGATAATATAAGGAGTAATGCTGTTGCACCTTGGTACATCAGAACTTCCATGGTGGAACAAGTAATTTTCCTTTCTGTCAGATCTTTTTTTATAGTTTGCACTGAATCCTGACTGTACTTTCATGGTGATGCTGGATTATGGTAATGGTAATACGCAGTGACTTGGGATCTGTTTGAGTAAACTTTCAATTTTCTGATCTGACTACATTTTTCCAGGTGCTTGGGAACCAAGAATATTTAGAAGAGGTGTATTGTCGAACTCCTCTTGGGCGCCTTGGTGACCCAACAGAGGTTTCATCCATGGTAGCATTCCTTTGCCTGCCTGCATCATCTTACGTAACTGGTCAGATTATCTGTGTTGATGGTGGCATGTCTGTAAATGGTTTCTACCCAAAAAATTACTAGAAGAAATAAAACTTAAAACAAGGACTTTTTTTTTTTTTTTTAGATGTGTTGAATTAATGGATTGCTATTTTCTCCCAACACTCTTTTCGGGTACATAAAACTTTCACTGGATTTGCTCTTCAATAAAGCATCGGATTAATTAATGGATTAGCCTTAACGTGGATTTGATCATGAAATTATTAATTTAAATTCAAATATCAATTTCAATGAAATTTATTTAATATAAAATTTTTATTAAAATTTATTTAATTATTTTTTTTAATCTTAAAAATAATCCGTCGAACATGCACTAACCTACAACCAAACACGCACTAAACTACAACCAAATTTCCCTTACCTCACTCATCAAACATCCCTTTCTATCAAATCAAACATCTCTCTGTTACCTGCTTCTTTTGGTCCAATCAAAAACTATTTTTCATTTTTGTATTCGCAATTCAATATAGATGAATATTCCGGACATGATATAAAAACCAACATAACTAACCATACATTCCCTATTTCCATTTGATTAAACTCGGGTTAAAGTTTTTCTCTTCCCTTTGGTCCTCAATTTCTCTTGATTTTTTGTTTTTCTTTTTTTTTTTTCCATCAATGCCAAACAACTGCCAACCTTAACCTTTTGTTTCTCAGATGCATCGACTTCATGACAAACAAGTTTTGCTTGCCATCTTGATTTTGCACGTGTACCTTTCTGTTCGGTTTCTCTCACGTTTGTCCCCTACTCTTCCCGTACTTTCTCTCTATAATTCACACGTTGTCCAATGTTTCTCTTCCACTGTCGTGCTTAATCCACTTTCGTGTGATTATTTGCTGCTTACCTGAAAATATGCTCCCCCTCATAGTTGTGGACGTTAAAGAGCCTAAAGGCGCCTTCTCTTCCATGCAAACTGTAAATAAATTCTATGTGGCGGTGATCTGCTGCGAAATGATGAGCGAAGGTGAAGCATCAACACAGTGGCAGCCGAGTCCACGGGCCGCCAGGAGACGTAGAATGGATATTTGACGGATTAAATTCGTGGACATGGCCCCATCGGAGGCTGAGAAAGGCCGGAAACGCCAGAAGCTCCAAGTTTACGCAGCCTCATTTTCTCTAGACTGTGAAAACGCTGAAGATAATTCTGCCTCCTATGAAGACGATGAAAAGCAAACGGTAAAAGTTAAAAATGGAAGATCGAAAACGAAAGGAATAATTGTGAAAAGTCACTCGACTCCCTCGCGTTTGATACCTGTAATTAATTCCGAGTTATATCATAAACTCGGTGTCGCTTCGGTTTGTGGAAGGCGAAGAGACATGGAAGACGCCGTCCCTATTCACACGTCGTTTCACCGCCAAGGCCAGGACTCTGCCGCCATTTACTTCCACAATTTTGGCCTCTACGATGGCCACGGTTAAATCTAACAATTTAAAACGTAATATGAATAAGTTATGAAAAATATGATACAAAAAATATTTTATACGAGACTGCTTAATATTATTAAGCAATAACAATAAATGGTACGTAAACCATAATATGAATATATAAATTTAAATATTTTATATAATATAAATATATAAATTATCAAATTTAATTGCGAATGCTCTCTCGTAAAAATTTTAAAAATAAAAGTAATGATCAGTTATTTCCTTTTCTTTACTGAAGAAATTGTAATCTTTTTTGATGGTTTTGGTTGTTATCATTTGCTAGGTGGCGATAAGGTGCAGAGAACTAGCCTCAACTCTCCTTATTTAGCTAGCTTCAATTTCTACAGGTTTTTCCAGCAACAAAGGAAGACCAAAAAAAAAAAAAATCGTCATTGTATATGCATAATTGACAAGAGACTAGAGTCCAGCATAACAATTGATAGAAATGAAATTAGATAATCTTAAAAGGAAAAACAAAAAGAGTTAAGAATCAGACAGCAACTTCATTCATGCAGGGAAATTATGGGTTGTAAAATGTCCGAACAAATCTATCAAATCATTCCACATTAGCACATGCTGTAAACATGAACAGAAATTAACCACTAAAAAGGTGGATTTGCACACAACATGCCATCAGGAACCCTCTTCTAATGTCAAGCCCTTGAAACTAATTTTCTCCGTTATGTTTGCTTGCTGTCTCCTTTGTTCTTTAGTGCTTTCAATTTTCTGTAGCCCTTATCAGTGCCAAATATCCTGACAGAGATTTTAAATGGTGATCAGCCATTGTCAGTATATGTTACACCACTTTCCAGGTTGTTGCTACAAATAAAATGATCTCTAGGAAAATTAAGTTGGATTGCAAATGAAAACAGATTTGGAAAACTAACTGTGATAAGGTTCAAGGAGCACATCAAAATTACAGACAGCACCCTGTACATGAACTCGAAACAGGTAACATCCACCATAATTCTTCTCCAAATTGAGTAAAACACGAGGAAATAATTCACAGGGCAAGAGCATCTAACATGAAAAGCATTCTTTCGATCATATAGACATCCACAAGGACAAACTTTTGAATGTGCATCAGCTACCATATAAGTTGGTTTAAAGTTTAAGCAGCATAATGAAGTTCCTAGTGATCGAGTGCAAACTATATCTACAACAGTCCTGACATTTTAACAGTTTAAATTAAATATATTTATGAATAAGGGAGATGTTAGTGACATTGGAAAGACATTTCAATTGGTTATGACTTAGTGAGACTCACGGAAAGCCATTCCATACCAAATATGAACTCAGAATGGTGCAATAAATCCCAAAAGCAGATTCAGTCCAGAAAAAGGCTTTTTTGCAATAAAATGGCAAAAGCTTAATGTATTGAAATTCCTAAGAAAAACAAAAAAAATGAAAGGATATAATATCCATATAAATTCATCTACTTCTCAAATGGCACAAATTTAGTGGCAACCACTATAACCTACACTCTGAACATGGAAAACATACTGATGCTTCAAAAAAAATAAATGCCTGAAACTCACCAGTCCATGTGAACAAATGTGGATGAGTAGTTGCCAGATTTTGTATAAAGCAAACGGTGATGATAGTCATGAAAATCGGCACTGGAAAAGAGAAAATATGAACAATTACTTCACAGCAGATGGATAAAAGATAAACATAGAACTACATACACTCATGAAGTAGAGCAACAAGTGAATGCAGATCTCACCCCCCATATAAAGGTAGAAAGTTTGAGAGGCTCCATGGAAAATGGTAACCACAATGTGCCTCAACTGTCTCTAGGACTCTAAGAACCATCCACAACCAGAGAGTAATCAGATGTGGGCCAGTGATGGCAGGACCAACAATTGTGGCAAAGCCAAGGAACAAAATCTCGGCAGGGTGAGCATACTCAGATGTCAGTCCAAATGGTGTAGCATATCTGTATAATTTATATGATTATCCAATAAGCAAAGGCAAAAGAACATAGGAAGAACAACATTTCATAGTTTTAGCTAGTACAAGCACCTAATATTCAGACTTACTCATGATGGACACTGTGGACATGCTTGTACAGCCATTTTGTATGTAAGATACGATGTCCCCAGTAAAACACAAAATCCTCCAGGATGAAGTAGAATATTATCTGTGATAGAACCACTTTCCTGCAGAAACAAATAAACAATCTAGCCAATTAGAACACCAAAACAGAGAATTTAATTGCATGCAGGTAAATCTATGGAGGATATATTCCAGATAAGTAATATAAACGAAGGCTATTATGTCTGAATGGGGTAAAAATGGAGGAAAAAAAGCTCTAGCATATAAAGAACCTGAAAATACCAGGATGGCAATGGTAGACTACTTTTCATGCCCATGAATCTGAAGACAGGATAAGAGACAATCATAAGTGGTAGGTTGACGCTAAAATGATACAGAATCAGACGGATGATACATTTTTCCTGAGCAGTAGGGCTGTTGTTTTTTGTCTGCATAGAAACATGAGTTAAAAATGAAACTAATTTATTATGAATTAGAAAAAGACTGATATCTTTTTCATCACTAACACCCCCTCCTTCCCCCCCTGCCAAATTTTATGTTAACAAAGTAATGACAGTTGATAACACTACCAGCAAAGAAGATGGAGTTAACCTGAATCTTGTATTTGCTCAGCAATCCAGCTCTTTCCAGATATATAAATGGAAGTCCAGATAAGAAAAAAACACTTTCATGAAGAAGGAAACTTCCCATACTTGCTAGTTGGAAGTCACTGAAATGTGTGATCAGATACTGCATGGTGAACAAAGAAGATTTTCAGGGACAAAAACTGCTGTTTATTCAAACTAATTAACAAACTATGCATCCATAGAAATCAATAAGCAAAATTAGACAAATTAGCGTTTACTCTGAAAAAAAAAAAAAAAAGGAAAACGGAGAAAAAACAATTCAAAGTTTCACTGAAGAAACTTTGCTGTAGACTAATAAAATGTAGGATCAAAATAACCACTGGCAAGAAGCACATATTCAACACTGAAAAACAAGGTGCTCTAATCTGGATTCCATTTTCAGGTAATTGTTATTGTGAAGTAATATCCTTGATGAGCTAATGAAGTACCTCATCTAAGAAAAAACCACGGTGAAGCAGTGACCTGGATTCAAAACCCAAACCTATGTCGATTCTGCAGTTACCATCATCCCAGTTATGAAAACCACAACAATCATTTGCAAGACTTAGGAAAAAAAAAAAACACTATGCCGGCATAATGCATTTCAGTTTGTACCAGACAAGAAAACCAAAGAGCATTATCCAATCAAATCCTTCTTAATAAACATCAACATCCAGCATCAAACATCTAAATGTACCATCCAAAAACATCTAAAAAACCTAAAACTTTCAAATAAAATAACCATCACCCAAGCAACCCAAACTTCAATTCCTAAAAGACTCAAGAATCACATAAACCCAAGATAGACAGATCCAAAACAGGCAATGATTCGTTCCCAAAAACTCAAAAAGCAACAAGAAATAGCAAAACGGAAGGAACTCTACCAGCCAGCCAGATTCCATAATGGAAGCCATGAGAGCTTGGAAGTGAAAAGAAGCTATTGATCTCCCCAATGGTTTTTTTACTAAAAATAAAATCTTCAGGAGAGAGAGAGAGTGACAGAGAGTGAGAGAAGCAAAGACCACGAGATGAGAACAGACTGTCAAAAGGAATCTGGCCTTTATTCATGCGCCTTTTTTTTTTCCCTTTTTACATTTAAATTCATCAACAGTAAAAACTAAAAACTAGCAAATATAAACAAAAAAAAAAGGCTTTGCACGAAATGCTATCAAGTTTTCAACTTTTCATTGAGAGAAGAAACAAGAAGGGTTTTTTGTTAGTTTTTCTTTGTTCTTATGTTTTCAGCAATAAAGATGAATCACACAAATTAGCCAAAAAATAAATACTAGCTTATAGAAAATAGTCTTTTTTCCAAGTTGAATTTTATAGATAAGGACAAATATATTTAATAAATCTTAATACATATTGGTTTTTTTTTTTTAAATTGACTTATTTTTTTATTTTCTTAAATTGAGAAGATATTTTGTTTCGCCATCGAGCTAATTATTTTTTTTATTGCTCTAATTTTTTATAAATAAAATATAATATAAGGTTTCATTTACTTCATTGAAAATGACTTTTAAAAAATAATTTTTATATTTTTATATATTTATTTGATAAAAAATTGATTGATCAATAAAAAATAATTTATTGATCAATAAAAATAAGATTGTTTTTTAAAAAATTATCTTACAAATTTAAAATTGAAAAGACAACTTTCGAAAAAAAAATTACCTGTGTAGTATTCATCAATATTTTTAGCATAATTTTACTTATAAATAATATTATATTAATAAATAAATAATATTATATGAACAAATAATATATTATTAATATAATATATTAATAAATAATATATTAATATATTAATAAATAGTATACTATTAATGTAATATATTAATAAATAATATTATAAAGAATAATAAATAGTTTTAGTTGAAGTATTTTTTTATATTAACATAATATTTTAATGTTAAATATTATTATTAAAATATAATTATTTTTAATATTAATAATTTTGCTAATAAATAATTTCAATATATTTTAATAAGAAATAATTTTTAATATTTTAATAGTTATGTTAATATTATTTGAAAAAATAAAATTAAAATTTCAAGAAACAACTAAACAACAAAAAACATTTATCATTAACTTATCCAAACAACAACAAAAAAATTTCAATTCAAAAAATATAAATATTTTTCAAAAATCATTTTTTATGAAACAAATAGAGCATAGGAGTTAAAAATAAATATCAAAATTATAAGCATTGAATTTTGAATTTTAAATAGATATTTTTTACTTTTAATTTTTTAAATTATGGTGGATTTTAAATCCTAACTTCTTGTTACAGGACCAAGCCTTTGTTTAGCTTAGAGCCTTAGACCACATTTCAATAATGCACTTAAATAACGCATGCAAAAATTAATGGGAAATTAATTTTTAAGTATTATTAGATCACTATGAGTCCTAATAAAATTTACAATAATAATTTTTTTACTTTATTAAAAGGAGAATCATGTACGATAATTAGGTTTAAAATTTACTCATGAATTATGGAATTTATATTTTAAAATAAGTGAGCCGAACTCCATTTGAACAATAATTATGGATGGATTGAAAAATAATGGAAGCAAATCAAAGTACCAAACCCCTATTTTACATCACATGTTCTCCGATTATTGAAGTTAGTAATTTACACAGGCAACACTTGTGCCTTTCATCACATGACATTGGATGAATTAATCACATATACATCTATCTATCATGATTGCCTAACTCTTGATTGCATGGACTCATAATTAGAGTTATTCATGAGTCAGATCAGATCAAATTCAGATAAAATTTATGTTTGATATTAATAATTTATATGTTTGTTTAAATCTGATTCAATTAAAAATTTTAAATTTTAAAATATTTTTAAATTTAATTCAAATTAAAAAAATAAATTTCAAGTCCACTCATTAAACTTAATCTATATAATAAATTTTTTTAAAAATATGATTAAATTAAGTTTAATAAGATTATATTTAATTTATATATATAAATTAAAAATAAAAATTTAATTTAATAAAATATATAATTTTTGTTTTTAATTTATATATAATTCATGTAAATGTAAAAATAAAAAATATATATAAGTTAAGGTCAAATCAGATAGGATTAAACTTTAAATATTTTGTTCAAAAGCCGATCCAAGATTTAAACATGTCTAAAATTTGTGTCCTTTTAATAGGTTCGAGGCTTCATTTGTTTTATGAAAAATGACTTATTGATCAATGAAAAATGATGTCATTTTTTTGAAAATTGTCTTACAAATTTGAAAAGGGAAAGATATTTTTCAAAAAAGAGCTATCATCAATACTTTTGAGTATAATTTTACTTATAAATAATATTATATTAATAAATAATATAAAGAATAATAAATAGTTTTATTTTAAGTATTTTTATATTAACATAATATTTCAATATTAAATATTATTATTAAAATATAATTATTTTAAATTTTAATAATAAATAATTTCTATATATTTTAATAATAAATAATTTTCAATATTTTAATAGTTATATTAATATTATTTGAAAAAAAAATTTTCAAAAAACAATCAAATAACAAAAAATATTTTTTTATTAATTCATCAAAATAACAAAAAATCTCTTTCAATTTAAAAAATGTAAGCATTTTTCAAAAATTATTTTTTAAAAGTCATTTTTTTACTAAACAAACGGAACTTTAATTTTTTATTTAAATACTCTCAAAATTTAAACGAATATTCAAATTTGAACAGATAACCTGACCTTTAAACAACACTACTTATAACTCATCCCCAAAAGCTCTTTCCTGGGCAAAGCATATGAACAATGAACTTCATCTTTCTTTTTTTCTTCTAGGTTTTATTTATTTTTACAAGACTCTTCTTCTCCGTGAAAAGAAAAACAACTGCATTATCAAATCAAAGCTAACAGTAAATGCTAACTATAACAAATAAGATAGGAAAAAGAAGAATACACAGCAAGTCAGATACAATTAGAATGTAACTAAATAGAAGACGAAATATTAACCAGACATGGATCTATTAAAGGACATTTAGACATTGAAAAGAACAAGAACTGTTCAAAATTTTCTTGTCCTTGGTGTATCCAAGTAATAAAACCTAAGTTAAAAACAAAACCTAGTTTGTCCTTGGTGTGGCCCATTCAACTCTCAGGATGAGATTGTCATAGCCATAGCCATTTAGTTTGTTTACAGCTCTCTGGGCACCTTCCTTGTTCACAAAGTTAACAAAACCAAAACCTCTACTCATACCAGTCTTCTGGTCAACGGCAACACAAACGCCACTCACTGCACCAAATGTCCGGAAAAGTTCAAGCAAGTCAGGTGCCCGGGTATCCTCAAAGAGGTTAGTGACTCGGACTGAGTTCTCATCATTTCTGCGTCTCATATCAGTTCCACTCCTCTCCCTTCCTGCTCTCATTCCTGGAGGAACGTATGTGCTCTTGCCTGAGCCACCAGCAGTTGTAGCAGTTTCAGATGCTGAAGGCTTATCAATGAATCCCTCAGCCTGTGGAGCAAGATCCTTGTATGGACACCCTTCTTACCACATGTCCTACACAACATAAGAACCGCACCTCCTTTCCCTAGTTGAGCCAAGGAATCTCCAGCAGCCTTTGTTTCTTCTACTTTGCTACCTATACGCAGCTCCAAAATTCATTCAAGTAAGAAGAATAATTGTTGTAATAACATTAAGCAAGGCATTTTAACCCAATTAATTTAGTCAAAAATTTCATAAATTAAGCTAAATTACAATTCATTCACCAATACAAGAATATGAAGGGAGTGTTTGGTTTGTCGAATCTTAGATTTCGAAAGAAAGTACAATATCCGAAATTTTCTTTCATTTTTAATACATTATGTGTTCAAATTCACTTGTTTGATTGAGAAGAATCCACATATATTAATTATTGAATAATTATCACAATCTTTTAATAATTTTTTATTAGCTTTTATTAATAATAAATACCCAAATGATAAATGTAACTTTAATAGCAAAAGAAGATAAATATTTTATTTAATTATTATTTTTATTTATAAAATATCATCAATAAAAAAAATTGGGATTATTTAAGAGTTTTTTGTTAAACAATCTATTTTATTTTTTTAAAAGTAATTATTTAATTCATTTTTATTTAAAAGCATCTTAAATAATCTTTAATATTTTTTTAAAGGTGATTATTTAAAGTATTTTTTATTCAAAAATACCTTAAATAATCCTCTTTAAAATGTAGCAGAAGATTATTTAAGGTTTTTTTATTAAAAAATACGTTAAATAATACCTTTTAAATAATATAAATGCATTATTTAAGGTATTTTTTTCAAAAATACCTTAAATAGTCCATTTTAAAATGTATCATGAAATTATTCAAAAATACTTTAAATAATACCTTTCAATTTTTTAGACCATATTATAGGTTTTTTTTACTAAAAACCTCTTAAATAATCACTTACATTACTTATAAAATTTAAGAGATAAAATATAAAAAAATTGAAGTAACTCAATTGTTTAGAGTATATGATTATTAATTATAAGGTTATAAGTTTGATCATTCCTTTTAGTCATTTAATATTTTTTAAGAGGATTATTTAAAGTATTTTTGATCAAAAATACTTTAAATAATATCATTCAATTTTTTTATTGTATTATTTAATGTAATTTTTATTAAAAACGTCTTAAATAATCAATTTCATTACTTATAAGATTTAAGAAATAAAATATAAAAAAATAAAATAGTTCAATTTGTTAGAGCATATATCTATTAATTATAAAGTCGTAATTTTTTTATCATATTATTTAACACATTTTTTTATTAAAAAAGTTTTAAATAATCAATTTCATTACATTTAAAAAATAAAACATGAAAAAAATATAGTAGTTCAGTTTGTTAGAGCATATGTCTATTAATCATAAAATCGTAAGTTTAATCCCTCCAAATAGTATTTATTTTTTAAGATTATTTAAAATATTTTTTTGACAAAAAACGTTTTAAATAATCTCAAAAAAATTGAATAAGATTATTTAAAGTATTTTTGACCATAAAACACTTTAAATAATCTTAAAAAAATTAATAGGATTAATTAAGTAATTTTTTATACCAAACATCATTAATTGAAGTATAAAAAAATATTGTTTAACAGCAAAAATTTACAATTGATTTACAATAAGTTTCATTCATATTTTTTAAAATAGTAATAACTATTTCATAATTTTTTATTTAAGTTAAATTAAAAAAAAACGTAGTTTTTTCTTTTGAAATCTTAGAGATGAATTTTTTATTTTCAAACTTTAAGTATTATTAAAAATCTATTACTTTCTCTTAAAATTAAATTATCTTAAATCAAATATTAAAATAAAATATCCAATAATAAAATTTCGAAAAAAAAATATAAATTCTACTTAACCAAACACCTGCACGAAAGTAACAAAGCCAAACATAAAAAGACCAAATTTTTAATCTTTTCAACCACCCAGAATCCCGTACAACTCAGTCATGCCATTAAAAAAAAAAAAACATAAATTAAGCAAAATTTCAATTTTTTTTCCATAAATACAACTTACCTACAAAGCCAAACATTCACAATTTTTTAATAAAAACATATCAATCAAAGCAAATAAAGATCAATCTTTTCAACCACCTATAATCACAGAATTTCAGTAAAAAATAAAAACAAAATAAAATATTTTTGATAAAATTAAATTAAAAGAAAACCCAGAAAAAAAACGATTCAGGGGCTCTAGGGCGTTCGAGGAGGACCTCTTCAGCGGAAACCACAGTGAGTCCGATGCCAACATCTTCCCTTACAGCATCCCCAAACTTGGGCCTAGACCTTTTACTGAGTCTGGCATTGGCGAGTTTTCGGATCCGGGTCGTCGTTGTAATTTTGACCTTGTTTCCCTCATAGTTGAACTTGACCTCTTGTCACTTTCTTAATCCCGTCATCATCAGGTCCGATTACTTGCTTTGGTGGTAACAAGAAATCCAAATCCTCGGCGTCATCTTCTTCTAATTCCCCCCCATCGGAGCTTCGTTTGCTACGTCGCTCCTGTCGCCATCGTTTTCGAATTATCAAAAATAAAAAATAATAATTTAGGGTTTTGACTAGAAGATTAAAAAAACGTAAAAAATAATAATAATAATAATAATAATAAGACGATGGGTGAAATCCTGTCCTGCCGAGTTAATACAGTAAAAAGCCCGAGTCTCACTCGAGATTTGTTATACGAAATTTTGTTGAAGTTTAAATTTTAAATTTAATTTAAAATAAAAATTAAATTATTTAAATTTATTTAATTAGATTTATTTTAAAAAATAAGACCAATTTTTATATTCAATTTTAAATTTAATTATATTATTAAAATTAAATTTGAATAAAAATATATTAAAATTTAAGAATTTAAATAAATTCACGAATTATTTAAATCAAAATTAGATAATAATCAAATTAAATTTAAAATTTATTCAAATCAAAATTAAATAATTTGTAAATATTAATATATTATTTACATCTTTAAACAATGATTTAGATTCATTTAATTTGTTATGTTTTAAACTATAAGAATCATTTAATTAAATCTTGTAAAAATTAAAATTTTAAAAATAAAATATGGTTTATTTTTTATATATGTGTTTAATTTGTAATTTAAATTGATTTAAATTTTAAATTATTTCATATAATAAATCACTTATTTTTTCTTTTATATTTGTTTTTTACTTCCCTTTTATATTTCCCTGAGACGACTTTGAATAATAGCTTTGGATCCTTGTACAAAAATTGTAATAAATATAAAATAAAGTATTTATAAACAAGTAAATAAAATTGTCTGAGCCCGGGTTCGAACCGGGGACCTCTAGTGTGTGAGACTAGCGTGATAACCAACTACACCACCCAGACACTGGTTGTAACTTTCGAAGAATCAATGGAATAATTATTGGAGAGTTACGGTTTGAAAATTCCGTTCAAACTTCGCGGAGATATAATTCTCTGCGTTGAAGGAAAATAAATCAAAAGGAAGAAGAAAAGTTTTCTTTGTAATTCTCTTGTTTTTTGAACGATGGATGCTCATCATGCTTCGCTAGGTCGAAGAACGGTAAAGAAAATTTCTTCCAAGATCTTTTTTTTAATATAATTTTGTATTAATTTAAATCCAAAATTTGATAGTATTTAATTATTTATTTATTTTTAATTTGATTGAGTGTTGATCATTGTTGTTGTGGTGATTTTGAATAGCTGGAGGAGATTCGTCAAAAGAGAGCCGCCGAAAGAATCAGCAAAGCTTCTTCTGGATCTGATCTCACCAAAGCTTCAATCCCTACCGGTCTCTCCATTAGCAAGTTAATTCCATATTTTCCTTCGCCAGCCTTCTTTTTAATTTATTTTTATTTTTCTATGCTTGCAGATATTCCCGTCATGAAGAAATCAGGAAGCGGGAATCGACTCTCTGAGGTATTTTATAGTCATATAGTTTTGAATTCTTTTTTTAATGGAAATTTGAAATTTGTTAAGTTATTGGCTGAGAAGAGCTACATAGTTTTTTTTTTTTTTTTTTTTATACTTTATTATGTCTGGATGCTTGAATATTGAAGGAAAATAAGTTTTTTTTTTTTTTTTTATTTTAGCCTGTAGTGAAATTTTATTACTAATTTTTCAGAATCATGGAAGCTTAGCATTCAATTCTCACGCATAATTGTATGTCGAAAATTCTGGTGAAATTTTTTAGTTTGTTTCATTAACACACGGGGCTTGTTGGAAAGTCAACCATTGGGTGCACAGAGAAGATTTAAATTGTAACATAGTATTTGCTAGCATGGTATTATAGTGAATATATTGTTCTTAGGCTATTTAATTGGTAGTGCAGGCAGATGTTAGCGGTTTAGTATCTCAGCTGAAGGACTTGCAGAAGAAAAATGTCGAATTAGAAGAAAATAACAAGATATTATCCTTGAAGGTATTGTAATCATATTGTTTTTAGGTCTTATGTTGGGAGTTAGAGCTAAGGGAAGCTATTTGGAACCTGCAAATATGTTCTGAATTTGTTGTTTTTTCCCTGATTCAGCTTCAAGCAAAGGAAGTGGAGCATGAAACATTGCAAACACGGTTTAATGAGCTGGTAAATTGAAGCACTTCCCTTTTTTTACAGCACGGCTTACTAGTTATATCTTTTGCAAATCACTCCTTTTACTGAGTATTGTTGGAGGAGCTTTTTAGACAGTGTTCATTGTTTACAAGTTCCTTCACGGGTTGGTGGTTTGCTTTCTTTCTTTCTTTCTACATCAACTGAAGGACTGTGATAGGAAATGCGTTAAAGTATTTGAAAAGTGATACTTTCACTCAGGTTTGCTTATTTACATTCAACTGTAATAATTTGCAGGAACAGAATACTGTACCATCTCTAAGAAAGGCTTTGAAGGATGTTGCAATGGAGAAAGATGCAGCTGTTGTTGCACGGGTGTGTACCTTTTCTTGCATTTTAGTTTATATAAAATCTTCAATGTGTTCATTTTATGCTTTGCTTACACAGTCTGATGTTTTAGTATAGGAGGACCTCTCTGCCCAGCTTCGCATGCTCAAGAAACGTTTGAAAGAAGCAGAAGAAGAGCAATACAGAGTAAGTAATCAGTTTCTTCTCTTGATACATAAAAGCAGCTTAACTTTTATTCTTATATGTTTGTTTTGCTTTAGGCTGAGGAAGATGCGGCAGCCTTGAGAGCAGAACTCAACTCAATGCAGCAACAAGCGATGAACAGTGCATTTGGTGGAATAAATGCCATTGGGAATTCTCCAGATCAAGTACAAGCATTAGAAAAGGAATTAGCTAGATTAAAGTCTGAATTACAGGTTATAATGAGCTTGGTTTGTTTTTCCTTGTATCTCTTTTGAAGTGTTTCTTTGTGGATCTCTCATGGTGGTTTTTGAATTGCAGCAAGAGTCATTGTCGAGGCAGCAAGAACGGCAGCAATTAGTGGAGGTGCAAGGTCGGGTTTCTGCCCTGACATCAGAAAAGCAGGAACTAGAAGAAAGACTTACTGCTATATCCAAAAGGGGTTCAGGTAATTACTGATTACTTGAACAGTGTTCGTGTGACAAACACTGAATGCCAACAATGATTTTTTTAAATATATATGTCCACATCTGTACGTGTTATTCGTCTAAACTGAAAAGTAAAAAATAAAGATAAATCTTCCGTTCTATTTTCTTTTTGTCATTTGAAACCTAGATTTTATTTATAATGCAGGAATATTAATTTCCTGTAAAACAAAATTAATCCTGGTGCACTATTCTTTTGCAAGTAATCTATTAAGTTGTCTCTCATTACTATTGACTTATGTTGTCTGCAATGCAGAAGTAGTCTCCGAAAAAGTGACCCGCAAGCAATTTTCAGTGGTAAGAGAGTGCCTTTAAGCTATTAACCCATTTAGGAAATGCTTTAGTGCCTTCATTTGTCATGATAAATTACTTTGGCATGCATCTTGTAGCACCTTGTGTTATGATAACTTATGTGCAGATGCTGTAGATTATGTACTCACCCTTCTGCCCAAATGGGAGAAGAAAATTTTTTTGCTGTTTCCATGCTTTGAAAATTATTGCCTCCTAGCCCCTGCCTCCTCAATTTCATTCCTTTTTGTCTACTGCTGATCAGCTTCTAACTGAAATTGGTTGTTTCCATCATTCATGTAGTGTAATAGATTCAGTTTCAAAGAGGTTTATGCTTAGGATGATCTTTTTCTGTTTCACAGGAAGATAAAGAAAAACTTGAGAAACAGCTACATGATATGGCTGTAGCAATGGAGAGGCTTGAAAGTAGTAGACAAAAACTTCTAATGGAGGTAGAGCCTTTGCTTATGTTCTTATATTTTGCAATAGGAATCAGAAATTTAAACTGCATTTGCATGTTAAAGGAAAGTTGCTTTTTGCATTGGCAGATTGATAACCAATCTTCCGAGATAGAAAGGCTTTTTGAGGAAAATTCTAATCTCTCATCTTCTTATCAAGAGGCAATGACCACAGCAAAGCAGTGGGAGAATCAGGTAAAAATTAGTTGTTAGTATCTGCAGCAATCTATGCAAACAGTTCCTGAAACTTTGGTACAAACAGCATGAATCTCTATTATTCTAGTTTTCTATAACTGTTTTCCATGCATTTGCAGGTTAAAGACTGTCTTAGTCGAAATGAAGAGCTTCGTAGAGTTCTAGATAACTTGAGAACAGAACAGGCTAGCTTGCTGAATAAAAATGGTTCCTCAGGATTCGATAAGGGTGGAGTTATTGAAACTGGTTCACAGGCTGATACAACTGAAATTCTCTCCCTTAAGGTTAGCATGTTTAGAAAGGAAATCCTTTTCACAGTGTCGCATACTTTAGAACTTTACATTGAATGTAGGTCGATCAAGAGGGATAGATCTTCTTGTTTATTTTCTTATAGAAATTACATGACTTTCCATTTTTCCATCCAATATCCTTTTGACCTTCAAATAATATTATGTTATTCCGATTGTGCTATATTTCATTTCTAGGGTCAACTTGTGCAAGAACAGAGCAGAGCAGATTCACTATCAGCAGAAGTAATGCAGCTTTCAGCACGTCTCCAACAAGCAACACAAGCATATAGCAGTCTTGCACGCCTGTAAGATATTGATATTCCGTCATTCCCCTTCCTAATGACTTACATATCTCCCTCGAGATTGTAGATGCTAACTTCATTCAAAATGCTACAGCTATAAACCAGTTCTCCGCAACATCGAATGCAGTCTCGTCAAAATGAAGCAAGATGGCTCTGTTACTGTACAGTGAATGCAATGAGCAGTTTTTGTGTGGTGTAATTTGTTTTTGAATTCTACGGCACCAATCCTTGTGCAGAGGAGTTCAAGTTCTTAACAGGCATTTTTGTTCATTTCAAATGGTTACTGAAGTGATAATCGAGTAGTTTGTGTACTATTGTAATCCAGAGTTTAACTCCAGGCCTTTGGAATCAATTGTACTAGAATTTTGGATCAAGATCAGCTATTCTTTTTTTGCAATAATTTTATTTTTGCAGACAATTGGGATAACTACAAAGGACCTTGTCATGGCTTGCATGTTAGATCTAATAATCTTAGATACGACAAGAACATGACAATATTAGTAAATTCGATACTTTTAAATGTAAAATGAAAAAAATGAAAACAATACAGAAAAAATTATATATAAATTTAACAAAAATAAAAGAATATACATTTTTATTTAATGTGTTTATACAAAGGAAAAGAAAGCATATTACTACCAATAATCCCCACATGAACAAACTCCATTCTGGAAATGGTGAAAGCGATTCACATCGCTAACCAGAATCTCTTTGTTTGCAAACTTGGAAATGAGCTTCATAAATGAGTGGCAGTCTTCACATAACCTTAAGTTCTTTGTTATCCGAATGGTCTCCCCTTTATTCGTATTGATGAGTCCAAATGCAACTGCCAGTTTTTCACTGTGACCCAATAGAATGCGTTCCTTCTCTCCTTCATCGAGATCATAGAGCAGGACTTTAGTTTGCGGCACATATCCCTTCTCCTTCATCTCTGCAGACAGTTTAATCAACAAAGATTGGATCTGTTCAATCTGAGGATTGTACTCATCAACAGAAACAAATGAATACAATTTTCTTTTGACTTCAATCCAACTTCTGCCTGGAACTTTTTGCAGTGAGCGAGTTTCTAGCAACTCCCTTACTCTCTTTACCTCATCCCACATCTTAGCTTCTGCATAAATATCAGCTAAGAGTACATAATTCCCAGCACTTCCGGGTTCAAGTTGAAATAGCCTACTGCTAGCTCTCTCTGCTAGCACTACGTTACAATGAATCCTACATGAGCCAAGAAGTGAACCCCAAACCTTAGCCCCTGGTTCAATCCGCATTTCATCTATAATCTTAACTGCCTCTTCTAACCTATTGGCACGACCAAGAAGATCAACCATACATGCATAGTGCTCAACACTAGGATATATTCCATGTTCTTTATGCATTGAATCAAACAACCTTTTCCCCTCTTCAACAAGACCTGCATGACTGCAAGCTCCTAAAACACTGATAAAAGTTATAGGACTCGGTGAAACTCCTTGACAAATCATCTCTTGAAAAATCTGCATTGCTTTCTTCCCAAATCCATTAACACCATAACTCCAAATCAATGAATTCCATGACACAACATCCCTTTTCTCCATCTGATCAAAAATCAGTTGCCCCAATTCAAGCTTACCACATCGTGAGTACATTGTAATAAGAGCATTTATGACTGGCAACACTGAATCAAGCCTTCTCCTCAGAATATAAGCATGAATCAACTTCCCTTGCTCCAAAGCAGCCAAAGCAGCACAAGCTTGAAGAACACTAACCATAGTAACCGAATTTGGAAGCCAATCATGAGTCTCAACCATCATTTCCCTAAAAAGTTCCAATGCCTCAAACGGCTTTCCATTTTTCGCATAACAGGCAATCATTGCACTCCAAGAAACCACATTCCTGACAGGCATCTCTCCAAAAACAAAACTCGCATGTGAAACGCAACCATACCTCGCATACATATCCACCAAAGTAGTCATAACATGAACATCTGCCTCGAACCCATGTCGTAAAATATGAGTATGAATCTCTTTTCCATTCTTTAAAAGCGAAACAAAACACTCAGAAGCAACACAAGCTTTAAGCACATAATTATAAGTAAAGCTATCCGATGGAGTTCCAATTCTATTCATTTTTCTATATAAGCCCAAAACTTCTTCCCCAGAACCAGCCAAAGTAAGCTCTCGGAAAAGAGCATTCCAAACAACAATGGTTCTATTACGCGTTTTATTGAACACCTTGCGAGCATCATCGAGGGAATCCAAAGCGCCGTACATGCAAATAAGTTTGGTAACCAAGAAAGGATCTTGGTCGAACCCATTTTCGGAAATATGGGAATGAAGGGATTGGGCAAGGGAAAGGGAGTTTTGGTTGGCGCAGGAAAGGATAAGGAGTTCGTAGGTTCTTTGAGAAGGGTTGGGTTCTTGGGAAAGAAGCTTGAGGGCTTGTTTAAGGTTGCCTTGTTTGCACAAGGATTGGATCATTTCATTGCTGTTAGGTGTTGAAGCTGAGACCGAGGGGTTTAAACTGAGGGAAAAGGAAGGGAGTTTCGGAGGAGCACGAGGTAGGTTGAACACTGACCGCGGTTGCTTTGGCAGAAGAGTGTGAAACACCCTCATTACTCGAGTCTATTTTTCCTTTTCAAGACCGATCTCTGATTTGATGTTTTCGTTCTGTTTTCGGGTTGGGAATTTTTGTCTCACGTGCATTGCATGCCCAACGTTAAAAAAAATTCTCAGCATCTCAAAATTATATTCCTTTTAATGCAACATAATCATTTTTTTTTTCATAAATGTCTTTTATATTTGAAATAAGCAAATTTTGCTTCCTCGTTGTTAAAATTAAAAGTCTTAGTATTTTATTAATAAATTATATTTATTAAAAAATATAAATAATATATTAATACTTATAAATTACTCATACTCGATTAAAATAAAACTAAAATTTAATTTGATCATTATTAAATCAAATTTATACTCAAATAATTCAGTTTATCAAATGAATTAAATTTAAATATTCTAACGACCAACTCAAATAATTCACATATTTAATCAAAGTTTCAAATTTTAATATTTTTATTGTTATAATTAAAAATTATTATTGTACCTCATATATATATATATATATATATCAATTCAAGCTTAAATTCAAGTTTAAACACTAATTAAGCTTAAAATTTAGCTTGAGAATCAAACTTATTTTTATTAAACGAGTCTAATCGAATAAATTTAAATAATTCAATTTATCTCAAATCAAATTCGAGTTGAAAAATTAAAAGTCAATCAATCTCAAACCGAGTTTCAAATAATGAAATTCAAATTGAACTCGAATTTCTCACTGTATAGACTCGATTCAACTCGATTACATTCTTAACTACAATTCTATTTACAATAAATATATTTTTAATACATATGATTTTGAACTCATACATATGAATCCTGTGGGTTTATGTTGTTCCCCCTATTAATGGTGAGAATAATCTGACACTGGAAAGCAAATGAAAATTTTACAGCTTATTATAAAAAGTTCCTCAAATAACTAAATTATAACACAAATGTGCCAAACCCGAAATGCAGTTGGAGAGGAAAATCCATGTCCATGGAAATATATGAGAACAGAACCATACAACAGTTAACAAGGCAATGGGAAACCGAAATTTCCATGATCAGACTAAGCTGTTGTGGGATCATTAATCACACCCAAGAAATCGTCCTTTATGGTACCAATACAGAACTGCAAGGAGAACATCATTAATATTTGATGAGATGGGAATAATATGTAAAGTTTTAAATCCTAACAAGTACAAAGAACACAAAGCTCAAATATGTATAGCCTAAATGATCTAACATTGACTTGAAATTTGATGTCTTTGATCTCACAACCATAGCACAATCATAGACAGATGTGAATTTTTAGGTTGCGTAACATGGTTTTTTAATCATACCGATCGAGAAGAGGCATACAGTATAAAGGATAAGAGGATCAATAATATGATTGTTAGAATCGTATCACTAAGAAAATTAAACTCCAATGCAATCTAGAGAAAAGGATAACTTATTTAGTGGTTCATGATCTGGAAGAAAAGATTGTGATTCATTGTTCTATTAGGATATTGTATCCCAAATAGGAAGAAACAACAGAAATAATGAGTGAGATAATAATGGAGAGGAAGAAAGGGTCAAGTTTATACTATTTCGGTGGCATCTACTCGGGTTCCAATTATCTTCAAGCGCACTTCGCTGTCTTTTTGAATCTTAACCTGTAAAATGATAAATGATAAAGTCAAAAACAGGATTTCTACAACAGAAAATTAACAACTCTTGCCTTAAAATGAACTGAAGTATACCGATCCATCAGAGGTAGTATAATTAGGCATATCTCCAGACTGAAACTCCATATCATCTGGAATCAACTGAAAAACACAATTTCTATTACACATATGGAAGATGTACGATAGAAAAGGGAACTTTGAACCCGTCCAGGAATTCAGAAATGAAAAAATATGGCAAAGCTTAAATTATAAAGAAATTTCAGCACAATTAACAAGTCAAGGATGCAAATATGTAATCAAGTAGAATTACCACCGATAAACAAAAGTTTCGTAATATTTGATTGAAGTCATTCATGAAACATATCCAAACAGGCATGCTTACAGCAAGTTACTTCTTCCTCTCTCACACATTAATCATCACCCAGATTGCTAAAGTGAAAGAAAAATAATCTTAAAAAATGAAACTCATGTTCTCTCCTATGTGTCATCAAAATAAAAAATCTCTCCGACAAAGAAACTTTCTTGTTCAAATACAGAAATCCTAGATTCAATCCTTTAAATACTTTATCATAAGATCAAAAATATCATTTACCAAATAATTATGCCAACTCCATAGCTTCAAAAAAAGGAAAATCTGAACCTTTGAAACATTGTATATAAGAAAGTACAATCAAAGCCAAAGCTCCAGGTACGACGTAAATATGAAAGGGATTATCTGAAAAGATTCCATGACAAAAAGAAGACATAATTCCCTGCAGATGCCATGATGTAAGGAAACAAGACTTACATGGTTAGAAACAAAAATTTGAACAGGCCCAGCTTCTGCAAAGAATCCCATCTGAATGAAAACCACAAATCTAGTTACAAACATAAAAAATGGCAGAAATCAATAGTTAACAATCCAATTAACAAAAAATAAAAAATGAAAAGGAATACATGCCTTGTTCACCATAGTAACAGCAGCTTCCAAGATCTCCCCCTTAAATGGTCTAAACACAACACATTGATACTTAACAGGGAATGTCACAAACCCTGTCCCATCTCGAATCAAACCTTTCCCAATGTTCTCTATACCCGTTATCGCCACCACAAAGCCATGTCTACCACTGCAAAGAATAAGCAAAGTTACCAATTTACAAAATTCAGCCTAGATTATTTTAGATTCTTTAAACCAATCAAATAATCAGAACCCAATGTACCCACGACTATGACTAAGCTTTTGGGAACTTAAAGGGAGCCATAGAAGCTAGAACCCTGAACAACCGTTTTATTCTCACATTTTCTGCCTCTTTAAGCTATAGAATCGCCTCAAAAAATCAAACAAATCGAATACAATAAAAAAGAATAGAACCCAAACCAAGCAAGAACATAATTTTTGGTCACAACCCTTTTGAAATCGTTAAGGAAAGAAAAGAAGAACCTGCAAGTGCCCTCAACATCTTTCATGAGCTTGGATACGAGGTTTTCCCGCAGGTTACGACCGAAGTGGCGTGGATGTAACTGCATGTTCCTCTCCAAGACTATGTGAAAAAACATTTTTTTTTTTTTCTTTTCGAATGAGAACCGAGGCTTTCCCGACTAAAGCTTCAACCTAAAAGCAATCAGGTCAAGAGGTTGAGGGCTTGAAGCTACTTAATGGGATGCATTTTTATGGCTTTAGATTTCCGGCCCTTGATTTCATTTATAGATGGTTTTTGTTTCTTGGGCTTGGGCTGGTTGCTTCTTTGCAGGGTTGCCAATTGATTCCACGTTTTGGGATTTGGGCCTGAGACTAATTCAACTTAACGTTATAGTTTCATTTAGATCATTTGTAGATCATTTGTCAGTGTTATATATTTCTTCATTATTCTGCCATTGTTAACACTGTTTGGCTGCAGCTTTCTTTTTTTAGAGTGTACAATTGGTGTATGATTTTCCTTTCTTTTATACTAAAAAATACTTCAAAAATGAACCTGTTCGTGTTCGTATTCTTATCGGTATCGAGCTAGAACAACCTGTTCTTCTTGAATACCCTCCCGTCCATCGAGCAATTGTTGCCATCCAAAACTCAAGAAATAAAATTGTTTATAAGGGTAATGCACGCATAAACACTAAACCTCCATTCGCAGTCAAATGAATCTGTTCTGACTTACGATAGTATTAAGGTCTATGATCTACCATAACTGGCTAGCAGCTAGCTGATATCAGTATTTTACCGGCTCAGAGAGGCCATGAACTTGTGATCCATGAAAATGCATCATATTCAACAGAAGCAACAAAACTCATGCAAGGTTTACAACAAAAGAAAATTGGTTAAAGTCTACCTATGGAATCCATATTTTTCACAAATAATGTATGCACATAACAATCAGGATTTCTGTGAATCTTTAACGGAAAAGAATGATATTGTGGCCTTTGCTATTTAAAAGACACTTACTCCAAACTAAGATGCTCAAAAGGTTGTCTCATGGAATTCATACGACTAGAAAAGGGTTGTTTCTTGCAGTTCTATTTCTTTAAAAAAAAATGGGCAAACATTTTTCCTTTTTCTCTACATTATGTGCATGAGTTATGATTTGATCAATCAATTTGCGTCTTTTTTTCCTTGTCAATCTATTCCAAATCATAATACTTTTTTTTCAATGAAAAAATAAGAGGGAAAATGAAAGATAAGAAAACAGTAAGTATAAATCATGTTTTTTTCTTTTCTTTTTACCTCTAATCCAATATTTATGTTTTAAGTTATCTCCTTTATTGTCCATTTTTCTTATTTATTTTTTCCCATTTTCTTATTTATTCTTTTTCTCTCTCCAAATCCCTCATTCTTTTTACCAACTCTTCTCCCTCACTCCTCGCTTCTTAGGTGCAAAAAATAAATAAATAAAGGAAAGCACTGAAATGCCCTTGGTACTAAAAAAATGGCAAAAAAAATTCAAAGACACCACGTGTCAAACATATGTTGAGCTCAATGTCAACCATGTATTGTCTTTTGATTTCATATGGTTATAAATAATCTAAACAGAAAACCTGTACCCTTAACATGGTGAGGAAATGGTCATATTGCATAACACATACCAGCAACCTTTGAAGGTTTCTTCTCAAATGACAATTGGACTGCAAGAAATATGTCAAATCAACAAAGACAAAGTAGAAATTAGGTTCACAAATGACAAGGATAATCAAAAGTTTATAAGGACTGTTACAAATTAGAAATCATAAAAGTTATTACATATGGGACAAATGAAGAGTCACACAGAGATGATAAAAACAGCTTTTAAAACCTTTACAAGTTCAAACTAAATATTCCATGCTTGTTAGAGACATACTGTAAACTGATCAACAACATTAAATACGTGTGACATTCTATAAGAATTCCAAAAAACATGTATATAAACACAAGAAAGGATGACAAATGATAACAAATATAAATACACAGTTTGCAACTTGTAAGCATGGGAATCTGCGACCTAGTTGATCTATATTTGACAAGCTTTTGTGGTTAGAATTACATAATACAGTTAACATTTCCCTGCTAAAAAATAAGTTAGCGTTCAAGGGCTCTCAGCATGTCCAACTAGAAAAATGATTCTAAACCAAATCTTCCAAAACAAACATAAGAGTTCAACATTTGACCTATACCATTGGGTTAATGAAGCCATAAGCAACTAACAAAGCAGTATGTTGGTTATGGTACTTCTGAGAATTGTAGTATAATGGACAACAGATTGGTTGTTATTAAATGGGACAGAGACAAATAAATGTTGAAGTAGAGTTGTTTCTTCAGTTATTACTAGCCATGGTAGATGAACAGAATAAACCGGGACAGAAAATTTGGAGGGATTGCAAAGCATTAGTAACAATGATGATGGAATACAGATCCCAAGACCAAGGTAGAGGCGGTGGTTTCATTCAAGAGATTGTAAAATTATCATTAAGAATTAAGTAAAACAGAGATGACTTAATGCTACAAACAATGACATTTCTGTACTTTGGGTAAACTATGGAAGCTTTTCTTCACTGAGATAGTGACCCTTTTGCTTCACTGCCGAATCAGTAATTACTTTAATGCTGGGTTTCTCCTCATATCACTAGTTAAAGTTTCAAAGAAGAAGAAAGTGATAACAGGGTGAGTCATGACACCAACGTAACAAAATCAGGGCTTCAGAGTAAGAAGGCATAAAATTAAAGCACAAAGGTCAAAGTCAAAATTCAATGCCGCTCCACAGGATGAATTTAACTCAAATCTGTGTCTAGACAGGACAAATAAGTCATTCTGTTTCTTGAACGTAACTTCTCTACATTTACAGTTCTATAAATTACAATGTTTCTCTCATGAGGTCTCAAAGAGTTCCACAAATTACAAATACCATGTCTCTTAGAATCCATCAAGCTTAACTCGGTTGTCCATGATAATAGTTGGCCCCAAAATTGTTTTTCCTTTTAACATTTTGATTCATGTAGAGAGTCAAATCAGAGGAAATTATGGCAACAAAAATTTACCGTAACCCTAAAAAATCCAACAAAAACAATAGACAATTAGCAAAAGCCAACATTAAGAATAACATTTCAAACTCTCTAAAATAGATCATTAAATTCATGGTTTTGTATCGCCACAGACATACTAGGGTTACAAGGTTATGTAATAAATGTGATAGATTGAAACTTACAATAGCCATTCTACATGGGAACAGAAACAGCAGTCATCATGTCCCTCAAATAAACCTGGACTTTTTATCTGCAGGCTTAAGAATTTGGAAAGAGCACATTAGGCTTTCATCAACACTCATCATTGCACCAGCATTATCAAATTCGCCACAATAGTTGGGAGCGGAAAATATTGTAACAAGCTGTCTGTCAGCAAAGAACTCGTATCCATCTTCAACAACCTGAAAGAAGTATTATGGTTAGCTGCTTAGCTTACACACTCACACAAATAAAGAAGGAAGCAAAGAACAAATGTCCCCAACCTGATGGGCACGGCAAACAAGGTCCATGTCATTTTTCATTAAGAAGTCAGAGACTCTATCTGGGCCAAAGGTGAATGAGACTCCTCGATCATTCAAACCCCAGCCTTTGATATCCCTGCCAGGATCTGACCAAAGTAAATCACAAAGCAAACCAGAATCTGGAACATCAGTTGGACGGGTTAAATTCCTAATTTGATCTAAATTAGTTAGATCAGGGGAAAGGCCACCATGCATGCACAATATTTTGTCATCTATTAGAGCAGCCACTGGAAGACAGTTAAAACAATCAGTAAATGTTCTCCAAAGTCTCACATTGAACCTTTGTTTGCATTCATCATAAAATCCATAAATCCGATTAATAGAAGCACATTCATGATTCCCTCTCAAAAGAAAGAAGTTCTCAGGATATTTGATCTTATAGGCTAGCAAAAGGCATATTGTTTCTAGACTCTGCTTGCCACGATCAACATAGTCCCCCAGGAATAAATAATTAGCATTAGGAGGGAAACCCCCATATTCAAAAAGCCGCAGAAGATCAGCATACTGCCCATGAATGTCACCTGAAAGAAGAAAAACAAAAGAACACAAATTATTAAAATTTCTTTTAGAAAGTTAAAGGCCAACTGTCAAAATTAGGAAGATATATTTCCAGAACTGATATTTAAAATAGCAGGTGAAATATAAGCTGTATACCATGTTTCTTCACTTTACCATTTTGATATAGTTGCCACCTCCACCTAAATTGAATTCAATTAAAACTCTAAATTCTTCCAATATTTGGAACTATCAAGCAATATATTTCCAATATTTCTTTAGGCTGCATCGCCCTATTCATAATTGGAACTACCAAGGAGTACCAAACAAGCATTATTTCTTCAGTTTCTGCCTATAGTGGAAGCAACCTGTTAAAGTTAGTTAGGATTAAAATGAATTAAAAAAGATGAGGAATCATTTAGTCCATTGTTATTATAATGGAATCTGTCACAACAGTACAAAAGATTCCTCACCATTGATTTTCCTAAAAATTGTATAGCTTTAACACAATATCTAAGAACTTTGAGGTTGTTGAATCAAGCACCCACTGTTTGTTTTCCTATAGAAGCCATTGAAAAAGCCCCATGCATATAACATAGAGAAATAAAATGCAAAACACTGAAACAGGAAATATCTAAAGCTTGCAAGGAGGATATTCCCATTATTGCATAGACTTGACAGTCTACAAAGCAAGAAACTGTATAGCGGAAATCTAATCAAACAAGGTGTTTGCTTACAAGCAGTTATTTTAACAAATTTAAAGGGCATATATAATCCATTTAGTCCTCCCAAAAAGGGCAACCTGCTCATCAACTTAATCATCTAATCAAATTGATAAAACCTGAAAAATATGATGCTTATAGTATAAATCCTTGCAACAATCTTCTCAAACCCTCCCAAGAAAAATGAGTATTCTAGCAAAGAACATCAATGATGACATAACTTTTACCCTATTTTCTTTTCTTAAACCTCATTATTGAGCAAGTGTAAGATAAACATTTCTACATAATGCATTTCTTCTCTTTTCTTTTCTTTATTTATAGTGAAGGCTTCCATAATGATAGGGCTCCATACTTTTTATGTGGTTCTATCATTTACATGATCTTGTCTTCCTCCATCACGTACAAAGCTACTGATAAATGGTTTCCACTTGAAGCAATCAACAATCCTTAGAGTACTAGTTGATGGTTAACAAAACATCCTGCTTTCCCCTTCCACTCCTCTGCAATAGCTGTCTTTTCTCTAGGAGACTTTCCGGTCCAAACCACAGAATCCTTAAGTAACTAAGATAAAAAGAAGCAGCTAACCAAGTTTATAACACCCTTATATCTAGACTAGCTTCCCCCCTCCCCCCTTTAGCATTAAAATCCTACGAAACCTCAAAGATGGAATGCATCAAGACGGTTAGAATTTCACACTATTCGGATGATATGCATAGCAGAGTCATTTGATAGCTAATAAACTACGTATTCAACCTCATTTTCAATCTGTTCTAAACAACAACTAATCTCATAATGTCATCTTACCTTCAATTAAAAAAAAAAAATCTGGATAAGAAACCAACCATACCACAAACAACATCAAAAACATCAATTTTCAAGTAATGCAATTTAAGCTAGAAATCAAGTACACCCTCGATGCAGCCCCAAAGGACACACAAAACCATTCAAAAATATAAAAACAAACACTTCCTTCAAAATTTTCAACTTTTCCCTTATCCAATCAAATTCACAAAGAAAAAAAAAGGAAGGAACATTTCTTCAAAGTTTTCAACTTTTTCCCTTAACCAATCAGAATTCAAACACCCAAAGCCCAAAACTAAATATCCTAAACCTCAAAAGATAAACCTCCACCTTTTCTCAATTGAAAAAAAAAAAAAACTAATATACATTGAAAAAAAAAAAAAGGCGTACCACAGATCTTGATGGGAGCTTCAAGTTCAAGAAGATTAGGCTGTTGAAGAAAGATTCCTCTTGCAACAGTGCAAAGCTGACGGATCTCACCTTCCATCAGCTGCACTTGCTTAGCTGGCCTCGCTTGCTTAAACTCCAATAAGCGACATATTATATCATCCAAAAGAGCAGGTTCCATTGAAGCAGATCCCATAATTTGGGCAAATAATCCAAAACTTTCAAACAAAAAGAAAACTCAACTTCTTTGATTTTCTCTTCTGGGTTTTTTGAACTGAGCTTTGGTTTGGGGTTCTCTAACAAGGAGGCGGAGAAGAATGTGACCTGTCTGTCTTTTCGTTTTTGTTCTAATTCATATTTTTTGTTTGACATAAAAGTAATCGTTCCGACGCCATATAAAAATGATAAAAAAAAAATTAAATAAAAGCGGCGGTGACTGCAACTCCGATGCGGCGGAGAAGCCTATATTTTTATATCTATGCATGCATGAATGATGAATCAGATTTTCGTCGGAGTCGCTAAATCCGCTCTCTTTTATATAATAAAGGCTTCGAAAATGCCATTGCTTTGTGATAAAATTACGAAAATGCCCCTAGTTCCTACCAGTAATATTTGTTTTTTATGGGCATTAACTGAAAAAACAATTAAATTAACATGAGGTATCGATGATGCACACTCACCATGCTTGTGGGGACACAAGTCGATCGCCATCATCATCATCACCATGAGAAAGGAAAACGTTGGGATTAAATTGAAGAACTGAGGCCAATCTGGTGCCGAGTAGCTCAGAGAAGACCAAGATATTAAACATAAATTTCCAAGGAGCTTACTTGCATGTCATGACTCTAACCTAATTCAATCTGTTGGGGGTGATGGTTACTGGAGCTGTTATTTTGATCAAACCAAATTCGTTGATCTTTGATCTTCTCTGAACCCTTGTCTTCTCTACTTGTGCTCTGAGTACCACTCTACCCCATGCTTAGAGATTTTTTTCGCATCTTAATGGAAAGGACACCGATGGACATTAATGTTGTATGCTTCAAATTGATATCAAGGACACCTGTACTGTGCATGGCTATCAGCTATTTTTTTATTATTTTTCCCCATCAGCCTATCTGTCAAGGATTTTGGATAGCACGTTCTAAGATGGTTATGCCCCATTTGTGCAGATAGGAAGCGGTAAGCAACCTCAATGGCACCATCCAGTCCATCCCCATTTTTTTATGGCGAGTCAGCAACCTAGTTTTTGCACATTAACTTTTTTATTTCCATTTGAACAAGTCAATTTTCTTGAACTCTGGTAAGGTAACCTACAGACGAGATTAGGTTTTGAATTCAGACAGAAGTTCTGTTTGTACCTTTCAATTCTAACAACCATAAACTTTTAATAAGCCATACAGTGTCCTGGCGGACCCAGTCCTGTTGAAAAATAAGTATTTTACACATCTCTCTCTCAGCCAAAAATTGACAAAAAGAGTGGAAAAAAAAAAAAAAAAAAAAGAGAAAAGGCCTGCTTGCTAGCAAATATTTTCCATTCCTCAGATATAACCTATCACCTTTTTAAGTAGAACAGCATCCTTTCCTATTGTTCCCTGATGCATCAGCTACATTAATTGTAGTTCCTTGGCTGGGAAGTGTGGTACTAGCAGCTGCTTCCTGTGCTGCCAACGCCTTTTTGCTTATGATATGGTAGATCTCATTCAATATAGTTTGGAATGCCTTCTCAACGTTGGTTGCTTCCAGCGCTGACGTCTCAAGAAACGAAAGACCTTCTCTCTCAGCCAGAGCATGACCATCCTCCTCAGAAACAGCTCTGAGATGATTCAAGTCGGATTTATTTCCGGCCATCATGATGACAATGTTAGAATCCGCATGGTCCCTCAATTCACGCAACCACCTTTGAACATTGTCAAAGGTTTGCCTCTTGGTTATGTCATAGACGAGAAGTGCACCAACAGCTCCTCTGTAATAAGCACTAGTGATAGCTCGATATCTCTCCTGACCTGCTGTATCCCAAATCTGTGCCTTAACAGTCTTTCCCTCCACCTAAATCATGGAAAAGAAGACAATTAATGGCAAAAAACAAACCAGCAATTTACCAAACTGCATTACCATGATTACCAATTAACGAATAATCAAATGAAGGTTCTAATAAATCTAATATCAAAGGCAGGCAAACACAAGACAATGTTTCTTTTTTCAGAATCAAATTCCCAATTATGTCATGGGCCCATAAAAACAACAATACACTCCCCATTATTAAAATTGGAAAAAAACAGCATAATAACAGCTTGGATTAATATAATAACCTAATTTTCAATTCAATAAAATAATCTGCCAACAAATAGGAAAGGTTTTAGAAAACAAAGCCATTTTCTATTTTCATTTTCTTGGAAAATGAAGACATGAGTGAAAAGTGGTAAATGAAAATGAAAAAAAATTTTAAAAAAATGAAAATGAGTTGAAATATTAAAAAAAAATTTCAATTGTGTTTTGCTTATAATCATATTTGAACACTTTTTAATGGTATTAATTAATAAATACATTATTATATTTATAATTAGATGTCACTAATATTAATATCATTGAATATTTTATTTATTTCCTTATTTTTACAATTTTAGAAAACAATTTTTATTTTTGTTTAACGAATACATTTTTTAGAGAACAAAAAATAGAAAATAAAAATAAAAAACATTTTCTCACACCAAACAAAGCCTTTTTTTCTCACTACCCAAAAAAGTCTTCTAGTCCTTCCAAAATTTAGTAGCCTGGATAAATAAAAGAGTCAAAAACAGAAAAAATAAAAAAAAATAAAAAACCTTTGAATTAATCAACTCTCTGAAATTTCTTACAAGTAGAATTTGGTACTAATATAGAAATGGAACAATCATCTGAACTCAACTATAAGATTTGAATGTAAAATGCATGACGCGAAAGCGCCTGTAATGATCATCACTATCGATCATCGTTTTTCATACCTTACTACAAATTATTCAAAATTTACTTCAAAATTAAAATCAGAGTGCAGGAGAAAGCAAGAGAAAGCAATCGGATTGGTCAAATTAACATAAGATTTCAGTAAACTTAATCATGCAAAATTTTCCGAAACTAAATCAGATCAGAGGTAATCAGACAAGTTTAAAATATCAGGTAAAATTCTAGAAACTTCGAGAACCTTAATTTTCAGCAAAAAAAAAAAAAAGAAGGAAGACACAAAAAACGTACATTAAGATGAACCAAAGAGGAGTTGATTGAATAGATGAAAAACCTGGAGGGTTCTAGTAGCGAACTCGACGCCGATAGTGGATTTAGATTCCAAACAAAACTCGTTTCTGGTGAACCTAGAGAGAATATTCGATTTTCCGACTCCAGAATCGCCGATCAAAACGATCTTGAAAAGGTAATCGTACTCGTGATCTACTCTATGAGCCATCTCTCTCTATCTTATCTCTTCTCTCTCAATCCTGCAAGATCCAAAAATCAATCAATCCAAAAAAAAAAACTAACGAAAAAAAGAAGAGAGAGAGATCCGTAAGCGATTGAACTTACCCGACGTGGATAGATCGAGAAGAGAAATTTCTCCAGAGGGAAATTGATAATTCTGGAGAGCTTATACTGTAATTTTCACGAATTTAAAAAACAAACAAAAATTAGGAGTTATCGAATGGGAGAAAACGGAAAAAACGATGACGATTGGACAGAGGTGGAAAAGGGGCCAGGGAGGGCTTTGATTTTTGAAACGGGCAAGAATAAATAGAGATTTTCTATTTTGTTACGGTTTTCGCCGAAGGGATGAATTGAAATGGTGCCGTGTCAATGGCAATTTTGTGAAAATGACTATTTTGAAAGGTCAAAAATGATAGGAGAATACTGGAAGGTGATTTTGCAGTGACATTGTATGTATGTTAGGGAAAAAATAATAAAAAAATTAAAAATCAAAATTATAGTATTTTAATTTACAGGTTTGGATTTATTTTTATTATTTTATTTGGATTAAATCTAAATGTTAAATGTAAGCATTAAATTTAAATTAAATTTTAAATCAAAAATTAAAAATACAAAAATACAAAAAATAAATAGCATTAAATTATATATTTTTATTAATTATATAATTTTCAAATTTATGTAATATAAAAACAATAGTTTTATATTAAAATTTATTTAAATATATTAAAATAACAAATTTTAATTTAAAAATTCATAAATAAAATTAAATCAAATTGATAAAATTAAAATAAGATGATATAAATAATCAATTTAAATTCAGATAAAAATTTTAAAATTTATAATATTATATAATATTAAAAAAAATTCAATCAAATATAATTCAATCCTCGCATTTGTTGTTTTTATTGAGATTCAATCGGATGCGGTCAGAACCACAATCTCCAATTTTTTAAAAATAACTTCTTGTTGTATATATCGTCTGATTGGATCATGATTGGTTTTATATTTGTTGATGGTTCTGATGATTGAATGAAGTTTGGTCAAACATTGAAATTTGGTTTTTAGAATATAATTTTCTTTAATGTCATCATTTCACCTTCACATTCTTTTTTATTTCTTTGATTTCATTCATGGGTTTTATTTAAATCATGTGATCAATGGCATCAAGATTCTTCGATCATATGATTGGAAAATGATAATAGTTTTAATAGATCAAGATGTAATCATCTTTTGTTAGAAAGATACACCATTTCTTCTACCAAATTTCTCTTATTGGAAAAAAAAAAAAAATTATGCTGATCACTAAAAGAAAGTACCATTATCAATACTAAATTTGTTTTTTATTTAATCTTATAATAAAATTTTTGAAATCACAAATAATGAAATGTTTTATTTTAAAAAATCCGCTTTCTAAATATGTGAAAATATTAAAATATTAATTTTTTAAAAATAATTATATGAATTAATTAAATTAATATATGAATTCAATTAATAAAATGTTTGACTCATAGTGAATTTTTTTGTTTTATGAAATTACAAAGATAAAAGGTTACAACTCTTATCAAATACCACATTTGTGTAAAAAATTTCTTTAAAAGCTCAATTTATTGGTTTCCAATGAAACTTCCCAATAATTAAAATTTAAAATTTTATTATAAAAAATTTGAATTAGATTCTTGATATGAGCAAGTGAAATTTACAGGTTAATAAAAAAATTACCATCCACACATAGTCAAGTATCTCCATAGAGTTCAAGTGATTTTTACAACATATGCAAAAACACGCATCCATGTGTGTGTCAATCTATGAAATTAATATTATAATATGAAGCTCTAGTATTTTGTTTTGAGATTCCAATGCAAGTTTTTTTTTTTTAGGTTATAATTAGATATGATATTTGAAAATTTTAATTTTGAATTTGACTCTAATGTTATTGAACTAATAATTTATTGACAATAACAAGTTAATTTCATCATTTATGGAATTTTAAAAAAATTTTATTATAATATATAATTGCTCAATCATAATAAAAAAATTTATTTAAAGGTCCATCATTTTATAAATATGAATTTCATTTTATCAATTTTAAATTGTTATTGATTAATTGTAATATAATAATTATAAATGATATGTTTTTAAGAATTATCATAAGTCTTTATCAACTTGAAATCAATGATAAAACTATTAAAATTGTTGCTCAATTAAAAAAAAAGAGTGAAATCACATATAATTGATCAAATCAATTACTACAAAAATAGAAAAAGTGTATTAATGCGGAAATCTAAATATTTCAACTAATCAAACTCTAAAAATTATCCATTATTTTTACATAATACAAATTAGTTTTATGAAAATTTGGGTTTTACTTTTACATCGAGGGTAATTAATCATTTGTATCTTTTTCTTCGCATGGAAATTAGAATAATAAGGTTGTCTTCAATTATTGTGACATTCCAATATCATATCAAGATTTTTTTATAATATATTAAAATATATAAGTTAATATTTAAATTCAAAATTTATATAAATTAAGATTTAAATTTAAAATTTATGCTTTTTATATAAAAAAAAAAATTATGAAACTTTCATACCATTTGAGAGATTCGCATATAACCTACGATGTATTATTCGTTTTGATTTGAAATTTTATGATTTTATCTCACAAAAAGTGTCTCATAAGTTTAAATTTAAATCTCTACATATATATCATAATAGAACCTTAAATTATTTTAATATGGAATTAGAGTATCACAAACTCTTCCGTTACAACTTGATATCCTCGTTTAACCTAACATAAAAGTACATAAATTTATCGAATCACATTATATGTTAGGCAAGCTTAATATAAAATACACACAGATTATATGATTATACTACATATTAAGATTTTAAAGGTGACTCTTATCACGTAACACTTATCTCTCGTAAGATTGTAAATGTGACTTTAAGGGTGTAGAGCTTAACTTCGATTCAATTAATGACTCATTTGATATTATTTATTGATACATATACTCAATTTGTTAAATATTATATATTTTGATCTAAAAAATTTATGATTTTATCTTATAAAAAATATTTTATATATTTTAAGTTTCAATTTATATATTATAACAAATTCTCATAATATTTAAGATATTACATTTATTCTATCCATGATTCCACTAAGTGATGCAGAATAAGTAAACCTACTATCCAAACACTCTCCTTAATCGTCTTCATCACGTGAAAAACACGCAGGTCAACTGAGAGCATTCCATATATAAGGTTTGATTTATTTCGCTGAAAATAATTTTCAGTAAATAATTTTCGTATTTAGGTGTTTATTTTTGTAAAAAATTAGTTAATTAACGAAAAATAATTTATTAATCCACAAAAAATAAGATAATGTTTTTGAAGATTATTTTATTATTTTGAAAAAAATATTTTCTGAAAAAAATTATTTATGATTAAAATTATTTATCAATATTTTTAATATAATTTTATTTATAAATAATATTATATTAATAAACAACATATCTCCCCGACACCCGAAAGATAACTGTAAGAAACGCTAAGAAAAAAAAAAAAAAAAACGATTAAAACAGAATGAAGGAGTTTCTATTTCATCATCGGTCCCAAAAAACTATAGCCCAAAATCTGGATAACAGGAAAGTCACTGGCAATTGACAAACTCTCTCGCGATCTCAACTAGATCAGCGCTGAAGAAAGATGAAGACAGAAGACACAGTGAAACTCATCAGCGCTGAAGGGATCGAATTCGTTATTGATAAGGAAGCTGCCATGGTTTCTCAAACCATCCGTAACATGCTTAATTCTCCAGGTCCATTTCTCTTGCTTCTCTTCTTATTTGGTCCTTTAGTGTAATTGGGTGTTCTGGTTTCTTAGTTGTTTTTTGATTTTTGGGGTGATGAAGGTGGTTTTGCGGAGACGGAGCATGGGGAAGTGACTTTCCCGGAGATAAGTGCTGTGATTCTTGAGAAGATCTGCCAGTATTTTTATTGGTCTCTTCAATATTCCAGGTTTGTGATTTTTTGATTATGTATTCAGTTTTATAAGCTGCTTCTTTCTATCAATGTCTGTTTTTGTGTCCTTCGGAAAGAAGTCCATGAATGCTGTGGATGTATTGAAGTTGTAACTTGAATTTTAGCTTTATGAGGATAGTAAGTTGATAAACAGTATGTGAATGAATCCCATGTTGGTTGTTGTCTTCTCTAGGAGAGCACTCTATTGTGATAATGTGGAAAGTGAATTATCAAATTATATAGTGGGAACACCTTCATTGTTCTAAGTTAGAAGCAAATATTTATATTTTAATGAAGTCTGTGACTGTTCATAGTGGCTTCTTATGTTGAGAGGAGTTGTAGTTAAAGTGGAAGCCAACATTACAAACTGTTTCCTTGCAATATAAAGATTTTAGCACTCCATTTTAGGTATGTGTTTCTCAATGATAGCTTAACATGCTTCTGTATCAATTTATCATGTTTTATTGAGATAGCAATGAGCCAAGATGCATTTTTCTGAAATATTCCGGTTACTACATGTATTGTAGTTGGATTCTCTATGGAAAACATTATCATCGGAATATAAGCACTAGTTTCTACTTTCTATATGAAACTATATGAATTGTGTGAAATTATGGAATGGGTTGTGGTGTGGGATCATTGAACATGGTATCCTCTTCCCCGCGCGATAGTTTACTTCCACATGGATGAGTATAGATATAAGATATTTGCCAAAAAATAGAGTGCTTTGTATATCCTCTTGCTGTGCAGTATGATTTTTTAACAACTATACAAATTCTCAAACTCATCAAACTTATTTTCTTATGCAAGAACTATCCAAACTGACTCGTTTACTTTTTTGATTGCTTGAATCACTTTCGATTCTCTGTATTTTCATTTTGAGTTAAGTTTATGAGCACTTCCTATTTTTGTTTTACACTGATCAAATAGTTACTATTTTGTCAGGGGTAAAGAGACTGAGTTCCACATTGAACCTGAACTGACTCTTGAGCTGATGATGGCTGCTAATTATCTCCATACTTAACCAATTATGTTCTTTGCTTATTAGGTAAGATGTTCTGTTTAAAATCATAAAACTTTTTGCTACACAAATTTTATCTCTTTTGATTGTTTTCCTCATTTTGACTTTTAATTAGCAATGAATTGGTAATTTATTATTTTCTTATGAGTGTCACTGCCAAGTTACCATCTTTCTCTTTTGTATCTACCTCACAGAATTCTTCCGGCTTGGTATTCTTGCCCAAGAGGAGTATCTATGTCATGCTTTTTATCTCTTTGCTGCACTGCATAGTGGTGTACTTACGTTATCTCAAGTGATTGTTTTGACTTAGAACATAGACTTATGTAGGCAAATGAATGCAGTTATTGCAAGATGTATAATCGCTATTATACACTGAAATAACTTGAGCCCAATCTTAAAATGCAACTGTTTATGGACTAATTGTATGCTAATTGGATATCTTTCCGTGCACAATTGTAACCTCAAATTTCTTTCATAAGATACCAAAAGTCTTCTTATATAGTAGAGAACTTTACAATACAAGGTTCCATGACACTTCTAGCACTAAAGCCTTTTGAGAGTTGATACACTTTCTAGAATCTGGGTTTACAAGATATTTGCAACTTTGTGCTGCCAAGCTAGCACTTTCCGACCCTGTTTTTAGAACCTTCCCACACAGTTGTGCTACAATGCATGACTTTGTTGCTGCTTGGATTATAGGGTAAGCCTTCTGAAAGGTTCTAGGGAATTTTACCCGCGCACCAAGCCAGGACACTAGCTATATTACAGGGTATGTTGCATTGGATAGTGACACTAGCCCTGGCCATAATAATGCCAGCTATGTGATCAAAATGACATAATTAGCTCAATTATCTGATTCAAGGAACTGTAGGAAGAGCCACAGTCTCTGATGCAGAGTGCAACCATCTCCTTCAAATCTTTAGCCCTCTGCCTCATTTCTTCCCCTTCTTTATCCAACATTAGCCTCTTGACAGCTCTCTCTATCTCCTCCCTTTCACACATATTCTCCAATTGTAAGCCGATTTTCCATACGTGACTGACATACCTTGCATTGACCCTTTGATCACCAAAACATGGTTTGCAGATCATTGGAACCCCTTCTGATATGCTTTCCAGTGTTGACTTCCAACCGCAATGGGTCCAAAACCCACCCACAGCGCCATGTGCTAAGACTTCTTTTTGGGGTGCCGATTTTACAATACAACCATTTTCTTGAACAGCTTCTATAAAAACCTCAGGCAACAACTTGTTCGATACAAGATCGTCAAATAACCCAGGCCTAATAACCCACAAGAATGGCTGCTCGCCATTGGCCAAACCCCAAGCTATTTCAACTAGCTCGTTCTTGCCTATAGATGCTACACTCCCGAAGCTACATATAGAACTAAGTTCTGAATTTGCTTGTCAAGCCATGGAATGCAGCTGGTGTCTTCCTTTCTTAAGCTGCTTGAGGAGGGTGGGGCAACTTTGTACAAAGGACCGATAGGGAATATTGGAATTGGGCATTGTTTTTGAAGCTTTTCTAATGATGATTGTTCAAGGACATCAACAGTATTCCAGATAACAGCTGAAGATGTTCTTGCCTTGCATAGATTAGACATCATGTGCAATAAATTTTCTGACATTCCAAATATGCGAACAGGCAGATCCTTGAATCTGAGGGGATGAAGCCCAGGCACTAAGTCTTGCGATGTTGAACCTATGTTTTAAAAAAAAAATTTTTTTTTTCTAGTAGCAGTGATTGGCCATGATCAAATATGCTACAGTCTAGTCAGGAGCCCCCCGATTACCGGTTCTCCTTCCAGAAACTGCACAAAAAATACAGTGGGTAAAGCATGGCTGGAAACAAATGAAAATGATATGAACCTTTTCTAGGTGTAAAACATGATACATACCTTGCAAAGTATGAATATCTTCTGCCCTGAGTTGGAGAATCGCACTGCGAGTAACATATTGTGAGGCACAATTAGTGCGCAAGATAATACTTGGCAGCTTCACATGCTTTGCTGCTGCTTCAGCGAAGTGCATGAATGCATCATAGATAATGCAGGCAATCTCTTCTTTTTCTTCCTCTACTGTTCTACCATCTTCACCAAACACTCCTGGAAGGGCATTTGACAATTCTCGTTAAGAAGTAATATCAAAACTACTAGATTGCCAGAAGAGATGACTTGCTCAGATAAGTTATCAGGTATGGATATGAAAAGAAATTCTGGATGGTTTGAGGGGTTAGGAGAGTTGAACGCAGTGTGAACAACTGTGATGGAGAATCCCTTAGAGTGACGAATGGAGCCAAGCTGAAGCATTGGATTTATGTGGCCTTGGAATGGCAATGGAACTAGTACAAGTCGGCGACGGCTCCGTCTTTGCTTTTCCATCTCTGTCCTAGCGGAGCGTTGTGTGACTGTTTAAAATTTTATTCTTGTAAAATATATATAGAAGTACATGCCATGACGAGTATCTATTAATCTAGGATTGTTGATGGCGAAGTCTCACAATCAGAAAACTGCCTTAAAATAAGTTTTTAATAGCAATCACCATTATCTCCTTTAATGGTACGGTGTTTCAAGCAGCACATGGGATTTGTGCAGATGGGAACTCACTGAAACCTAGTCCATAGAAAAATTATCAGACTGATCTATAAGCTCTAGGACGCCAGCACTTCTCTCAGCAGTGTCTGTTAAGTTGTTTTTCTGGGTCCGGGAATGGGAACTCTGATGAGCGTGCCAGAGAGTTGTCAAATGCTGGTCATCTCTGTCAGTCTATTCTATTATTTTATTGTTCTATCATCCAATACTGGTCTGGATCACACTATTTTCTCTATTTGTCTTGGAATATTAGGTGGCCTGTGTGTAGACTAATGCTCAGCTGATGGAAACTATTTTGGCAGTTTTCCTCATTGCATTTCAGAGCTGCCGTTCTAAATCTGATTTAGAAAAAGAAGTCCTTGTCATTTATAGCTGAAAATTATTATGTGATTGTGAATTGATCATTCATGTTGTTTGATTTGAAATTTCAATTCAACCAGACAAAAATGTAGAAATGCAGAAAACATGGATTCAAGCTACATAATTTGCATCTGTGATGTAAATCTAGAGTATAAGTAAATGGAGGCTCTAAAAAGGTAAATTGGCACAAGATCCCTGTTGTTATGAATCTTGTGTCTTCAAACGGCAAATCTAAATGATTCCAAGCCCATCATCCTGCCACCACTGCTACGAGTTATTGTTGCCAGAAATGCTGATAATGTGTTGAATCAAACTCGAGATGAGGGGTGCTTTTTTTTTTTTTTTGTGAAAAGAGGGAGTTAAACCTTGAACTATGAACCTCTATTAGAAAGATACAGAATTATCAAGTCAATTTGCCAGGTTCCCCATGCTTTTTAAAGCCTGTTTGCAGAATCAAAGCCTCTGAAATTTCCACACAATAAGGAGACTTTTTGCAATATGAAAAGAAACCAAGTTACAAGAATATCAATCTTCATTTCTCATTCATGGATTTTTTTGGGAAACACACTGTATTTCCTCAGTTCTTGTTTTATAAGGGGAAGAACGCCTATAGACAATCTTGTTAATTTTTGGTTTTTGTCTGAGTTTGGGATTCAATTATGGACAAGTTTTGGCTGGTTTTCCCATGTTTAATCAGTTGTTTTCATCGTTACCTTTGGTGCTCAATATAATTCTGCTAATGAAGAACGGCAAGTATTATTTCTGTTTTAACCCGTGTTGATGCCTTGACAAGTTGACTACATCTTCTCTCTTATTGACAATGCTTTTATATATATATATATATATATATATATATATATATATTCTACTTTACCTAGTGAAGCTATCAGCTATGTAATTCCAGGAACTACGTCTACACAGAGGAAGAAGGGGAATCACTTGATATAGGATGTTGAGTAGTTAGAGTTAAAAAGAGTTTCAGACAAGATTTGGCTTTAAGGAAATTATTCAAATTCTGATTTATTTGAAGATTCACAAGTGACGCTATCTAAATGAATTTTCGCCTACTTTTATATGTATTCTTTGGCCATTTACTGCTGTAGATCTTTGATTTAGTAACTTCAATGATTTTGGCTCCTTTGTTAGCCTTTGATGGAGAGCTAGCTGTTCCAAGAGCTGAAATTCATCAGTTCTCCAATTTTCCTTTACTTCTACAGAAGGCCATTTTATTCCTTAATTGGCCATAAATTCCCCTCAAACATCCTGGCTGTAGTTCTTAAGATGAGTTGGATATTGACATAGAAATACTGGGAAATTTAATACCAGAATTATGTCCTGAACCCCATATAAAATAACATCAACCAATCTGCAATCTTGTGCATAGAAAACAATGGCCAATGACAGGTTCCTGCTGTTTCTTGACATTTCCTTCATCCTCATGTTTGGCATGAGCCTATCATCCATAACCGCTAACAGTGAAAGGAAGGCAAGTACCATCTTTGTAGCTTATGGCTTAATAATGGATTTGTATGTGGTGATTTGTGATTACATGTGATGAAGATAATGATCGTAATGGTGATGCAGGCCTACATTGTTTATATGGGATCGCTTCCTGAGGGGGAATATTTACCAACTTCTAACCATCATAATATACTTCAACAAGTTATTGAGGAAAGGTGTGTGTTTTTTTTTTTTTTTTTTAAGTTTTGGCTTTAGAGATTAGTTTTAACTCTTACTTGACCATATTCTTTTAAAATATCTCTTTCAAAAAAAAAAAAAAAAAATCTTTCTCTTCAGTTATGGGACGGATTCCTTGATCAGAAGTTATAAAAGGAGTTTCAATGGATTTGCTGCCAAGCTCACTAATAAGGAGGCAAAAAAACTGGCTAGTGAGTGATTCAATGTGCTTTTCATAGCTGTTTTTGACAGACTTTATGATTAAAATGGACTGTAAGACCTGTTTAAGTTAAAATTGCTGTGGTATATGCAGGCATGAAAGAAGTAGTATCAATTTTTCCCAACCGAATTCTCCACCTTCATACAACAAGATCCTGGGATTTCATGGGTTTCAATAATACTGTTAGACACAACCCGACTGTTGAGAGCAGTGTCATTATTGGTGTCATTGATGCTAGAATCTGGCCTGAGACCTAAGTTACCAAGTTTCAGTGATGAAGGTTTTGGTCCTGCTCCTAAAAAATGGAAGGGTGCTTGCAGAGGTGGCAAAAATTTCACTTGTAACAAGTAAATACCCCAGATTTCTCACTTTATTAGATTCTTCCTTTCAGGGATTTGAGAAAGCTAGTATAATTATCTTGTATTGTCATGTAATTTTTTTTGGTACAAAGGAGGCCAAAGCCTAGGGGATATTTTCATGTTATATTAACTAATAATTTCATAATTTTGATGCTATTATCTTACTGAACATACTTTATCCTCCAGCAAGATTATTGGCGCTCGATTTTACCAGTCATCACCATCTTCAGAAGGGACTGCAAGAGATGAAGCGGGTCATGGAAGCCATACTGCATCTATAGCAGCTGGGAACGAGGCGAAGGATGCTAGTTTCTTTGGACGTGCACAAGGTACTGCAAGAGGAGGGGTTCCCTCTGCAAGGATTGCAGCACATAAAGTTTGTAGTCTGGATGGCAGGTGTGAGTCAGTGGATATCTTCGCAGCTTTTGATGAAGGCTATTGCTGATGGAGTTGATATTTTAACGGTGTCACTAGGAGCAAGTGTATAAGTTGATTTTTTTCAATGATGTCATAGCCATTGATTCTTTTCATGCAATGGAGAAAGGAATGCTTACCCTAAATTCTGCAGGCAATAATGGTTTAGCAGGAGTATATGGGGTGTCAAGTGTAGAACCATGGATGCTTGCTGTAGCAGCAAGTACCACAGATCGTAAATTCATTGACAAGGTTGTTCTCGGGAATGGCAATACCCTAATTGTAAGTATCATAAACTCAATCATGTTTCTTATTAATACCAAACACTTTGTATGTATACTTGTGCATATGCTTTGTTGTTCCAGCAGATATACGTAAAGAGATATCTTAACATGTATCTTTGCTTAATATTCTAGTGATATAATCTTTGCGCCAACAGGGATTTTCAGTTAATTCCTTCCCTTCCAAGGGAACAAAGATGCCTATAGAATACGGACGTGATGTTTCAAGAAACTGTTCTGAATTTAATGCTGGGTTAGTTCAACTTGTCAAACATTTTGATTTCATCTAAAAGAATCAGTGAAATAACCAAAGTTCCATTTCTTTTTCCCTTACAGGATGTGTTCTGAATCATGTGTAGACAGTCATCTAGTGAAAGGAAAGATTATACTGTGATCAATTAATAGGCAATTCCGAAGCACATAATGCCGGTGCTGCAGGGTCAATTGTGCTAAATGACCAATCTTATAATGTTTCTTTTGTTATGGCATTACCTGCGGTCGCTTTAAACATTAGAAACTATAATTTAATCAAGTCCTACGTGAATTCCACCAAGTATGTAGCATGCTACAGTTTATTTTTAGGTATGGCTGCAGCCCCCTTTCATGCTTAGTTGAATGACTTGATTTCCACACTCATTTCCCTCTTTTTCTGCATACTTCAATAGCACTCAGTTCTTCATTCTGGACAGCCAGATACAACTGCTCCAGGAGTCGACTTCTTAGCAGCATATTCACCAATTGTTCCACCCAGTGACACATCTGGAGACAAAAGACAAGTCAAATATAATATAATGCCTGGAACCCCAATGTCTTGCCCTCATGTTGCTGTTGTAGCAGCAGATGTTAAAACATTTCACTCTGATTGGTCTCCTTCAGCCATCAAATCTGCTCTCATGACTACTGGTATAATCTTCTTGCAACCACATCCCTGTATTAATATAGTAATTGTCTTGCTAAATCTATATTTCCATCTCACCAAATTTGCCTTTCCTGGTAGCATGGCCATTAGCCCTGGACTTGTATATGAAGCTTTCAAGGAAGACTACATAAAATTGATGTGCAGCTTGGGATACAGCTCTGATAAGATTAAACAAGTTTCAGGAGACAACAGCTCTTGCCCTAAAAGCTCTGAAAATGTACCACCTAGGGATCTGAATTACCCTTCACTGACCGCTTCAGTTCCAACCAACAAGTCTTTCACAGTTAGTTTTCATAAAACAGTGACAAATGTTGGGCTTGCAAACTCCATTTACAAGGCAAAAGTCTCTCCAAACCCAAAACTTAAAGTTAAAATGGTTCCTGACGTTCACTCCTTCAATGCCTTGAAGGGGAAGAAATCTTTTAATGTGTCTGTTAATGGAGGAGGTTTAAAAAAGGGTCTATGCTGTCTACAACATTAATGTGGTCGGATGGCACCCATATTGTGCGAAGTCCAATTGTTGTACATACATATGCAAGACTTATGCCCAATGTATAATCAGATTTCTTGTCAGATTATCATCATGTGGGTTTTCAATGCGGTGTAATAATGATTGTCTTTTATGAAATTTTTTTATAAAAATGACTGCCGGAGAATAACAGAAGTAATACGTAATATATATATATATATATATATATATATGTTAAAGTTGGGGGATTATAGATGCAATAAAAAAATGAGAAAATCAAAATTTAATTAAAAAATTATTATGTTGGATTTGATTTGGATCAAACTTTTTATTTTATTTGAATTAAATTTGAATATTAAATGTATATATTAAATTTAGATCGAATTTTAAATTAAGATATAAAAATTAAAAAAAATCAAATTGAAGTGAATTATATATTTTTATTAGTTTATATATTTAAAATTTTTATAAAATAAAATAATTATTTTATATATAAAAATTTATTTAAATATACTAAAAATCATATTAAAATAATATATAAAAACATAAAAATAAAATTTAAAAATCAATAAACAAAACCAAACCGAATTGATAAAATTCAATTTGGATCAATTTCAAGAGAAAATCAATTTAGATTCAAATCGAATTTTAAAAATTTATAATATTATATATTATTTTAAAAAATTAAACTGAATCCAATCTAATCCGTTATCATGATAATACCTAAATAAGTTTTCAAACTTTATTAAAAATAAAAATAAGTCAATGAAATAGAATTTAACAGGTAGAATTATAAAGGAATAAAATTTAATATCCTTTAATTTCATTCAATAATAAAGGATAGAGGGTTTATTTGCATTTTTAGTAAACTTGGGGTTTATTTCAGTATTAAGCCTAAAGAGTATTATATATTTTTTACAATGCGTTGAAACGCACCGTCTTTCCTTTGCTTGTATTTCGGAGCCTTTTTTCTTCGCCAAACCCTTCTCATTCTAGTATTCTTCCAGCTCTAATGGCAACTCGCGCCTTTTCAAAATCAAAGTTCTCAATTTTAACTTCAATCCTCCTTCAAAACCTTAACAAAAGCCCTATAACGAGGTTCCAATCTCCTCTAAACGCTCAAATTCCACCTCTACGACCCGATTCCCATGAACCCATTTCAGCGTTTAAGCAATATCATGATGGGAGGCCAAGAGGTCCCCTTTGGAAAGGCAAAAAGCTGATAGGGAAAGAAGCCCTTTTTGTAATATCGGGTTTAAAGAGATTCAAGGATGATGAAGACAAAGTTCAGAAATTTATCAAAACCCATGTTTTAAGGCTATTGAAGATGGATTTGATTGCGGTTCTTTCAGAGCTTGAACGCCAAGGGGAAACTTCTCTCGCTGTAAAGGTACTCTCTTTTATACTTCTATTAATTATTCTTAATGTTTATTCAATTCGTTTTTCTTAGTCTTTTGGGTTTTGTGTTTTTTAATTACGTTTGCTCTTGTTTTGTTTGATCAAATGCTTGAGTAAAATGTAATTTCTTGGACACCATTGATTTCTGGGTACTTAGATTTCGTATTAAATGACTCAGCTTTGTGCATTGAAATGATATTTGTTGGAGAACACAAATATATGGGGAGTTCTTGAGAATGAGAATGGTCTTTTTGTGTTACATTCAAAGAGAATTAACCAGCTTTAGTCCTTAATGAAGTAGATAAAGTTGCTTCTGGGTTGTAATATCTTCTGCTTGATATTTGTATCTTGTTGAATCGTCAGGTTTTCGAGGCGATTCAAAAGCAAGACTGGTATAAGCCTGATGTCTATTTGTATAAGGACTTGATTATTGCATTAGCGAGATGCAGGAAAATGGATGAAGCAATGAAGTTATGGGAATCTATGAGAAAGGAAGATCTGTTCCCTGATTCTCAGACGTACACTGAGATCATTAGGGGCTTCTTGAGGGATGGATCTCCTGCTGATGCAATGAACATTTATGAAGATATGATAAAGTCTCCTGACCCACCAGAGGAGTTGCCATTCAGGATTTTATTAAAGGGGCTTCTGCCACACCCTCTTTTGAGGAACAAAGTTAAGAAAGATTTTGAGGAGCTCTTTCCAGAAAAGCATGCTTATGATCCTCCTGAAGAAATTTTTGGCAAATGCTGAGGTTTGCATAGTGACCTTTATTCTTTCCTTGTTTTAACTTTTCTTTTCTCTTTCTTTCATTTCCTTTTTTTAAGACATAACAACAATAATCAGTGATAAGGAATTGACAGCTTTAGTGTAGTTTGGTTCTTGAACAAAAGGATTATATATGCAAGAAGCTAATTTAACTACGTCAACTATGAAACTATCATCTTCAACTTAGTGGGTTTGGCAAAATCATTGCCTCTGTTGAACCCGTGTTACCTGTGCACTTGAATGTATTATTAGGCCAATCCTTCTGTTATGATGACTCTGTGTTATAGTGGTTGGCTGCATTGGACTTTCTAGGATCATCTTGATCTATACCGGCCGGTTTATGCGATAACCAAAACTTCTGAATTGTGATGTTTCATTTATGGTTTTGTTAGTTCAATATTATTAATTGATTACTTGGTGGCTTGGTACACTGTAATCATTTGGAAACAACTAGTAATGCAATTTTTGCAGTCCACAAATGCAAGAAAGGAATATAGATCAAAACTTGCATGGTGGATTGCACTCATTTACTTTATGAAGTCTATTTCCTTGAATTCAAACTTAATTGGTTTCAGGGCTTCAAATGGTCGATCTCAGTCATGCAGGAGTGACAGAAACTGACAGGGTAAGAGAGCAATGTTTTACAAAGAGGAAGCAAGAATGAGCGATTCCATTGGAGATCCCATATTGCAGATAATTATCCCATTCAGAGATTGAATCGTCGGCATTTTGTCTGGGTCATCGAGGAGTTCTCCCAACTCAGAACTATGATGTACCTTAAAAGATGTTCTAGAAAGGACATTCACATTGAAGTAGTTTTACCAGATTCTTGTAGCATGATCCACTGTCTAAATTGGTCCATGATTTATGGGAGGATACACATGGAAATAATAGATAAGATTGCTTGATATTGGATCTTTCTTCTACCACCTTTTCCCCTAGTACGTTGCCGAAACCATGATGCCCTTTCAGCATCTTACCACAGCCAATGGCCATTAAATCTCGGTATTGCTGCAAAATAAATAAATAAATAAAAGAATTATAACGATGTGATTTTAATCTACCTAAATAATTATTCATGTGAGAGCAAGGAAAAAAATAAAAAAGCAAGAGAGGAACAAACATTAAGTTTTTTGAGTTGTCTGCTCCTAGACCATCACAAGGTGGGCGTGCCGGAGTGGTTATCGGGCATGACTAGAAATCATGTGGGCTTTGCCCGCGCAGGTTCGAATCCTGCCGCCCACGCCAACGTCCTTTTTCTTTTTGGCCAATGTTATTACCCATCAATCTCCTAAATTTGACCATATATTGCAGTCAGTCCTCCGTGCAAATAGCTTTGTTTTCTGCTATGAACTTTTCTTTTTAGTAATATCAACAAAGAGATAAAGGAAAAGGAGGACAGGATTCTGAAACTATATTTTTTCAAGCTACTACTATATATATCAAGGATTCCCTTGCAAGGTGCATGAATGTTGAATAATCTTATGAATTTAGGATCAATTTTCATCTTGGTTATACTTATTATTATCTCACAACTCATTATTTTATTTACAAATTTTATATATAGTGCATGGATTCCATGGACTCCTGGAAAAATTCGTTTAGTCAGAAAACATTGATAGAGTTCAAACATGCATGTGACAAGAGTATACAAATAACATGATCCTAATTTCAACATGATATTGAGACCAAAGAGTCAAGCTCTTATCAAACAAAATCACAGCGTGCTCTCGCAACCATAATTTCCAAGATGAAATCATCAAGTGAAAATAACCACAACATTCTTGGATATTTTCCAGGAAAATTTATTCAACTAGCACTATCCAATTAGGTGAGCTGACACACGAACTTTATCTCAATGATTCAACCATATTTAGACTAACAACAGTTCTAAACTTTATTTGCTCTTTAATAAGAAAGATGCAAGTTGCCTATAATATATGGGATTGGATCACCCCATCTCAAATGATATAAAATCCCACTTCCAAAAAAAGCAATGGGGATTTGGATAAGTTTTAAATTTGGATAGGAGAGTGTTTTATTCTTGATGGAAAAAACTGGAACATTTCTCAAATTCTCTTCAATGAACTCGTTTAGTGACAGACACCAAAAAAAAAAAAAAAAAACAAAGGCAGAAAAGACTAAAGGGCGAAGGGTGTTTGGTGATGCATTGAGTATCTTCTTCATGACCAAAATACAAATAATAAGATCAGCTAGGTAGCGTCAGGTATAAATGGTATCATTTTCATGGTATTGCAGTATCAACTTGGGCATTTAAAAGAGAATAATTGAGGTCAACTATTAGTGGAAAATAAAAGAAAGGAAAGAAAAAGGTTGAGTGCCGAAACAACCTTATCTAGTTATCTTGATGCGGGATCAAGGGATTAGAGATTTCTCCGTATCTCTCTTTCACTCAAACCCTCTTGAAGCTATATACATAGAAAATCATTCCCATGAAGGTCATTAGCCAAGGAAAAGGTCAAGAGATAGAGTGAACTTGAGGGTTTTCTTTTTTTTTTTCCTTTTTTGACCCTATAGAGCAAAGAGAGGATGCATTTATCCATTACAGGAAAGATGGCAATAAATGGTACGCGACTTGGGATGCCAAGTGGACCCCTTTTGGCACTTATCCGTTATGTTTTGTTGAAAAAAAGTAAGATTGATATTATATGCAGAGAACCAAAAGTGAATGAGAGGAAACTGCAGAGAAAAATTCCTTCAAATCTTGGATTTTAAAAGAAAAAGTGAAACAAAAAAGAAGGAAAGAAAAATTTCACCATAAAACACCTTTTTTGTTTGATCACGATGGGCACATGGGCTGCACTGCAAATGTCAATTTGTTTAGCATTATATCTATATTTGATGGTTACTGAGACAGTTTGAGATACATCCTCCCCTATACTGTGATCTTCACGGACACTGCTGTTTTCCCTTTGTATCTTCTCTGAAAATCTGATCTGTCTTTTTTTTTTTCCAATTGGGATAGTCTTTCTTGGAAGTGTTGCGGTACACAGAATTTGATTAATTTTTTTACTTTGGAAATTCAGTTCTTTTGCTTTTGTTCGACAAAGAAGAAAAAGGAAATGGAGAGTAAGAGACAAGTTGGTTCTTCTTCTTCATTCACTGCTGAGCTTTTTGGCTCCAAGGAGTCATCATCATCATCATCAAAAGGGATTTTCAGTTCCATTTTTCAACCTCCATCCTCGGTATATACACTGTTTTATATTGGAACAGCATTTGCTATGGTTTTTTTCATTTCATTTTTTTCAGTTCCTTTTTTGCTGCTTTTTTTTTTATATATTGGATAAAGTATTGGTTAAGAATTTCAAGAAAGATTGAAAGGGTATGGACTTTTTAGAGTCTTTGACATGTTCAAGTAATTTGCCTTTTTTCTGAAATATAATTTCTAACATATAAATCAGAACTTTTTAAACTGAAGCTGGAAAGTATAAATGTCATACAGTCTTCTTTAATTCAGAACTTCAATCAAAGGCTGAAAGTGCCAGTTCTGGTTTGTTGATGGATTGACTGTATTGAAAAAGTACTTTTCTACTGGAAACCATTGACTAATTTTCTTTAATCAGATTTCTAGTTTCTTTATTTGAAATTTCAGGTGGGAGGGAGGAACCCCACAAGTTCTAAGGTGTTAGAATATTGGCCAAAACAGCGTTTAGAAGGTTCAACTTGGAGACATGGAATGCAAGGTTATTGATCAGGATATTTTGTTTTCTTACAATTTCGGTCCATTTCTTCCCTGAGCCCTCAGGTCAAGACCTTTCATATTGATTGAACTGTGCAGCATTGCAGAAAACAAATTCTAAGTCTATTGCTTGCCAACTCAAGTACTTTAGTGTCAATAGGAGCATATCCTCAGAATTTTTCTCTATTCAGTAAGAGTCATCTGAGGACCTATTATCATTGTTTCACGGACAGTTAATATTGATTCCCCTCATTCTTCAAAGTTGTTATCCTCATTTTGTGAAAAATTCAGTCCTTCTTACTTATTTGATGATGTAAAACTAGTGTCCTGATAATATTGTCCGGAACTTGGAAGTTAGTTCATGTAGTCACCCGTAAGAGATGACATCTAGTGGGTCTAGGCTTTAAATCCCAGCACTTACAACCCCTTTCCTTGTTCCCAGATTACGGCTTTCTATGTACAAGAAAAAGAAGTTTTGCCAACTGCCATGAAGTTTGTCAGTAGAGTGCTTGATTCTTAGTTTCATTGATCAAGATTCAGAGCCTGACAACTTCAACTATAAAAAAAATTGTCTGATTCTTCTTTATTTTTCTTCTTTTTGTGCTTCATATAATTTAGCTCCAGTTGCTGAGAGTGCAACCTATAACATACCCAACAAGGACAGAAACTCTGTTTTTCATGAAGAGAGGGTGGAACCATGCCATTTAAGTTCATCTCTTTACTATGGTGGCCAAGACATATATTCCCGTTCCTCGAGTACCCAAAGTTCTACATCATATCCTATTGTGAGTCTTAACTGATCGACTCTGATACAAAAACTACTTTCTGATACATGAATGAAAGTAATCATCCTATATATTTTGTGAATGAATAGTTCAAGAAAGATGGAGGGGAAGATGACCCAAATGGGAACAATTCACAGGATGCTTCTAGAGGAGATTGGTGGCAAGGTACTGATATTCTAGATGAAGCTTCAGGTAGATAATCAATGTAACTATGGATTTACGCTATACCAACATCTCAAAACTTGACTTGGACTTCTGCAGGTTCGCTTTATTATTAGAGCCAAGCCTTCCAATGCATATGAATTGTCCATCAGTTTTCCAAGGTATTTTCATTTACAAAACTTAACTGCTTTTTAGGGTTTCTGAAAACCAAGCTGCTTTGTTCCTTATGAACCAAGAAACTAGCAGATATGGAAATGGGAAAACTTATGAAATATGCATGGTGAAGAAAATGTATAGTTGTTTATCCCAAGACAAGAGCGGTAGCAACTGTTATATTTCTATGAACAAACTTCACTGAAGATTTCAGTTGGGTTCTTATATACTCTTTGTTAATCTTGACATTTTTGCAGGAATTATAAAGCAAGCAAATAATCATGGAAGACATGAAGTATAAATAAATTTCTGACACGGACAAAGGCCGCTCAGGATTCTGTAATACGATATCTTTTTCATAATTTTTATCTGAGAACTGATAGATAAATTAGGCTTTCGTTTTTAAATGTCAATATCCAAGCTTCAGATTCTGTATCCAAAATGCCATCTCTTTGCTATGTATGAGAGTTACACCAAAAAATATATATCTATATATAAACACACACACACACACAAGCAGTATCCTTTTCCACCATTTGAAAGCTATAAGGAATAAGGATTGCCCCTTTCAAGGAAAAGAACTCACTTGAGAGCTAATGTATGAACTCATCACTCTGTTGGGGCTTGACATGGATGAGATATATAGAGGGTATCACCTTTATAATCTGGCAGATTGGCAATTGCCCATATTTGCTTCCCTTGGAGAAATCCATGGCTACACCAATTTTCCTATCTTTTATCGTTCTTTTTCCTTAAGAATTCATACCTAGAAAGAATAACAAAAAATTTGATCACAGGAACAAGGTCATGAAGTCTCCTCTCTCCACTCTACTAAACCTTAGCTAAAATCTTGAGGGTTTTATATACGCATTTGGTTCGGCCAACTTAATTATATTTGCACAAATCAAGCCGTCTAGTTTAGTCCCCCATCCTTTTGTGTGAGGTTTTTCAGGCCTAAGATTTTAGCCCAAAAAATATAAACTTCAAGCCTTGGTCTTGAGTGTATGATCCAAGGCAAGCCTTCCAACTAATAGAAGCAGGCCAACTGAAGGCTATTGAGCTGATGAAGTTGCCATATTTAGGCCTAGAGCTAAAAATGACAATCACCTGTTTAAGACTAAAAAATCTTCAACTTTTACTGAGATTACCATCTGCTTGAGAACTAATATTTGATCTTTTTCTGTGTTTTTGGTGAAGAATTCATGGAAAAGAAATGTGATGGGAGGTTTTGATAGCATATCCATATCATCAAAATCTGGAAGCTAAAGTTGATTTTCTAAAACAGTTATAGTTTCTTTTTTAATGAAAAAAATAGCTATAGCTTCTTTTTCTTGCCAATCATTTTTCAATCACCACTCCATCTAACTCCATATTTTAGTACCAAACCTATCCAACCAATATCTAAAACCAATTCAATTCATTCATTCTCACCCAAACCATCAATCAGCTGATTATGTTGACTAACAGCTAAATCTTAAAAATATATATAAAATAAAGGGAAAAAAAAGAACATAAAAATGCTCAATAAACCGCCTCCTTTACAACAAAGTCCATTTAGAACAAAACTGATTCAGTCTTTTTTTAATAGCTAACTTTCAACAATGCTTCGCTTTTGTTTTAGATAACAAATGGAATAAATGGTTCTGTTTATACTTTATACTCTTCAAGTCATGACAGAAGAAAAGGAATAATCTGTCAAACACATTAACCCTTTTTTTTGGTTTGTGGAAACAACAATCCACTAAACCCAAATTTGTAACTTTTTCAACAACTCAATTTTTATTTGCATAAACTATTGAACATCCCCTGATTGGACTAGTCCTCAAATTTGTTACCAAGGGTGCAACTCCCTAACAAATGGCAGGTGAGTTTGCAGAGCTGGACAAGTGTACGGTCCAACCAAATAGAGCCCCATAACGCAAACACAACACATAAAAGTTAAAACACAATATACAAATCTTTCTTAGACCTGGTTTCCATCTCTTCAACTCAACTTGTCTTGTTTTTTTTATCTGTCTTTGTCTTGGATGAAAACCCTCTTCCATCTTCCATTCCTCAATCCTTATAACATCAGTTAAGAAGTCCCACAGGATTCTCTCCTCTCTCTCTCTCTCTCTGTTCTCCATCTATCTATCGATCGATCTCTTTTTTTTTTTTTTTTACTCTTTGCATGCGTGATAGACCAGGTGATAAGTGTATCTTGTCGAACCAGCAACATATCATCAATCCCATCATTCATTCTGTTCCACTTCACAGTGCAAAACTTGTAATTCATTTATGATGGCTGTTGACCTACGCAACTGTGAGTTATTACTTCCTTCTCAGTTTTTCACTCCTCAAGATCACCTTGATGGTCTTTCACTGGATAACAGCAACCGCAGCAGCAGAAACAACAACAAGAACAACAAACCCATCAAACGAAACGCGTCTTACTTAATGGGTTCATCTGATTCTGGGTCCGAGTGGAGTTCACCTATTGGCTCTGAGCTGAGTTCAATCTCAACAGAAAACAGTAAAGAGGAAGACGATTACATTGGTGAGTTGACTCGCCAGATGGCTCAATACATGCTTCAAGATGAAGATAAACATGATAAGGTATTTCCTCTTATTGATCAAAGATTCGATTTGGCATCCGGGTTTTATTAAAAATAAAATAAAACTAATCTTTTTTATTTTTTTCACTTTTGGTTTTTAGTCCTGGGGTTTGTCTGGTTCTCTTGAATCAACGCTCTGGTCACAGCTTGACTCCAACGTTGATAGTCCTGTTGAACCATCTAGGAAGCCATCTCCACCATTAACGCCTATGGTTATGAAATTTGAAAAGATGAAGATAAATGAAGAAACAGCCAGCTATAACGAAGGTGAGAGAGTTACAAGTACATCCACTACAAATAAAGTATGCAGGAGAAACCCGAATGCTGGATTTCAATCAAAGCACGCCTTTATTGATGAGCAAATAAGAGCTATCCAAGTAAGCATGGATATCGTTAGTTTTTTTTTTTTATTTGGTAGACTCATTTACAAATGAAATTGCACTAATTTTTTTTTTCATATAAATACAGTTTCACAGGCTGAAAGAAGAACAAGCTATGAAGCAAATGGAACAAAAGCCAAGGATTAAGCATTATCAAAGCAAAGGGAGCGTATTTGGTGGGTTAAACAATGGCCAAAATGTTGCCTCTAACTCTAATCATCCTTGGTATACTCTGCAGCAGCAGCAACAGCGGCAACAGCAACAACAAACAAGAAACCAACAAGCTGGTTCTGATATGAGAGCGGTTTTCCTTAATGCCTACGGTTCAAGAAATGGTTCTTGTGGGACCGGTGTTTTCTTGCCCCGTAGAATAGGAACTCCTTGCAAGTCACACAAGAAACAAGGTTAAAGAAATGTTCCTTTTTTTTATTAAAATTTTAAAAACTTTTTGGGGTAGCTTAATGGAGGATGTAGGCAAAAAGTTTGGTTGGGTTGGTTAAATCATAAATGTTCAGTGGACCATCAGTTTTCCCGTATTCCAATTACGATTGCATTTTATCATGTTGGGTTTCCGAGTTTTGACTCTGAATTCTGGCAAATGGTTTTTTTCCCATGTTCCGAGATCCTTTTCATCATCTAATCTTTCTGGTTTACAAGTGTCCAAGATTTGTTAAGTGTGTGGAATCTTCCCTGGCCTTGTGGTCCCCCTAGTTTAGTCCATTTGCATGTTGCTTTCAACAGAAATCCCAACTAATAAACCTTCGAGTGATTTAACACTAGTATATTTCTTACCTGGGTAGATTTGGATTTGCCTGTCACTGGTTACAGTACCCTTCCCTGGTATTTACCTGGATTCTGTTTTGATCAGGACGTGCCACAGTTCTGATTCCTGCAAGAGTAGTTCAGGCCCTGAAAATCCATTTTGAGAAAACAGGTGTTCCATCAAGGTTCAATAGCAGTGGTCTTCCACTGGAACACGGTAGCTAACTGATCTACCAAGAAAATGTTTTTTTAGCTTTTTCGCATTTGTCTTCACCATTTAGCAAGTCAATTTAAAAACTTGTTCTGATTCCATGCAGATGTTTCTGTAAGTGGGACGAATAGCATGCGTGCACAACAAAAGCGCCAGTCCAGGACGGCGCCGGCTATCAACGATCAAGAAATGGGTCTACCTCAAGAATGGACATATTGAAATAAGAACCCTCTCAAGCACATGGGTTATTGCTTCTCACTTCTAATTTTTCAATTAAGTTAAATGAAGGGAAAAAACAAGTTCAAGCCAGAATAAACAGGAAATAAAAAAGACAAGCAGTCGTCAAGTATAGGGAATCTACAGAGAATATGACAAAGAAAACAAATGTGCAATGAAAAAAATTGGATACAGTCCTTGTACCTTCCTCTGGCTGGCTTAAGTCTTTGTAAACTTATTGAGGATGGCTTTTTGTAAAATCCTTGTAATAAAATCAGCCATCAGCAATATGAACTTGCTTTGGTTTTCATTTCCATTTTTTCATGTCATTATTGTACGTGATGAATAACTTTTTTGACGAGTAATGAAAATTGAAGTGTTATTTTATCGAAAAAAGTTTTTCATTTACACATCATAATAACTAAACAAAATTAAAAGTGGGATGATCATGACAGGCAAGCAATCTCATTAAAACTGAATGGCTGAAGATGAAGTGAAGAATTAATTACTAAAATTTAGCCTCTTCTGCCTTTCATAAATGTTCTATGAAAGTTTGTTGTAGGTGGCAGCGGGGGCTACAACAACTGCCACAACCTAGAAACCAAATTCGTGCCTTTCAATCAAATACTTGAAAGGAGAAAGACCCAGTTGGTCCATTTGTAACCTTAAATCAAAGAGAAATTCGAACCAAAAACTAATCCATTTTGGTCCATCCTCTTTGAAGCTTGAAAATTACTCACCTGGAAATTTCCGGTTTCCAAGTTTCTTCGATGAAAAAAGACTGTTCTTTAGCCCTTTTAGGTGCTTGCCTGTTAAGACAGGGCTGTTTTCTGATTTGCCAGCGATCAGAAGCCGGGTGCACCCGTTTGTCCTTTTGCTTTGTTTTTCGTTTTTGTAATGTTGATGGTCTACGCCCTTCAGACTTCTCGTGTGGGAGAAGTTGGGGAGTGATCGGGACCTTCTTTTCCGAGTCTTCTATGTGGAAATATGTGTTTGCTTCTGGTTTGAGAGGTAAGAGTCTTTCCATTCCAAAATCTAATGACCGATTAGTCCAAATTATGTCCTCTTATATGCTGGATCGAGAACCCATGTTCTTCATTAAATATGCTCTACAGGACATGTTTTCTTAAATTTTAAACGAAATTTGCACCAAGAGAAATATGTATTTATTGAAGTGATTCATTTTTCTCAATTCTTTTTTTTTTCCACATTAAATCTAGCAGAAGAAACATGAAAAAGACGCAATTTTCCCCCTAATTTGCCTAGTGAATTTCGTGATCTACAAATACACTAAATTTCTGGCAACATAATGAAGGATAACGTGCGTATTTTTTTTATTTGGCAATGATGAAAGTGATGGATCAGGCATTCAGATGCTTCATTTCAAATACTTTGATCGCTCAAGATGTGCAATTTGTAGGGCTAATTGTGGATTATTATGCTTCAAATATTCCCGGCAAGTCTGGTGATGGAGTTTGATTTGTTATCAACACATATTCCAGTATTCTACAAAGCAAATTGTACAAACAGTGGAATATTCCTGATACTTGACTTGGATTAAGGGCTGTATTTCTGTTAAAATTCAATTTCAGAGTTAAATTCAATAATATCGTTCTACATGGGAATAGAGGGGATTGGATGATTAGAGACTTAGCTTCAGCTTTTCATAGTCGTAGTTTTTTGTCATGTGAGAGAGAAGTAAATGAAGTAGCTACTTCAGGCTTCACCACTAGTTAAGTGTGGCACTGGTAGGTGGTGGATCAGTGAAAAGATTTAATTTGATTATAAAATTATAAGATAATTTATTAATAGATTTATATCACGTGTAATGAAAAAAAAATTATGTGATAAATTTTAAAAAATAACATAAAATTTTTTAATTTTAATATCATGTTAAGTATTTAATTTAAAATTAATTAATAATAAATAAATAAATTTAATTTAAATATAAAATATTAAAATTTTATTAAATTTGAGACAAATTTATTGGACGTGCGACAGTAGACACGGTTAGTCTTACAAATACATACAGTTGGATCCATCAGAACAGTGATGGATACCAACTTTCCGGTTTGAAAATTTTATGACATCTAAATCTAAGGGTCAGACTTACCTCACCGTCCCTCATTCCCTATTGGACTGTCAGGTCAGACTTACCTCACCGTCCCTCATTGCCTTTTAATTTAAGGTAATTTAGGCTTCCATTAATAAACTGATGGGAGAAATTCTTTTGTCAAAATATTATAGCCGGTTATGCAGGTGGGGATTATAGGATTATAGGGATAAAAATATGTGGTTGTTTTGGTGTCTGTCATTCCAATAGGCAATGCGGACTGTGAGGTAAGGAGCTAGGGCATGGTTGTTTCAGACATGATGTTGATGGATGAAAGGACGGATTAGAGCTGGGGCCTGGGATTTCTTGATATGAGTAGCAGTTTGGAGAAGGCAATAATAATTACGGGACAACTGCCTCTAATTCTGGATATATGGGGCCAGTAAAACATGGGAGCCTGGAAAAACACAGCTGCAAATTGTATGGCGCTTCGATCTTATCATGCATGAAGCTGAAGAAGATTCTGAGATGATTCTGTATGAGACTGAGAGCTGGGGAGGACGCTCTCTCCTGCTAATCCCATGTGCAGACGAGCTATCAAAGTTGTAATTAGATACCAAGCAAAACTGCAAGTGGCTGGCAGCAGCTTGTCCTAGCTAAGTTGAATACTTTTGTGTCTACCCCCTTTTACCCCTTAGGCCCAATGACCAAGAGCGTCCTCCCTTTGTCACTGTCAAGAAATTAATTCAGACCATAAAAGCTAGTCAATATACATCCAATTCATGCTGAAGTGGATTACACGGGGAGAGCAGTTCTCTTCTAGAATGACGAAAGTTCATTGTCACTGGAACGCCTTGTTTTTTGTATTTTACAGACACAAGGACATAGGTACGTATCGCAGGATCTCAGCAACCTAATTTATTTGGTTGGATGAGAATTCAAAAAATATTAATTTTTACCCTAAGTGAGAGAAATATATATGGACTCAACTCTCAAAATTATTACGTAAATTCACATACCATTATAATTAAATTTACAAATCTGATCATATAAGTAGTATAGAGAGAAAATAGCAATATAACATCAAATTTTGGTATAACTTAAGAGTAATAATTAATTTGTAATTGATCATCCAAATATATATATATTTTTTATAAAAAAATCCCATCCTAAAATACAAGAAGAGATCTAAAACTATTGAATGCTATCTCCATAATAATATAGATCAATTGAGTTAAACGTTCAAATATATCATTAGTCAAACATGAATTTTAAGGTGCATTCACCTAAGCTTGTAAGCCAATTTGGCTAGTTATAAGGCGACTAGCGCTCTTGAACCTTTCTGCAAAGTCGTTGGACTGTTGTAAAAACCTTAAATTCTCGACAATGAGGAGGATGGGATAAATGAAAAAGTTGGGAGAAAGTTGATATGCAAGCCAGCCGCTGGAAGGAGCATTAGGTAGTGAACAGATGTCTGTGTCAAAATATTAGTATTTTCATTCATTTAATTACAATAACTATAGTTTCTTTTAATAAATGTTCATGCGGTACATATATTAATTTCAATGATGTGGTTGTCATTTATTATTTTCGTTCAATATTGATCTTATTCGGCATTGAAACCTGTACATGCTGAAATTAATAAATGTTGATGTATTGTAAAATTTATTGGTTGTCTGATGTCTTGTCAATGCTTGCTTTAGAAACTATACATGGCCAGTTCGGTTGAAACAGAAGGCAAAGCCCTTGCTTTTGCAGGAAAATCCTAGGGCTAAATCAGGAACTAAGACTTAACAATCAATCCTTAAACCTTGCTTTTAGTTTTGAAAATGGTATTCAAGTATCTAATCCTTTTGGATACTTGGGTTTTGATTTTATATTAAAAATGTAATTGATCGAATTTTAAATCGATATAATATTAAATTTAAATTTAAATTTGATTTGAAATTTGATTTAATTTGATTTATTTTTATTTTTTTAAATTGAATTCGACTTGAGATAAAAATCGAATTCGTTAGATTAGATTTAATTAACATGTAAAAATAAACTTAATTTTTATATTTGATACAAATTTGATTATTTATACTTGAATTTGAGATATTTTATTAATTAAAAAAATAAAAATATATTTACATATAAAAAGTTTGATTAAACTTACGAATTACTTAATCGAATATAAAAATGCTCAAACTCGATTTAATTGATGAGTCAAGTTATTTAAATTCGAACTCGACTAAAAAATAATGTAATCAAATTCGAATTTTATTTGAATCGAATTCGAATAATTTACGAATACTAATATATTATTTACACTACTACTTCAAATGGGATATTTATGTGGTATTTTCAATTTTATATTAAAAAAATTATAATATAATATATATAAAATTTTAAATTTAGATTTATAATTCGTATTTTATGAAATAAAATCGTAAAATTTTTAAATTAAAATGAATAATATAATTTTAAAGTTATTAATAAATTAATAAGATAACATTAGCAAAACCCAATGTTTTATTCCTTTTTCTCGAGGAAAATGGAAAAGAAAAAAGATGCAGAACCCACCCAATCTCCATGATCACGTGCACTATTAACTGTTACAAGTCAAATATCACAACAGAAAAAAAAAAAGCAGCTTTTTCTTGATAATTTGGTTCTCAATTGATGAAAATTTGAGAATATGTTGTTGACAGCCGTATTGTTCATTGGCAGAGTAATGAATTTTTAATTCCTTTAATTAGAATTATATATTTTATAATCTTAAATTATCAAAAAAATTATGAACATAGCCAACAAAAAAAAAAAACCCTCAAAATTTTGGAAATTTTCATTAGAATAAAAGATGAAAAAAAAGTACACTCACAGACAGAAATAAGAACCTAGCTATAACGCATTTCATTAAGGAATTGACTGATAAATTTCATATGTTTTAAATGAGAGACATAGATACGATTAAAGAGTACTAGAAATTGGAAACTGAAACAGAAGGAATCAATGTATAGGTGATCACAAGGACGGATCAGAATTTATCATTAGTGGGGATAAATTTATTATATTAATTACAATAATATTACTTTATTTATTTATTTTATTTTTTAATACATCCGTGCACTTAAGTTTTTTTTTTTTTACAATTAATAAGATCTAAAACAAAAAAATTGATTTATTTCTAATAATTTTACTTATTTTTTTATATTTTAATAGGAACAAAATACAAAAAAATTAATTTTGAAATTAATTTTCAGGATTTTTGTGGGGCAGCTGTCCCACCCCAGATCTGTCCCTGGGTGATCAGCAACTCATAGGAGGAAGATCAGAGGTTTTGTCATAAGACAACACTTCCGTATTTTTCTTGAAAACCCTACTACCAAACAACAAGAAGCCCAAGGTATGACCAGCAACAGCCATAAGAAACACCCCACCATTAAAAGACATAACAGCAAGCATTACCAAATAAGCTAGACCAACCCTCATGGCATGCAAGAATGTTTGCACAAGACCAGCTGAGACATTGCTTGATCCTGGCTTGATCAACCGGGAATGAGAGAGCCATTCAACAAGGAAAGCAAGAACAAAGACGAATATCAAGGCTAGTGCATACATGCCAGCACGCATGCCTGGCCAGCCTGAGAAGAGGATCTCGGCGTTCTTGCCCCAGAAGAAGGTCATATGCATCATCATCATCATCTTGTGCTGGTGCATCCCTGACGTGCCATTGGTTAACTGTGGTGGCGGTGCCATGCCTTCCATGCCATGATCGTGATTCATCGTAGCTATTGTAACTGGAAAGTACTGTAAAATTTTATTTTGATGGATATAAAATGGAAATTAAAACACAGAAAAACACATGAACCGTCTCAAGATTAGATTAGAATTTTGGAATGGAAATTGGTGTTGCGTTTAGAAAAATGATGAGGACCAATAAAGAACCTTGTTATTAAGACCAAAATTTTAGGGTTTTTGGATGATTAAGTGTGTAGTACATTATCTTCTACTGTACTATTGAATTTTGTACTGCACTTTAGTATTAATTTTCTTGGTCCCTATATATGGCAATTGGCAAATTCTACTTGGAGTTTTCTTCTCCAAAAATAACAACAAAATCTTTCCTTATATGTGATAAATTAAGAGCCTGCTAAATGAGAAGATGACATTGGAGTTTTCAGCACTTGAGGTTTCAGATTGTATTGCCCATGGAAGATGCTAGAGCAAAGACCAAACTTAAGTTAATTTCGTCCTATTTATCTAAAGAATTACTAAGTAATAGACAGTGCTTTTTTTTTCTTTTTTTTCTTTTTTCTGACTACAATTATAGGCATTGGTAATAATTAATAAGCTATAGTCAGGTAATGAATATTGATTGCTCTCAAGATTTTAGCAGTACCAACAAAACTAGATTGTGATGAAATTAACAAAACAGAAAAAGAAAAATGATATGCACCCCCCCCCCCCCAAAAAAAAAAAAAAAGAAAAAGAAAACTGATGCTTATACTTTTATCCTTTAACATCCCTTTCCCCCATTTAAAATGCTTTGAAATATTAATCTTTGATCTCTTCGTTACTGGTTGCTGTCAATGAGAGATCAGTAGCACATGTACATTTATAATGCAAATCACTGTCAGTTTCGGCTCAGAGATCTTATCCATTCTTTATCACCATTCATGCATACTTATGTATGATTCTAATTAAGGAACGGATCTCATAAATATGCATAATGGGAAAGTGTGTTTTGAAAATTATTGATCAAAATATGAATGGGAATCTAAACCTGAAGGCTTAAACTCAAGAAGCAAAGCATATGAACACGATCAACATCAACTCCATTCTTGGAGAACTCACACTAAAATTTTTATATAAGTCTGTTCTAAATGAGATGTACCACCGCATTTTTTTTGAGCGGTCTTTGATTAGTATTTTTTTCTCAAGCAGGTCTAAGCAAATTATATCTTTTTCAAGCAGATTCAAATAGATTTATCTATATCAGGCCTAACAAATTCATAAAAAATTATTTTTTTATATTTTCCCGACGAATTCAAACTTGAAACAATCAAGAGAGGAGCAAACTCTTATGTCACTTGAACCAACATATTGATGTATGAATGCATTTTAATCAAGATTTAGGATAGCAAATAGAAATTAAGATTGGAGGCCTATAAAAAAAAGAAATTAAGATATTTTTTAGGTTTTCAGAGAAATTAAGATTGGAGCAATTACATTAACAGCTAAAAACCTGACCCTTCGCAGCTCTACCCAAATAAAGAAAATTGATTACTTAGTTTATTTTTTTTAAAAGTCAACTATCTGGAATTGGCATGTCAATTAGGCAACGGATTACACAAGATAAGAAGAAATTGATGATTTAAATATCACTTTGACAAAACCACAGCTCGGTGCTGTTGTCATCACCCTAGAAACCAGTTATTTTTAGCCTGTTTCTCATATAACGCAAGGCAATACGACATATTCCTTGCCTTCTCACACAGATTTTTTCCATGGGACGGCTGGTATTTGTCGCCATTATCAATTCTCAAAGTTTCTATTTGCAAATTGCAATGCAGCTTTTTAGATTTAAAAAAATGGTTAATTCACACAATATATTTGCATCGTTAGTATTAATTTGATGTCATCAATATTTATATTCTGATGGAAAGCGACTATATATATATATATATATATATGATTACATGAAAGTTATTTAAGAGTTTCACATGTAAATTTTCATATTTTCATCAAGAATTATTTGATTTTAAAAGTTCAAACATTTTTTTGAGCAAATAAACCTAAACCATTCATTTCATTTATAAAGAAATACTCTCTGCAAGTACAATATCTGATATAATGTTTGGACATTCATCAATCCATCTTACACATCCCAGTGGGCATTGTAGTACATAACTAGCTAGAGTATGCGCAGCCTCATTGGCATTCCTCCTTGTGTAGACAGTAGACTGCTAAAAAGTTCAAACATTTGAGTTAAGGGTAAATGCACGAATTTGATTTTTTTTTTCTACAAAAAAACCCAACTTAGAATATGCACATTTATCATTTAATACACCAGTGATCATCCATTCTATAGCTCCATTCCAATATGCAGAACAAATGTCTGCAACATTTGCGCACAAAAACAAGCTATCACTATATCAGTGATAAAAGACAGCAGTTAATAATCCAAGGATTGTGGTGCCCATTGCTAATAGCAAATATCACTATATCAGCTTTAGAAAGAAATAAAATGGAATGGTGTGAGGGTGTAAGGAGAAACAAGGGAATTCACCAAGGCTAAATCCTGGGTGAGTTGCATCATTTTGCAATGACTTGACATGCAACATCCTTGTTGCCTTCATTAAATCTCATCTTCACGTTTTAAGATTAAAGTCAATAATCAACCCCCACTTTCATTAGGCATAATTGTTGAATGCACTCTTCCCATAGTACTTACTTAGGTGATAGCCTAGAAAATATCGATAATTCATCAAATCTTTTCATTTTTTATTTTTATGTTTCACAACCACCAAAATTTCAGCCAAATGAGCGAAAGGGTATATATCAATGGGTGAAAGAACCGTATTTTTCAGCAATCTATTTGGATTTCTTTTTTTGTCAATTGAAAAACAAATATGGAGCAAAGCATAGATTAAGATTAAGAAAATCCTACTTAAAGAAAAAAAAAAAGCAAAAGCTGTAATTACTTTCAGAAACTACAACATCAATTCATAAAAGGAAGAAGGGGTTCAGAAACAAATCCACCAGCAAGAATTCTCTTTCAAATCCATTGCTTTATTTCTAATCTCCTCGCCTTCTACATCCACCATTGGATTTTTTATTGCTCCTTCTATCTTCCCTCTCTCCAACTCATGATTCTCCAATTCCAGGCCTATTTTCCACACATAACAGATGTACCTCATGTTAAGAACTTGGTCCCCAAAACAAGGCCTGCATAACATTGGTACCCCTTCAGAGACACTCTCAAGTGTAGAATTCTATCCACAGTGAGTCCGAAATTCACCCACTGCATCATGCGCTAACACCTCCCTTTGAGGTGCCCATTTAACGATGCCACCTCTTTCTCCAACTTTCTCTTGGAAACCTTTTGGCAATAACTCTCAAGTGTACAATTCCATCCACAGTGACTCAGTGAGTCATACTGGAATACAGCTAGCTTGCCAAATAAGAGAAACTTGCGATTCTTTATCGCCCAAAGACTTGAAAAAGTATGCTGCTGCTGGCTAAACATTTGGTATAGCTCTCGTGAAATTGTTCAAAACCTGTTAAAAACTAAAGACAGAGAATTGGTCAAATTGTTATTTTTTGGCTAAACCACTATGGAAATGTATACAATAATGATTTGATAGCGACTCAATGGCTATTCCAATTGGAAAAACCTCAACTCTCGCCCTCTAACAACCAAAGATCATAGCTCCTTTCATTAAAACTATCCATGTCCGAAACAGGTGAATCTGTACTAACTTAGAAAGAAAGAGCACGCGAATGACAAAATTTTCAAAGAGTAGGTTTTGCTATGTACTTGGATAGTGTTTTTGTCTTTTAACTAGGAGAAACTGATCATGTGCATGAGATGACTGTTGGTGTACAAATGTTAGTTTATCCAACTATTGTAACTTATTTTGCTTACATGTTAAGTAGGGTAATTTTGTATAGATCCTTCAACTTTGCTCAACTTGTAGATGTACTGGCAAGAAACAACTCTGGTGCTTGTTGCGCCAGTGCACGGGCAGAGGAGTGAAGAAGGAAAGGCAGAGATCCGAGACAGGAGGGTTTTTCTGATAATCCATGAAGGTCGAGCCATTGACATTACATTAGAAGCTGCCCTGCCATTTGCTCAGTGTCACCCAGCCACAGGCTAAAATAAAAAAGAATCCCATTGTGGTTCCAATATTATCAATCGCAGTTTTATCAAATTTTGAAGAAGTGTAGGTAGTTTGAAATATTAGACAAGTTACCATCAATTAAGTCAGTGGTGGTCACAGTTTTAGAGGATGTAAGTCTGCTTGAAAGATCATAATCGACTTTCCGCTTGCCATAGCTTAGCTTGGCTAGCTTCTCTGAAGATATGTTGACATTGCAATTGAGAAATCAATGCATGTTGAATGAGCACAATTCAATTAGTTTACCATTAAATTAAAAGAAACCTCAAAATTAGACTTTTTGACTTTGAAAATTGCAATAAAAAAGAAGAAAAAAATACCCAACAAAGAGACCAATCAAAGTCAATGGCGGGCAAGGCTCGGCCCATTTCAAGGCCTACTCAGACAGAAAATACTTGCATCCAGGTGCCGCAAGAGAAGCCCGGAAAGCTCTTGAGTTTACTAGAAAATAAAAACGTCGTCCATCGAGGCCCAAAAGTGATTGCCCCGGAAAATACTTGAATCTTCCTTCGAATCCTTAAACTACCCAACTTATCCCTTCTTCACCAATCAAGAAATACAAGAAGAAAATTCTGGTTCTCAAAACACCAGCCATCAAAGCAGTTCCAAGAAATTGAAAAAAAAAAGTCTCTGATTCCAAGTTTCTGCGGCAACCGACGAGGCTATAACTTCGATCCATTATTTGTCGATGTATGGGATCCCTTCAAGAATTTCCCATCACTCTCCCAAGAGAACTCCGCTTTTGTCGACACTCGTGTTGACTGGAAGGAGACACCGGAAGCCCATGTGTACAAGGGCGACCTTCCAGGGCTGAAGAAAGAGGAAGTGAAAGTGGAGATTGAAGATGACAGAGTGCTTCAAATCAGCGGGGAGAGGAATGTTGAGGAGGAGGACAAGAATGACACGTGGCATCGCGTGGAGCGAAGCAGTGGCAAGTTCTCGAGGAGGTTTAGGTTGCCCGAGAACGTGAAGGTGGATCAAGTCAAAGCTTCTATGGAAAATGGGTTCTCACCGTTACTGTTCCTAAAATTGAAGTGAAAAAGCCTAATGTCAAAACTATTCAGATTTCTGGTTGAAGTTTGAAGTGTCTTAAAA